TTAAGAAAGAGAAGAAGCGGCCAGAAATGCCGATTATTACCGTTGTCGTTCTGCGTAATTTTGCGTCAGCCATGGCGTCACTCTGCACAGAAACTTGACAGTTTCGTGTAAACACATCACATTCCTGTATTGTATCTATTTTTAATTTCCTATTTCTTGCTACTATGCTCTTTCCATGCAAATGGGTGTCTGAAAATTGAGAAAATGCTACACAGTATAAAGTCTGAAATGTTCTTTGTTTACATTTCAAACAGGTGTTGTCTTTCGAGCACAGCATTTGTTTCCACCCCCAATATCTTTCGTTTCAGTTTATCTAGACACTTGGTATTGGTGACAAAGACCAGTTGTAATTAGATTCTAAAATGTATGAGGAATTCAGTAGGGCTGGGACGAGTAGGAAAAAATGGAATCGAGTACCCGCATGTACTTACCCGAATCGGAATCGAGTACCCGGAAATGTAAAATACAATATTCGGGTCAACCTCTGAATATTCAATCACGATTTGACAGAGACTATTATAGAAAACTTGAAAAGTGGTAATAAGACATTAAAACTGACCTCAAGCTATTTAATTTACGTCTGTTTAACCAATATAGAGAGTAACACCATTACTTACACTCCTCGTTATAACAACGAACGTTTCGTTCCTGCTGCTACTGTAACTTAACTACTCACTGCACATGCACAGATAAATTACAGTCATTAAAACTATGCTCCATTAATCGGACAATACCAATGATATAAAACCCGTGAATTTCCGGGTTAGAATATTGATCTTCAGTAACCCATGCTTGTGGTTAGAGGCGACTAACGGGATCGGGTGGTCAGACTCGCTGACTTGGTTGACACATGTCATCGTATCCCAATTGCACACATCGATGCTCCAGTGTTGTTGATCACTGGATTGTCTCGGCCAGACTTCGATTATTTACAGAGCGCCTCCATATAGCTGGAATATTGCTTAGTGCGGCGTAAATCTAAACTCACTCACTCACTCAATGATGTAAATGTGTGTTACGTCAAAAACGAAAAAGACAAGCTATTGTCTGCCCTTGTCATTACTTCTCTTTTTCCTTGAGGTGCAGGCGACATTTCGCGATTCCATTTTTGGTAATCCGGAAGTAAACAGAAAACGGAATTGTGGGATATATGGAAGCTAACCAGTGACGTTAACCACCCTGTTAAACTTTGACGGCGGCGTTAGCTAACGGCATGACTAACCATGTTTTGAACAACGCATATTTAACGTTCGGTTACCTAACGGCCGGTTAGGGATTTAACCGGCCCTTAGGAGTTAACCGGCGGTTAAGATAACCGAGTATTGAACAACCGGGCCCAGGGGGTTAACCGAGAGTTCTATAAACACAATAAACACACATCATGGTTTATGTCCCTCGGAAATGACGTCATTGGTGCCTAACTGATAAACGAATGACGTCGTTAGACCTTATTAGACCCATTTCACGTGGCGCAGGTTTAGCTCTGCAAACAAAGGCCTCATAATGGCATAACATTTCAACACTTATATTGAGGGTATTAGTTTCATTATAGCTGAAATATAACTAGATTATACCTAACATATTTTGTAGCTAAAACACATGGAATTATCATGAAACGGCCCTCCTATTATCAGAAATTTGCGGGCCGCTGCAAATGATACTGGATCGCTCAACCTTAACGACGGGCTACTATCAGTTCTGTTGTCAAGTGACGTCATAGTGGGTGCGTGGGCAGACAATGCCGAACGCTGACAACACAAGATGGCGTCTGATTGTGTTGGTACGGCAGCGTCGGCTCGGGAGATTAAAGAGCGCTTCATGAACCAACCGATTCTCTTTGGGTCGAAAAATCGGATATCAATGAAACTGACAGCGATTTAGATGAATATGAACTTGATAAACTCCAAATGGAAGGGAAATCAGCAATTACTCAAAAACAAACTTGCTGGGGGACCAAGGCATTCACTGATGAGCTGTGACGCTAGGCCTAATTATGTAGCAATTTCGATATAATAAATCATGAGCCAGAAACTAAAACCGTCACGATTTTGTCTTACAATTTTTTTTGGTTTTTTTGTTTTTTAGACTGGGCATCTCAACGTAATATCAACATTGATCTAAAATCAGTCGAAACGGAAGAAATGGCCAAAATATTAACAAAGCTGAGCTTCCCACCCCTAGCACATTGAGATCACTGAGAGCTGCAGTTCATCGTACTCTAAAAGATCCACCTTTCTCGCGCAACATAAACATAATGGCTGATAAAGAGTTTACAAACGCAAACAGCATGTTCGAATCTCGTTGTAAAGCCTACTTTGTAGATGGAGGAAGATCCCTACAACACAAACCTTGCATTGAGCGAGGAGATATGGACAAACTGTCAGGATATTTTGGGGATTTAGAGAGTACTGACCCAACCAGGCTTCAAGAAATGGTTTGGTTCAATCTGTGTTTCTTTCTGGGAAGACGGGGACGTCTGGGTTGGAGAAGTTTCACCAAACCGACACTTCAGCTGAAGCGTGACGACAATGACAAACACTTTCTTACCTTCACTTCGGCTGAGCAAACAAAGAACTGGCAAGGCAGTAATCCCTCTAATCAGGACTGTTCAGATGTCAGAATATATGAGAATGAGTCATCCAAGGATCCAGTCAGTATTTATCTCTTCTATCTGTCAAAACTCCACCCCGACTGCGATGCTCTTTTCCAGGCTCCTCGGAAGGATTTCGAGAAATCAGGAGTTTGGTACAATAATGCTCCTTTGGGAAAGAACATATTGGGCACCATTATGCAGAAGATTTCCAAAAAGGCTGGTTTATCACAGGTATACACTTGCCATTCAGTCAGAGCTTCCACCATCACATACCTGTTTCAGGCAGGTGTAGACGTAAAACAAATCTGCAACATCACGAAGCACAAGTCCGAGGAATCACTCAAGCATTACATTTCAGGGTCCAGTAGCGCGCAAAAGAGAGCATCTAGTGAAATCCTCCAGCACGTGTTGTCACCCAAGATGCCAGCAAACGCTTTAGAATATCCGAATAGGCCAACCTGCTCACGTGAACGCCGATTTTCTGTTCAAGAAAATGTTGAAATGACTTACGGTTCATTTGACATTGGCTTTGGACTGGCAGATACTCTGGGGCAAACAAGTCAAAGCAACCTGAATTCCCGCTTCAGCGGTAATATTGGCTTTCTTGCTGGTGCTAACCTTAACAATTGCACTATTAACGTTGTTGTTGGACCAAAACCGAACACTGAAAACTGACTTTGTTGCTGGCATAATGGCGGCCATAGTTTGACATGCTGCAGGCCAAGGTCTTGGCAAAGGCCAAGGTCGAATATCGTCATTCTCTGTTGTGACGTCAATTGAATTGTTCGATGACGTAATTGCATTGCGAGGGGTCAGTCAACCCACTTAGAAGTTGGTTTTGAGTAAACTTACAGTCAAATTCCTTCATTGTTTCTTTTTCTTTTCAACACAAATTCCATGTATTTTAGCAATAATAACGGTAATGCTATTTTAGAGGGCATTGTCATTTGCAGAAGCCCTCGGGCTTTTTCAACTGCCCTCCTTCGTCGGGCAGTTAATGGAAGACCTCGGGCTTCTGCAAATGATAATGCCCTCAAAAATAGCATTACCCTTATAATGTCAGACACAACGTCACTTGTCAGTGTTCGGTTTTGGTCCAACAACAACGTTAATAGTGCAATTGTTAAGTTTAGCACCAGCAAGAAAGCCAATGTTACCGTTATTTTCAAGCGGGAATTCGGGTTGCTTTGACTTGTTTGACCCAGAATATCTGCCAGTCCAAAGCCAAAGTCGAATCAACCGACGCACCCACTATTATGTCACTTGACAACAGAACTGATAGTGGCCCGTCGTTAAGGTTGAGCGGTCCAATATCATTTGCAGCGGCCCGCAAATTTCTGATAATAGGAGGGCCGTTTCATGATAATTCCATGTGTTTTAGCTATAATATAAGGGTAATGCTATTTTATATTTTCATTGTCAGAAAATAAGCGTATTTTTTCAAACATTGATATTAACTGATTAAAAAAAATCCATTTTGTTTCATAAGAGTAAACGTGGTTTCGTGTACACTTCTCCTTTAAGAATCCCTTCCCCTTGTAAGGTCTGTGTCGCTCGCGATTAGTGTGATCTGTCTCCAAGCAGTATGTTCTGTTCTTCTGGCTGTAATACAATGCCACAATAATAGGAGCGACGCGAATGATACGACATTGTAACGATACGTTAAGTTTCACTATTCGATACATGTCTTACGCATCGCAATACGGATATCCACTTGAAATTGCATGGGAACGTATTAGTTATAAATACTTCAGGGTTGGTTCCAAAGGAAAAGCTAAGTTTATTAGGTATTGGGGATGCTTTTACCTTACAACAATAGGCTTGGTGGGGTAGCCAAGTGTTTAAAGCGTTCGCTCGTCCCGCCGAAGACGCGGGTTCGATTCCTCGATTGGGTACAATGTGGGGAAGACTGGTGTCCCCCGCAGGGATATTTATGCAATACTGTTAAAGGAGGCGTAAAACTAAACTCACTCACTCCCAAAAGCGAAAATAGCAAAATAGAGCTTTGGGATAATATCTGCCAAAGTGTCTACCACAGTTCCTTAGTTTCCGGAAACTCAAGTTCTGCATCATTTCGCCTCCCTAGCTCAGCCTCTAATGAAACATCATGTTTGTGCCACCCTGGATACATTTCAAGACTCTTGTACTTGTCTTCGACGTCGAAGGGCGTTGGGGCGGTGGGGTGGTCTAATGGTTAAAGCGTTCAATGGTACAATGGGTGATGACCATTTCTGGTGTCCCAAGCCGTGATATTGTTGAGTATTGCACAAGTGGCTTAAATCATACTCACTCACTCACCCAAACGTCAAATGACCAAGCTCTGGAAGGTCGGAGAAGATCACCCACTTAACGCCGCTCGTATTATGACAGTTAATTTCCAGTAATGACTTTCAATTGTGTTACTGCGGAGGACTGAGGACGCGAGCGCGCGAGGGGGCGAGATAGTAATACAAGGTATATCTAGTCGCCGCCCGCCTGAACGCTAGAATAGACACAGACAACCTGTTTTAGATCTACCTTGGATGATGTTGGCTTTTGTAGCAATAACAGGTGAGTCAAGTGACTTTTTGTCCTTCGGGAAGTGCATAGAGAAATCACGTGATGGTGTTTGACCACTGATTGTATTGCCAAAATCAGAATATATTCTATCAAACGCAATAACGCTGGTTTCAGTGCTCTTGGGCGCTCTACAGGGAGCTGACTCACAGCCGGATGCAGAGTCGCTTGCTGGTGAGTATCTACTGTACGATAAGGCTCTTTATTATGTCCCCTCACATCCGTCTACCTCACGTCTGTTTAGTATTCCACAATTCGTTAATGCGGACATTTGTTAATCCGAACTACTTTACTGAGAACTATAAGGTTCTGATAGAAAGTGATTACCGTAGATACCTCTGAACGCGGGACCCTGGGAACGGAGCATAGTTCTCTGAAACCGCCAGTTATCTGAAACAAGAAAGTCATTTTCTCACGAGACGGTTCTCTTGACCTGGGTTTAATCATACGCACTGCAGTACATGCATGTTTTTTTCTCCAACTGGTGGATACCTGTCGTGAGAGGCGACTAACGGGATGGGGTGGTCAGGCTCACCGACTTGCTTGACACATGCCATCGTATCCTAATTGCGTAGGTCGATGTTCATGCTGTTGATCACTGGATTGTCTGGTCCAAACTTGAGTATTTACAGATCGCCGCCATATAAAGACAAGAGTTTTTTATGGATGACAACTTCTCTATTGTGAAGGGTCACGACGTTTCGAAGTATGTTCTTACTCCTTCATCAGGTGAATGAAACAATTAGGAACAAACAGCTATATATGTACATGTTGAAACAACAACAGTCTAACAAAGGAAACCAGCAGTTAATTGGTGGATGGTCAAGTGGAAGCCAGGGATTGTTAATCCAGGCATGACTGAATCCAGGCATGATTGAATCCAGGCATGACTGAATCCAGGCATGACTGAATCCAGGCATGACTGAATCCAGGCATGATTGAATCCAGGCATGACTGAATCCAGGCATGATTGAATCCAGGCAAGATTGAATCCAGGCATGACTGAATCCAGGCAAGATTGAATCCAGGCATGACTGAATCCAGGCATGATTGAATCCAGGCATGACTGAATCCAGGCATGATTGAATTCAGGCATGACTGAATCCAGGCATGACTGAATCCAGGCATGACTGAATCCAGGCATGATTGAATCCAGGCATGACTGAATCCAGGCATGATTGCTACATATAGCGGCGTTAAACAACCAACTGAATCATTTAGTATTAATGTACATGTACTTGATACGGAGTTCAGGTTGCGTATTGGACCCTGCGTTTATTACGTGTTTTTAACGTTTTCACGTTTTAGGTCTAATCCAGTTGTCATCAATATAATTTCTTTTGCCCACAGACTATAATCTGATTAAATGGCGTAAGTGATAATAGTGGTATCATTTACTCTTAACAATGGTTAACGATAACCCAAGCCGTGTTTGGCTATATCCAACTGTCCAGTAACAGTGTCCAGTCAACAAGGTGGAGGTCAGCACGGTGAAGGTCAGGTGTCAATGCAGTGTCAGATTTCCTCAAACATATTGTAATAATTGTCGTTGATAATACTAGTTAACCTTCTGAAGATGAACTAGTAGGCGATTGTTAATCACACGTCCGTTTGCGATTCGACTGTAATAACTTCTACAATGTTTCTGTTAAAGGGTCGGTGGGGTATCCTTGTGGTTAAAGCGTTCGCTCGTCACGTCAAAGGCCCGGGTTCAATTCCCCATGGGTACAATGCGTGAAATCCATTTCTGGTGTCCACCGCCGTGATATTGCTGGAATATTGCTAAAAGTGGCGTAAAACCACTCACTCACTCATACAGTAAAAAGAGTCTTAACACTAAGATCGCTTTGTGAAACCGTACACTGTTGGAAATTAGGTGTTCAGTTCCGCCACACGAGTGAGTGAGTGAGTTTTACGCCGCTTTTAGCAATATTCCAGCAACATCATGGCGGAGGACACCAGAAATTAGCTTCACGCATTGTACCCATGTGGGGAACACCGCCACACTAGAGTTGTTCTGTTGGAGAGAGCGATGAAAGTAGTCACTATTTCATAGATGTTCACGCTATCAACCACTCTTTTGTCTGACCCAGACAAAGTTAAGTGCATGTCGCTTTAACATAGCATGGATATTGCTCAGTTGGTCAAAAACGAACAAGTACTCGCATTGAGAACCTTTCCTCATATTGCAGGGCGAGTGAGAGAAGCACTGGTTTTGGCCGCCGATTCCATCAACTCTGCAGATGCCGTGGAACGCTCCCCTGATGAGGAAACGTCAGTTGACCCAGACGACATCCCGGGGGATGACTGGGACAACGGGGGTTGGGGGAACGGTGACGTCAGTCGAGATGTCAGTGGGAAAGCCAATGGTGAAAAGACAGAAACGTGGTCAATAGGCAACGGAGAAAGCATTGAAATTAGCCAGCTGGGCGATGAAGACAGCACGAATGACGAGTGGTGGGGAGTTTAGTCACGTCACGTCGCGTCACGTCACGTCACGCCACATGAGGTTGTTTATCACCATCGCATGATTACGATTTGAATAAACATATTCCTGTTTATCAATATCGTGTGTTTTGTTTGTTTGTTTGTTTGTTTGTTTGTTTGTTTGATGTTTAACGCCATACTCAGCAATAGTCCAACTATATGGCAGAGGTCAATAACTAATCGAGTCTGGACCAGATAATCCAGTGATCAACATCATGAGCATCGATCTACGCAAATGGGACACGATGACATCAACGAACTGAGCGAGGCTGATCCGTGAGTCGCCTCTTTCAAGCATGGGTTGCTGAAGACCAATGTTCAGCCGGATCTACACGTGTGCGTTTTAATACTAAAGGTTAGGCGGTGCGATCTTCCCTAATGTGCTCCTTGCTACAATTGGGGGTCGATCACATGACCTAACAATGTTAATTGATTCTATTACCAGAAATGAGCGACTTCCTGCTGTAATAGCTGCAGCGACCTTCAGTGAGCTGATGGTAATGTCAGGTCAGTTGTGCTACACGCCTTGGGGACATAGGTTGTACACATCATCATGAGGGCATGCGTCGTTGCGGGGACGGCCATAATACTGGGTAGGTAAACTGTATAACGCAGATAATGTTGTACACAGTTGGTTTACTGAAATGAATGGAGTCATGTAATATACAGTTCTAATACAGAAGAGGGTCATTTATACAGTTTATACAATGTTCGGGAAACAACACGTTGTATGCAAAGTTTAAACATGAACTGGGCCTAGAATACCAAAGCTCTCCTAGCGCTATGATAGTCGTAAGTGTCATGCATTAACATTAGCTTACTTCTATCTTAGCGCTAAGAGAGCTTCGAAAATCTAGCCCTGGTGTGCATATAAACATGTTATATCGTGGGCGATAATATGGCCACGTTATCTATACAGGATGGCCCATTTCACTGCAGGGTTATGTCTAGAATGTTTGCCAGAAATGATCGTGGGTTCGTTTCACAAATTGGTCCTGATTATGTGTCTAGGTTTGTCATCACTATACCTGTGCACGGGGGTGCCACCGACGTTCTGTGTGTCTGTTTGTTAGTTGTTTAACGCCGCACTCAGCAATATCCCAGCCATATGACTGCGGCCTGTAAATAATCGAGTCTGGACCAGACGCTCCAGTGATCAACAGCAGGAGCATCGATCTACGCTGTTGGAATTCGATGACATGTGTCAACCAAGTCAGCAAGCCTGACCACCCGAAGTAAAGCTCTAACAACCGCATCATTGCCGTGAAACATGTGATCATTCTGTCCAAGAAAACTTGCTGGGTTTATTCCCACAACACATTAACTCGTGGGCTTCACCAAAGTCACATCTTAGAACTGAATCACTCAGTGATACAACTGGAATTCTGTTCAAAGTTGTGTTTAACGCAACTCGTTCACACACTCACTCAACCACCAAAACCCACTCGCTCACTCACTCAACCAACCAACCACCCAGTCACTCATTCACTCACTCACTCACTCAACCACCAAATCCCACTCGCTCACTCACTCAACCAACCACCCAGTCACTCATTCACTCACTCACTCAACCCCCCCACTCACTCACTGGTCCCTGCTGATATCGCTCTGTGGAACGAGGCTCTGGTTTGTCTGTTATCAGTTCATTAACTCCACAGACAGCACTTGCGTAAATATTGCATTCCTTCTCTGTAGTAAAGCACACTTAACCGACTTTCAGCCGTGAATCTGGAGACAAATCCATTCTGATGTTACATCTGACTGCATGCAGATGTTACAGTCACAATAACCACGCCTCATTAAAACATTAGAGTGTGTCGTCAGCAGGATTCTCATATCATGATCTGAACAACTCACTGCTGCTCTTAATATATAGTCAAAAAAGAAACTTCACATTCTTTCTTCAGGGCACTATAAAAGAACAAGAGATGGTAAGATGGTTAAATTGTTATTATTTCATTGCTGTGATCTGTGTGATGTACTCGATACACTGACAGTGCCATAATCAGTTCCATTAGGCTACACCGCCGTTCCAAAACATGGGTATACAGAATGTCAAGTCACAAGAATAAAAATGCGAAATTTCTCAGTTCAATATCGTGTATGGCCGCCCCGCGCATTCACCACTGCCAAACACCGTCTCCTCATCGACTGCCTGATGCTTGTGAACACGTGGTTGGGGATTCTGCGCCATTGCTCTTGCAAGGCAGCGCCAAGTTCCTGCAAATTGTGAGGTTGGTTCCTAAGACCACGAAGCCTTCTCCCAAGTGCATCCCAAACGTGCTCTATTGGATTGAGGTCAGGGGACCTCGATGGCCAGTCCATGACGTTGATTCCAGCGTTTTGAAGGTAATTTCGTGTCAACATCTCGGTATGCGGCCGAGCATTATCATGCTGGAACTGTAGACCTGGGCCATGAGCTGCCATGAAAGGAACGAGTTCAGGGGTGAGCACCTGGTCGCGGTAAGCAGCAGCTGTGAGGTTTCCACGGATGACCAGAAGTCGGGAACGGTTGTTCCCACAGAAAGCACCCCACACCATGCAACTTCCGCCCCCGAATCTGTCGACTTCCTGTACACAACATTGGGCATACCGTTCACGACGTCGTCTCCAGACTCTGTGCCTGCCGTCCGCGAATCTGAGGGTAAACCTGGATTCATCGCTAAAGACGACTCGATTCCAGTCTCTCTGGGTCCATCGGAGGTGACGTTGGGCCCACAGCAGACGTTGACGTTGATGAAACGGTGTCAATATTGGCCCACGATATGGACGTCGAGAATGGAGATTGGCAGCCCGCAACTGATTTCGAATGGTCTGTGAGGACAGTCGACCTCTAAACATCTCAGCCCTGGTTCGTGTAGCCGGCAGAAATCTGTCACGTAGGTGACGTAGGACAATTTGACGGTCTTCTGCTCGTGACGTCACACGTGGACAACCCGACCTTGGGCGATCAGAAGTGGTGCCAGTTTGTTGTAGACGACCTCGCAAGTCATACACAGTACGACGGCAGCATGCCATTGCTCTTGCGACGTCAATAACTGATCTTCCCGCTTGCAACATGCCAACGGCACGTTCACGTTGCACATTTGACAATCGTGGCATTTCAAGTACTGTTAGAACTGTGGTTTAAAAGTGTTTTTTCAATTCTTGAGGGCAATGCAAACACGTGCATATGAAGAAAACTTTGATGCGAAGATCACGTGATCGACTGCACGTGCAAAACCTGATTTGGCACTAACGTCATTTGCACGACGAATGGATGGATTTGAGTGTGTTTTGCTAACGTTTTTCTAGAGTCGAAAGATAGGGATCCCATTTCGGATACATAGATGTATCATCAGAGAAAAATTATTCATTATTTTTCAAATTACATTTTGTGAGGTTTCTTTTTTGACTCAGTATATTAATGTTCACAGCAAGTGTGGCAAGTGAAAGAGTTTATCTACAATTATAGAACAAGAAACCTCATAATTTCACCTGGGCAACTAAGCCTCGTAACGCTTGCTTCACTTCCAAGGGCCAACAATTGTACTCTTTGTCCAATTAAAAATTTAAAGCAATGTTTGAGCATATAAAGCGTCATGCTTGGTCAAACCTTCAACAATGTTTCTTAATTCAGATACACAACCCACTCACAAAATTGTACTGAAGTGGTGAGCTTCACTCAACATCTTCTCGTTTTCCACGTCACAGTGTGCTAAAATTGATTGTGGAGCGAGGTTACTCATTTATCTATATATGTGTGTTCGGTTCCATTCTACCATGGAACACAGTGTGTGTATACCTCATATCTCAGCTGAGTGAGTGAGTGAGTGAACAATATATCTAGGCGGGGAATACTAGAAATTGGCTTTACACATTGTATCCTTGTTGGGAATCGAACCAGTCATTGTTATGACGAGCGAACACTTTAGCCACTAGACTACCCACATCGCCCTTACTACACGCAGTGTCAATGTTCTTCAATGTTCCTCTGACCTATATTAAACCTTAGATTTCGTATTTCGTTGCAGCAACAGTAGTGTTGTGTGACGTCACAAAGGTGAAGACGTCAGAGGATTCCGTTGGTTCACTTCCTGGTGAGTTAAATTACAAAATCACAGACTACAACACTTGATTTAACATGTGTGCATGCATGCGTGTATGTGTGTGTGTGTGTGTGTGTGTGGATGTGTGTATACGTGTATTAGGTCTCTATGTATGTGTGTATGTATGCGTGTATGCGTATATTATGTGCGGTTGTATGCTGTTTTGTATATGTGATTATATGTTTGTTTGTATGTATGTTTGCTGTATATATGTTATGTATGTATGCATACCTGTACGTGTTAACTTCAAATGTATACGATTATACGTGTGCTGATATTTGTTGGTTCACAATGTTTTTATTGATTTGATATAGCCTCCCATAACCCAACGGGTGGTTTCTGTACTATTAACTTTTGTACAAAACGCAGGCATTTTATGACAATGTACAGAAAGTGAAACTCAAATAAACATTATCTCTCTCTCTCTCTCTCTCTCTCTCTCTCTCTCTCTCTCTCTCTCTCTCTCTCTCTCTCTCTCTCTCTCTCTCTCTCTCTCTCTCTCTCTCTCTCTCTCTCTCTTTAACATTACGACACGGTATTCCACGCTATAAGACATAATTACACATGATAACACATGCTTTAACAATGTTACACGGTATTCCACACTGTAACACATAATCACAGATTAAAACAAATGCTTTAACAATGTTACACATTATTCCACACAGTAACATATAATCACAGATTATAACACAATGCTTTACCATTATCACATGGTATTCCACATTACAACACATAATCACAGATTATAACACATGCCTTAACATCATCACACGGTATTCCACACTGTAACACATAATCACAGATTATAGCACGTTTTAACAATGCTACACGGCATTCCACACTGTAACACATAATCACAGATTATAACAAATGCTTTAACAATATTACACGGTATTCCACACTGTAACACATAATCACAGATCATAACACATGCTTTACCATTATCGCACGGTATTTCACACTATACCACACAATCACATATTATAACACATTCTTTAACATTATCACACAGTATTCCACATTACAACACATAATCACAGATTATAACACATGCCTTAACATTATCACATGGTATTTCACACTATAACACATACTCACAGATTATAACACATGCTTTACCATTATCACACGGTATTTCACACTATAACACATACTCACAGATTCTAACACATGCTTTACCATTATCACACGGTATTTCACACTATACCACACAATCACATATTATAACACATTCCTTAACATTATCACACAGTATTCCACATTACAACACATAATCACAGATTATAACACATGCTTTACCATTATCACACGGTATTCCACACTGTAACACATAATCACAGATCATAACACATGCTTTACCATTATCACACGGTATTTCACACTATACCACACAATCACATATTATAACACAATTACACATGATAACACATGCTTTAACAATGTTACACGGTATTCCACACTGTAACACATAATCACAGATTAAAACAAATGCTTTAACAATGTTACACATTATTCCACACAGTAACATATAATCACAGATTATAACACAATGCTTTACCATTATCACATGGTATTCCACATTACAACACATAATCACAGATTATAACACATGCCTTAACATCATCACACGGTATTCCACACTGTAACACATAATCAGAGATTATAGCACGTTTTAACAATGCTACACGGCATTCCACACTGTAACACATAATCACAGATTATAACACATGCTTTACCATTATCACACGGTATTCCACACTGTAACACATAATCACAGATCATAACACATGCTTTACCATTATCACACGGTATTTCACACTATACCACACAATCACATATTATAACACATTCTTTAACATTATCACACAGTATTCCACATTACAACACATAATCACAGATTATAACACATGCTTTAACATTATCACACGGCATTCCACACATGATTAAACATTATCAGACATTAGAGGTTGCCTCTGCAGCATGGAGTTCAGCGCTATTTAAGTGGCAATATTATTTACTGAACAGTCATAAATATAAGCATTTTAGCGAATATTATTTAACGTATGTGATATTTGGTATTACGTCTCAGTTACGTAGAGATTCTAGTACTTGGGGGATTGGGTCTCATCCGGGACTCGAACCAACACTCTCAGAGAGAGGCACCTAATTGCTATACATGTATATATTATTTACTTGGTATTGATAGTATATATGCACTTGTCTCGTGGTTGTCTGTTGTAACAATACGAATAGCTTTGGGGTTTCGCTTTCTCCTTCCAGCCCTTTTGTATAATATATGAGGCTGACATTTTATGTACCTTTAATGCCTGGCACTCGCGTCAGTTTAGCTTCAGTGCCATTGCTGGAATCGAGTCAGGCTGTGTTGCATGAAATGTGGTGTTCTCGGTTGATTCATTTCATTCACTTCTACTGATCGACCGCGTTGTGTTTGTATACTAGTTCAATAATGCGACGTCATTTACAGAGAAGTCATGCCTTCAAATATGTATGACTCCAGTGCGATCTTCAGAATTGTTTCTGCCCATGGACCGCTAGGTCGTTCAATATTTTATGCGTGTTCACTTTTCTCAAATCACAATCGCCGTAAGGACATTCATTTGATATTCTGGTGGGCAAATATGGAATATTTATGGGTCTGTGCCAGCAGAACAAGACAAAACTGCGTTATCTTTTGTTTCAGATCACTTTGTTCGCCCTGTTGAAGTTGCAAAAGCTTTTCTCCGTAACCGGAAGTCTACTGACGCCATTTTGGGAGACAAGAAAAAGCGAGGCTGGGAGTTTGACAACGACGAGGAGGAGGAGGATGAGGAGGAGGAAGACGATCGGTTTCGAGGCGGGGTGAATGTCGGGGGTGGATACCGCAACCGGGGCCGCTCTAGGTATCCCGGCAGGGTTAGTACCTTGTACCGCAGCAGCTACCGCAGCAGGTACCGTCCCCATGGTGGCTCTCGTATCAGAGTCAGGACCAACAGAAGATACCGGATTACGAAAAGGCGGTAGAAGCCCGATAGATGTCTCTTCTGGTAATGACCTCGTTCTGTTTTGGCCTCATTTTCAGCAATAAAACTCTCAGCAAGTTCTGTTTTGAATATCTTCCACTCATCGAGGATGTATAGTATCTCTCCTGAACATGAATCATTTTTCAACTTTAAGGTTTTGATCTATAACGCATCTTTGGCGGACCTTTGAGGTACGATAGATGCTAACGCTACGAAACTTTTGTGGATCGGGGCCTTGGCGGGTTGGCTGCGTTTAGGATCAAATACGACCCTCTCTGTGAATTTAAACACATAGCCTTAAAATATTTAAAAAATATGTTTTGGCTGTTGTTTAACGCCGCACTCAGCAATATTCCAGTTTTGTGGCGAGGGTCTGTAAATAATCGAGTCTGGATCAGACAACCAAATGATCAACAACATGAGCATCGATCTATGTAATTGGGATACGAAGACATTTGTCAACCAAGTCAGTGAGCCAGGCCACCCGATCCCGTTAGTCGCCTTTTACGACAAAAGTTGAGTTGATTCATGGATTACCCTTCTCAAGACCAACTTCCTACTCAGACCACCTTGAGAAAACATAATTTGGGGCTTTTGTCTCATTTGTTTTGGTTTTTTTGCTATGGGGCTTTTGTCCGAGGGGCTTTTGTCTATGGGGCTTCGGTCCTGCGGTGCTTTTGTCTGTCCACCGATTCTTGAAAGGTTCCAGAGACCCGTCCGGTAAGGCGATGGTGCCCATACAGCTGCTCTAATCTGGATAAAGGACAAGGTTGAACGCTACGATCGTTTTGTGGAACTGGCCCCAGGGGTCCAATTCCTCAACGGAATTCGAACTGGGTTGTATCAAGTGAAAAGTAACGGTAATAGGGATTGGGAAAAGCAGTACTGAAATTAGCATTCATGCTCAGCTAAGCCAACGTGGTATTGACGTGATACCGCTGTTACATTGGCTCACCTACAGCTGCTTCCTGTGATGCCTGTTCTTTAGTTAAGAGTACCGGGCATAAACCTTGCCGCCAACACAAGGTTAAACTATGATAATGAGAAATTAAGCAATATTATCCAGGGTTTACGCTCATAACTATTCTAACTTAATTTCAAAGTCGCGCCTTATGTTTGCATAGTATTGCATATTATATTATTACTGTCAGTTACCATAACTCGGAGTGGTAATGTTGCTGATGACCTCACGACCATTACTCTTTTTTCATGTGCTTTTGGAATATATTCCTCCTATTAGGTTATAAAGGTTTTGGTAATGTGGAGGTTGGAATCTAACATGACGTTCATGTTGCTGTAAACATATTCAGTTACTTGCCCATTTGCATTTGTTGAAAGAGATTCATATGCTATTTTTGAAATTCAATACTCCCAGTAATTATCCGATTTTCACATTTCAAAACATACAACAATTAACACTGTGAATCACGATTTCGCATTGTGTCAAAAACGGCGACATTTACGATGAAGCATATTCTGAAAGGTTATTTTAAGCACTTTAGCTTTGTCTTAGATAATAGTGGGTGGTATCAAGGAACAGAATTCAAAACTGTGAAGGATATTTGTGTGCGTGATTTATTTAGAATTTTATTGGACTTCAAAGTGAGGGTTAAAGAGGAAGAACATATGTCTCTGTGGCACCCAGGGGGTTAAACACGGAGGACCTGACAGGTGTTGAAGGAAAACTGATTTCTATGGATAGTCAACTTCTTTATTGCAATGAGTGCGACGTTTCGGTGTAGGTACTAACACCGTTATCAAGCAAGTGATAACGGTGTTAGTACCTACAACTGGCAACGTCGCACTCATTGCAATAAAGAAGTTGACTATCCATAGAAATCAGTTTTCCTTCATCTTCACAACTTTTAAAATGCCTCTCAAAGAAAGTGACAGGTGTTGTTTGTGACGCCAGACGGGTGAAGTGACAGGTGTTGTTTGTGACGCCAGACAGGGGACGTGACAGAGGCTGTTTGTGACGCCAGACGGGGGACGTGACAGGCATTGTTTGTGACGCCAGACAGGGACGTGATAGAGGCTGTTTGTGACGCCAGGCAGGGTTTCTGACGCCAGACGTGACGTGACAGTGTTGTTTCTGACGCCTGACGGGGGACGTGACAGCTATTGTTTGTGACGCAAGACGGGGGACGTGACAGGTATTGTTTGTGACGCCAGGCGGGGGACGTGACATGTGTTATGCACTGTGGTGTAGGTGTTCTAGAAGTTTATAAGAAAGAACAATATCCTTACATACTGGGGACGTGACAGAAGGCTGTTTGTGACGCCAGACGGGGGACGTGACAGAGGCTGTTTATGACGCCAGACGGGGGACATGACAGGTGTTGTTTGTGACGCCAGACGGGGGACGTGACAGAGTGCTGTTTGTGACGCCAGACGGGGGACGTGACAGGTGTTGTTTGTGACGCCAGGCGGGGACGTGACATGTGTTATTTGTGACGCCACTGTGTTGTGTACGCCAGACAGGGGACGTGACAGACGTGAACAATATGTGACGCCAGACGGGGGACGTGACAGAAGGCTGTTTGTGACGCCAGACGGGGGACGTGACAGAGGCTGTTTGTGACGCCAGACGGGGGACGTGACAGGTGTTGTTTTCGACGCCAGGCAGGGGACGTGACAGAGGCTGTTTGTGACGCCAGACGGGGGACGTGACAGGTGTTGTTTTTGACGACAGGCGGGGGACGTGACATGTGTTGTATGTGACGACAGGCGGGGGACGTGACAGGATTTGTTTGTGACGCCAGACAGGGGACACGACATATGTTGTTTGTGACGCCAGGCGGGGGACGTGACATGTGTTATGCACTGTGGTGTAGGTGTTCTAGAAGTTTGTAAGAAAGAACAATATCCTCACATAGAGGGGACGTGACAGAAGGCTGTTTGTGACGCCAGACGTGGGACGTGACAGTGCCTGTTTGTGACGCCAGACGGGGGACGCGACAGGTGTTGTTTGTGACCCCAGGCCGGGGACGTGACAGGTGTTGTTTGTGACGCCAGGCAGGGGACGTGACAGAGGCTGTTTGTGACGCCAGGCGGGGGACGTGACAGGTGTTGTTTTTGACGACAGGCGGGGGACGTGACATGTGTTGTATGTGACGACAGGCGGGGGACGTGACAGGTGTTGTTTGTGACGCCAGACGGGGACGTGACATGTATTGTTTGTGACGCCAGACAGGGGACGTGACAGGTGTTGTTTGTGACGCCAGACAGGGGACCTGACAGGTGTTATATGTGACGCCAGACAGGGGACGTGACAAGTGATGTATGTGACGACAGGCAGGGGACATGACAGGTGCTATATGTGACGCCAGGCGGGGGACGTGACAGGTGTCGTTTGTGACTCCAGACAGGGGACCTGACAGGTGTTGTGTGTGACGACAGGCGGGGGACATAACATGTGTTGTTTGTGACGTCAGACAGGGGCGTGACAGGTGTTGTTTGTGACGCCAGACGGGGGACGTGACAGAGGCTGTTGGTGACGCCAGGCAGGGGACTTGACAGGTGTTGTTTGTGACGCCAGACAGGGGACGTGACAGGTGTTATATGTGACGTCAAACGGGGAACATAACATGTGTTGTTTGTGACGTCAGACAGGGGCGTGACAGGTGTTGTTTGTGACGCCAGACGGGGGACGTGACAGAGGCTGTTTGTGACGCCAGGCAGGGGACTTGACAGGTGTTGTTTGTGACGCCAGGCAGGGGACGTGACAGAGGCTGTTTGTGACGCAAGACGGGGGATGTGACAGTGCCTGTTTGTGACGCCAGACGGGGGACGTGACAGGTGTTGTTTGTAACGCCAGGCCGGGGACGTGACAGGTGTTGTTTGTAACGCCAGGCCGGGGACGTGACAGGTGTTGTTTGTGACGCTAGGCCGGGGTCGTGACAGGTATTATTTGTGACGCCAGACAGGGGACGTGACAGGTGTTGTTTGTGACGCCAGGCGGGGGACGTGACGTGTGTTGTATGTGACGACAGGCGGGGGACGTGACAGGTGTTGTTTGTGACGCCAGACGGGGGACGCGACATGTGTTGTTTTTGACGCCAGGCGGGGGACGTGACATGTGTTATGCACTGTGGTGTAGGTGTTCTAGAAGTTTATAAGAAAGAACAATATCCTTTTCGGGTCTAAACAATTTTAATCAATGATGGTACAGGACTAACCATCCATAGACTTTGGTTTACTAACAGAACCGCAATAATGAAGGTAGGTGTGTTTGGCACTGAGCGAATAACAGAGACATGTTCCCATAGTTACACAACCAGAAAAAATAATTACCTAAGTAAACAAGTACTCAAGAAGAGGTCTGCCTAAGTTCTTTATCAAGCAGCTTGCCCCACACACTGTTGTATGGATGGGCAAGTTCTGTCTTCTGATTGGCCGCATCTACCATGCGCCGCCTTTCATTGGCCCATTTGAACAGGGACCCCTCCAGGTTGTAGACAGGAACACTGGCATGAGACTCTGAAATTATATCGTATCTAAGACCACATCAGCTGATTGCATTTCGTTCGTAGAAATCCTAACAATATTTTCATAAAAGGGTATTTTTTATACCCACCTCAAAATGAGAGAGGAATATCGCAAATCCGTTTATTCAGTACTGAAGAGACCACATGCCTGTAGTACAATTACAATATGCATATGGTAGAATATAAGCAAATCATTAACGTGGATATTACATGACACAATTAAGACATGACAGTATTTCTATAGTTTAAAGCATTGAATATAAATGCTGATACATTTCGTACAATTTGAGAATTGTTCGAACTCAGTAGAGCAATACATTTGTGAGTAATTTTGTGTCTAATATAATAATTAGACAGATATTAGAGATTAGAGATATTTGTGTACCTTCCTGTTTCCACAAATAGATCATGGGATGAACATCTTAGTCTTGCATTGCTATCCTAAATTTCTTCACATTTTTAACCTTGAGGTAAGTTTCAGTTTCAACAGTGGATTTTAGCTGTTTCTAACAGAAACATTTACTCGACAAACTCAGGGCGCGATGCCAATCTTGCAGAAATATGTCTTTTAACCTCTGTGTAAAAGTCATTATGAAAATTGAAGTACAGTATACATGTTGATCATACCAAATGTAGTTAAAACCTGTATTAAAAAGTATCTCCTTCACGTGTGTGGTCCAATTTCGTTTCGAGGAATATCGAAAGTGAGGAATACATGAAGTGACCGAGGAATGTGAGCAGTGAGAGAAGGATACGCGAAGTGAGAGAAGGATACGGGAAGTGAGAGAGAATACGGGAATAGCCTCTGTCCTTGCGCTCGTCACGTTTAATTTCCCGAGCATAAGGCCTTCAATAATTTTTTATCACAATTTGCAGGTACAACAATTTCAACCTCCATGATCCACAAAATTCATTTTCAAACCAACGTGATGACGTAACATATGTCATACTTGGGATTATTATTATTTTCTTATTAAAGTAAAGATTATTGAACTTCTGTTGGGTTGAGTCACATCCTGGATTCGAACCCACACTCTCAGAGTCAGGCACCTAATCGCTAGCACACAAAGTCAGCGGCCTTACCCGCTCAGTCATCGCGACTTCCGGGTTGTGGGTTAGGCTGACTTTGCTGACTATTGCATATTGGGTGCCTGACTCTGAGGGTGTGGGTTCGAATCCAGGATGTGTAATCCAAAATATTACATATGTTAAGGTTTATTTAGATGTAAACTGACTAGCTATGCAATACCTTGCTTGGCAAAAAGAGCCTGTATCTTCTGGGCTGTGGCGCTAGATCTGTAGCCAACTGAACAGTAGCAGACGACAACTCGCTTCCGGTCTGTCGATTCTGGACCTGGACAGAATACAATTTTGAATAGGTACGGTATTTTGTCTGTGCATGAAAGCATTGTATATAGACAATGATAAATCCTGCAGACCTTTACTCGTTGTTATTGTTGTTAACAGTGATGAAATGTGAGTGAGTTTAGTTTTACGCCACTTTTAGCAATCAATAGTCCAGCAATATCACGGCCTGGCACACCAGAAATGGGCTTCACACATCGAACCCGAGTGTTCGGGACGATCGGACACTTTAACCACAAGGCTACCCTACGCCCCAACTATGATGAGAATTTCGTAATATTACTATACATGTATGTATAGTAATAAAATCATAGACATGTTTCTCTAAATGAAGAGCCGGTGGAGTAGCCAAGGCGTTAATGCGTTCGCCGGTCACGCCGAAGACCCGGGTTCAATTCCCCACACGGATACAATGTGTGATACCTATTACTGGCGTCCCCCGTCCTGATATTGCTGGAATATTGCTTAAAGCGGCGTAAAATCCAACTCACTCACTCTTAAGAAAAGTGCAGCTTTTTAGTATTTGTAATTTTAGTTTTTGCTGGAAAATAACCAGTTTCGATCGTCCGATGTAACAAAATTCATTTGACGTTAAAGACAAACGGCAACTATGTGAATGGGTAACGGAAAGACAGTGGAAAACCTCTACCCCTATTCCAATAACACTGATTAAACCTTGATTTAACCAAAAGAAATATGGAGATTAGAGGGTCGAGCAGTTTACCTGTCTGGTTTAAGGAGGGGATGTCCTGGACGATCTGTGCATCATCTGCCTCCCAGTCTACACGGGTGCTGCCTTCTATGTGACTGACGTCATATTCCTCCTTCGGTCGACTGTCCTGGCAAACATAAACAGCGAAGTTGGAGATTTTACGAGTGCTTCGAGTAATGATTGCCTTACTTCGTTGGGATACGCCGCTTAAAACGGTATTCCCATGATATCGCGACATGTCAGCTTGTTGAGAGAGGAAAGCCGGATGTTGCAGGATTTGGTTTTAATAACTTACTAAAATGAAAAAACATTCTCAAATTTGTCATACGGTATATTTGGGATTACACTTTCTCAGTAAAGTACAGATTCTAGTACTTTTTTTAAATCGTAAAAGGCGGGTAATAGGATCCGGTCAGACTCCGTTGGTGCATGTCTTCATCATATCGTATTTACGTGTATGACTTCATGATGTCAATCGCTGTATTCTTAGATCAAGATTCTCTAATAACAGCAGAATATGGCCAAGGTGACGTACTCTCTCTCTAATAACAATTCGCCGCCGTATAGCGGGAGCTTTAATAAGTGTGATGTTAAACATCAAACTAACTGAACTTCATCCGTCACATAAAGTCCTTGATATATGTGTTTGTCACAGATCGGAGTCTCACAATAATCAACCCGTTGTGAATGCATTTTAATGAATGAATTTCGACTAACTTTCAAAATATTAGTGTTAGGACATCCGTCTATCTACCACAAGAACAGACATACAATGGTGGTGGTGTGTGGTCCTGTGCATAGAGCTCAGGGCACAAATCAGTTGAAGTTAAGCAACGCTGGGTGCGGACACTCCTTGGATGGGTGACCGTGATTGGCAGCTTGAATCCTGTGAGTTTCTAGGAATTCCGTCCTGCCCCACAACAAAGCACATGTGATACATGTGGTCTCACCTATGGCAAGTGAGTTCGTTCAAAATTGCCTATGTTCACCCAGCAGAAAATGGGTACCCGGTGGGATAACTAATGTGACTATGACCTTCTAGCGCCATATAGTCAGCTTGAGTTATCCGGGGAAATAATTTGTTACAAAGACGTATACGACAATTCCTTACATACATATGGATCTAAATTAGGTGCCGACACCAAGCCTTTGAGTCCTTTTTTATCAGTTGAAGATAGAACTTTGCATTTGCTCGAAGCACTCGTATTATCTCCAGCAAATCAACACACTGTGAATTAATACAACCTTTGTACGGTTGAGGCAAGAATATCCGAGTATCACAGAAGTATTTGATCATGAATACGACGGTAGGTCATATATTTTAAATTTGTATCTACTATTTTCCAAGTGAAATTTCGGCAGGGATCGTTAATGGTTTACTGACAATGAGAATGACATCGGTGTCGGATCCAGGTTTCAGCCAATCAGCGAGCTCCTTGGTGGTGATGTTAGAGACTTTGGGAAATTTCAGTTTTAGGCTCTTGATGACCATTGAAAAACCTAATCCCACGCTTCTCGTGATGTCCCCTGGATCATCGGAGGTGTCATCGGCAGAAGCTGCCATCATCGTCCCCTGCAAAATGAGAGGACTTAAAAATAAAACATATAAATTGCATTGCACAGGATTCTTTAATCGACCTTAGAGTTTGATTTTGGTCTATGTATGTATGTATGATGAATGGATGGATGGATTTAAGGACGCACGCACGCACGCACGTACGGACGGCTGGATGGATGCTATAAAGGTAAAATCTGACAACGGCAGTTCAGTTTATGAATTGTTTGGTCTGACAGAAAAAGCGATTTAATATCTTATACTAGTGATGACGATTAGTCACTTGACTAAAATGTTTAAGTCAGATAAATATTCTTTGGATTATTTTGAAGTAATCTTTGTCGTAGGTGTTTTAAAAAAACTTATTTTGTTGTGGTCATTTTTCGACTTCTAAGGTTGAAATCTAAGCCCTAATTTGTATCCATATCGAAAAGATATTATACAAGGTAGAGACGTAGTCCTGCTGTAAATATAATGCGAAAAGGGTATGTGTCATGTAAATGATCAGTTGAGGTACATTAGCAGGTGGCCAAATCAGTATCATGGCTTGGTGCATTCATATTCAGTCCAGTTAGCGCAGGAGAAGATCTCAGATACATCTATTTAGTCAGTCTGAATTTGGTGAAAAGCACGAGCACAGGTAGGGGCTGCAATATATATATATATACCGGTACTAAAAGAATGTTGACAGTAGTGATGGTGAGTGAGTGAGTGGGTTTAGTTTTTGCCGCTTTTAGCAACATCACGTCAGGAGACACCAGAAATAGGATTCACATTCACTTCGTATACCCATGTGTGGAATCGAACCCGGCCTTCGGCGTGACGAACGAGTGCTTTAACAACTAAACTACCCTGCCGCCCCGTAGCTCAGCTGTCGTTTATTTCCCGATGGACCTCTATGCTCCGTGATTACGTTGTCAATCAAACGGAGGGTTGCAGAACTGCATTTGGGGAATTCCTAAATTTCTTAAAAAATAGCGTCTCAATGGGGCGGATATACGTAGCATCTCCAAAACGAAAAGTTTATTTGTAGTTTCCGAGATTGCTTCGCTTACCTAAACAAGAGTCATGACAGAGAAAATGACAACCCCAAAAATCCAACAACTTCAAGATCTGTTTAAAATAATGTATCTGCCATGTTTTGTTGATAGATATAGAAAGGTTTTTAGTCATCCCTCGGGACACGAAGTCAACCCCTTTTGAGACTAAGTCCAAATCGTTTCCATGGAAATCAAGAAAATAAAAATCTGTAAAAAGCAAAAGACACCACGTTCTGTTTGGTATATCTACAAATCTTTGTTGATATATATTGAACGGTTTTGAGTTATGCTCCGGAAACGACATGATTTGGGACGGACGGACGGACAGAAAGAGAGACGAGCCATATGCCCCTACATTATATCCCGGGGGCATAAACAATCACACAGCTTCTCCATGTCGCGTGTGGCATCGAGAAACGGTAAACCCTGTTTCAAGCGGCTCATCTAGCCTTCGTATGTATCAAGTAGATCGATGTTCATACTGTTCGTGAGATCGTGACCCGTGAAGGTCCTGGCTAGAATTGGTCTCCAGTAACCCATGCTTGTCGTAAGAGGCGACTAGCGGGATTGGGTGGTCAGGTTCGCTGACTTGGGTGTCCCATGCTTGATGCTTGCTGTTGACACATTGTCAGACTCGGTTCCCCATATAGATCGATGCGGCATGTTAGCTCATTCACCACTCCTCATTGTCACTCACTCGTATGTCAGACACTCGATAACGACAACGCAACCACGCGACATGCTGACGTTTATCGTGAAGAGACCGACACCATGCAGTCTTGATCTACATGTGTTCATCTACAAGAGCCACACACACACACACACTCCCCACACCCTCACTGTCAATACAGTGAAACAGATATTTGAGAAACGATATGAATCTCTGGCATGGATAAGACAAGATCTCAACTAACTGTGCCTCCCGTGCCCCGCTACCCGCTATCCGCTTGGAAAAATATTTTAAACGGCAAAAATGACAGTTGAATAGCCGCTTGTCGAGCTGAAGACCAGGGTTCGACACTTCACACTGTTACAATTCCTAAAGTAACTTATTTCTGCCATTCGCTGTAAATTCGCAGAGACATTGCTTAGGGGTAGTTTCACTCCTTAAACCTTACCTAGTCAGCGCACACCAGTTACCTCCCTTACCACAGTCATATCCTCTCGTCAAAATAGGTCACTACACGGATATTATGCAATACCGTCAGAAACAACAGGCGTACTAAACATGGCAGTATGCCATGTTACGTGAAGTAAAGAAACACCATACTCTTTTGCTTCTAAAACTTATGACGCGGATCAACAGCTATTACATACCGTAAAGCACCAAATACTGACAGAATATTTCACACGAGACAGCCTTCCCTCCTACCAAGTCTGCCGTCCCTCACCAACTTGATTGTTGTCCGCAGATAAAAGCGCGTCGATACTTAAGGGGTGTGTGCATCGTATTGAGCCGGTGTCATTTCTCTCTTGTTGGGAAAGATGAATTCTGTGTAGATTCATTAAGTACTAAAAGAACTTCATCCTTCCTTATGTGTTTGTTGAGCTACTTTAAAGGAAGGAATGTGGATCACTGGTCATGTCGTACAATGAGTGTGTAGTGAAGGGTGTGTGGTGAGGGGGTGTGGTGTGTGTGTGAGGGTGAAACGGTGTGTAGTGAGGGGTGTGTGTGGTGTGGGTGTGTGGTGTGTAGTGAGGGGTGTGTGTGGTGAGGGTGTGTGGTGAGGGTGAGGAGTGTGTGGTGAGTGGTGTGTGGTGAGGGGTGTGTGGTGAGGGTGTGTGGTGAGGGGTGTGTAGTGAGGGTGTGTAGTGAGGGTGTGTGAAGTGAGGGGGTGTAGTGAGGGTGTGTGTGTGTGTGGTGAAGGGTGTGTCGTGAAGAATGTGTGGTGAAGGGTGTGTGTGGTGGAAGGGTGTGGTGAGGGATGTGTGTGTGTGAGGGGTGTGTGTGTGAGGGGGTGTGTGTGGTGAGGGGTGTGGTGAGGGTGTGTGTAAGGGTGTGTGGTGAGGTGTGTGGTGAGGGTGTGTGGTGAGGGTGTGTGGTGGTGAGGGTGTGTGGGTGTGGTGAGCGTGTGGGTGTGTGGTGAGGGAGTGAGGGAGGTGTGTGGTGAGGGTGTGTGTGTAGTGTGTGTGTGTGTGGGGTGTGGTGGGGGTGGTGAGGGTGTGGTGATGGGGTGTGGTAGGGGATGTGTGGTGAGGGGTGTGTGATGAGGGTGTGTGTGGTGACTTGTGTATGGTGAGGGAGGTGTGGTGCAGGGTGTGTGGTGAGGGGTGTGGTTGGGGGCTGGAGTGAGAATGTTAGCTGTGGTCACGAAAAGGTGACAGCAAAAGAGAGGGCGGGGTGGTTGGGGGCTGGAGTGGAGGGCAAAATTTACAACCCAGTGGTGGGCATGGAAAAGTGGGGGTGTTATTCTAAATTGATTCAGATAAAATAGATGATATCATTGCTCATGAAGTTAAAATGGTGGCCTTATCACGTTGCTCAAATTCAGAATTCATACACATTATGCAACCTAAACTCACCCTTCATATCTTTCGGTCAAAACACCCCACTTTCGACCAAACATGTCGTAAAGGGCATGTTAAATCTCAAAACCATCAATGTCCAAGGTTTTGCAAAGTCCTGAAATACTGCTCTCTTTTTCACCAATGTATGTTATTCTTTATTTTGTCTATCTTGTCTTTTGGAGTCATGTGGATTGAATGTAATCCTTTATCTAATTAAGTCTTTAAGATCGTTAATTATCATTAGGTATTGCACAATATGCCTTCAGTTTATAGGGTTCCGGGTAGTCTATGTCACTGCCCTGGATTCCTTATTTCATTCGTTAATGGTTGTTGTAATCATATGTAATTAGGTGTATCATTCTGGTACCGATCATCTGTCAGATGGGTAGTCTGTCATACAGACCCTGAAGCAAATATATCCAAGAAATCCCACGCAAGTCTAGAAAATGTGGCAAGTCTAGATTTCCACAGCTTCTGAAAATGAAGAAAGTCTCAGGGCTCCTTTTTATTATATTTTGATTTTTTTCAATATGAGCCTTTTTTCTGTAAAATATGTTCATTTCAGAGACTAGTCGTTAGTCTATTAGATGGGCTGCCGGCAATCTTTGCGTCATTAATTGGGGTGTGGATTTCAGGGCTGCGGTAAGGGTACATGACACTCAAAGAATGTTATTTCAATACTTTCATGTAAAAAATAATCTGTAAAATATTCGGGAGGGGAGCTGCCCCCCTGCCCCCCTGGTCTACCTTCGCCCCTGAAAGGACTCCACTAACGGACAATTTACCTAAATATAGTATTATATATAGTATGACCAGAAATTATTGAGAATTTTAGGGATATGTTTAATTGGATTTCTAGTTTAAACAACCTTGACCAGCTATCAAGTGCTTGGTTTCATTCAAGAGGGGCAACTCTGTTAATCCTGTTGCATTAGTTTGTGAAGAGTTATCCCCCTTTGTTTACTTTTTCTAGCAGACGACATTTTCAGTGATCCTCATTATGGATGATTTAGAGAGGAGGAAGTTGATTTTAGAGTATTATAACAAGGACATCAGATCAGCTAAAGTGATTTCAAGTAGAACAGGAATCCCTTTGTCCACTGTTTATTGTGTTTTGAAAAATATTGCAAATGGATATGGCGTTGAGCACCAGGGAGGCGCAGGTAGGCCCAGAAAATTGACTGTCGGTGACAGGAGGCGGCTTGGTATTCTTGTTTCTAAAAACAAACGAAGGAGTTTAGAAAACTTAAGGCTGAATATGATTGATAGAGGAACTGTGGCTGTCTGTAAGGAGACAATTAGAACTGAGCTGCATGCAATGGGTTGGCAGAAAAGTCAAGGAATTCCATCACCGATCATGAAACCTGAACAAAAGGAGCGAAGGTTGAACTGGTGCTTACAGCATAGAAATTGTTCCTAGGACAATGTGTTTTTCCCATGAAGGTTATGTGTGGCTGTTTCCTAATACACTGAAATTCTGGACCAAACAAACTGAAAAAACTTTGTATCAGCGCCCAAAGTACAGTCCGAAATTTAACGTGTGGGGTGGCATATCTGTGTTAGGGGCAGCGTCCTCTGCGTATTTGAAGGGAATATGAACAGTGGCGGTACACAGATATTCTCGAGGGACATTTACTTCCATCTGCTCACTTGTTTCATTGACATTTTTGGATTTTCCAGCAGGACAACGACCCAAAACATCGTTCAAAGCATTCACAGGCCTGGTTTCGGACCCAAAATATGACATTATTAGATTGGCCAAACCATAGCCCTGATCTAAATCCAACAGAAAATGTTTGGGGACTTATGAAGGAAAGTGTTTAAGAAAAACTGACAAATATTGCTGAAATGGTGACTTGACAAAATACTAACTGTTCACCTGTCTTTGAATCTGGAGTAATGTTCTGCTAATATTCACATTTAATACGTGAGTAATGATTGAAAACAAATTAAAATTTACAATCTTTAAATTCTCAATAATTTCTGGTTGTACCGTAAACTATTGATTTTTGGAAGTATGAACCGATGCTATACCAAGAATCATTCCCTCATGCCCATGATCATGTGGGAATGTTCATGACCATACCAGTCGGCAGTGTGGCTTGTGTAAGGTATTTCCATCTCTTCTCTTCGAGGCACAAGCTGTGGACACGTGCAACAATGAGCACGCCTAACTGGCCTGGCAATGCTGCACACATACAGAAGCACGCCTTTGATACCAAGTCCATGCGCTATCTACTCTAGGAAGACAGACTGGAGGAGTGAGTGAGTTTTGTTTTACGCCGCACTCAGCAATATTCCAGCTATATGGCGGCGGTCTGTAAATAATCGAGTCTGGACCAGACAATCCAGTGATCAACAGCATGAGCATCGATCTGCGCAATTGCAGACTGGAGGAAATTCAAACACAGCTAAAAGTGTATATTGAAGTCAAAATATTTTTGATATTCCCTTGGAACTGTAAATGTGAGAATGGCAGGGTTGATCATAAATAAAGCAATCTTTCTGACTGACCTATCTTGTAAAGTTGCAATGAGTAAACTGAGTGAGAGTAATATTGAACAAACCTGAAGATATCATGTATAACCTTTCTTAAGGGTTAAAAAAAAGCCTTCCCTTCTCTCTTCTCCTGTGTGATGGGTGATGCCATATCGTGTGTCCCCCGCAGTGATATTGCTGGAATATTGCTAAAAGCAGCGTAAAAACCAACTCACTCACTCACTCTAAGCATGATCAGCAGAAGACCAATTCGTACCACAGACCCTCGTGTCTTTGCAAGGATTAAAGATTAAGAATATATTGTTTTTGAGATGACCCCCGACTCAAAATGCTTCACAGAACAATACATCATGTCATGATGTATTGTACTGTGAAGCATTAAGAGTCAGGGGTCATCTAAACTTTTTATATATTTTATAAAATCTTTAATCCTCGCAAAGAAACGAGGGCCTGTGATTCGTAACTCCATTTTTACGGGTTTTTTCATAGCCATGACTTTCATTGCTTTCCCAGGGCGGTGGCGTAGCCTAGTGCAGTAGTGGTTAAATCGTTCACTCGTTACGCCGAAGGACGGGTTAGATTCCCAACATGGGTATAATGTGTGAAGCCCATTTCCAGTGTCCCCGGTCGTAATATTGCTGAAAGTGGCTTAAAACTAAACCCACACACCCAAAGCTTTGCATGTGAGGGAGATATGCCTATAAGAGCAAGGACTGGCTTCATGTTTCCATATCATATGGCGGCTGTCTGGACGGGTATGAGTACACTGCTATATGATCATGCAGTGTATGAAATAAGCCCGTCCGACCGCCCGAGGCGGGCTAAATTCACAGCTAGCCAGCCCGATGGTCTGGTAAAATTTTAGATAACATGTTCCATGATACATCTAAGTACATTTACCATATCTTTACTCTATTTTTCAAATTGAGCTTTGCATTTAGACTTGACAATTACTGTTTGAACATTGAACTATCTATCGCAAGCTCAAAGCACCGCGTTGACATATATTATCACTAAAACAGCATCTTAACAATAACTAGAAATGAGTTATTTTCTTTGGATTGTCTGGTCTGGTTAAATCCATTTTGGGTTGGTAACATTTTCAAATGATTTTCTTGAGAGTGCTGAAGACACGTCCTTCCGGATGATGTAAACAACCTTGTCAGCGAGTTCAACACAAAACTGGCGGCTATAGTTGATAAACATGCTCCTGTCAGGACCAGAGTTCATAGACCAAGAACAACATCTCCATGGCACACGGCAGAGATCAGAGAAGCCAAAAGCACTCGGAGAGCTGCAGAACGGCAGTGGAGGAAGTCGCAGCTGGAGATTCACAGACAGATCTTCAATGCTTGCAGGCACTCTGTGAACAATCTCATGCGTAGAGCCAAAGCTGAATATGTCAATGCTGAACTCACAGGCAGTTCTAATAATCCACAGAAGATGTTTTCTATCCTACACGGTTTACTCGGAAAACAGTCAATTGCAACACTTCCTCATGGTGGAGATGCTCACCTAGCATCAGAATTTAACAGCTACTTTCTGGACAAGATCAGCAACATCCGCCAACAGTTTGATTCTGATATGGACAACGAACCATCTCCTCAATACACGGGCACCAAGTTTAGTTCATTCCGGGTTGTAACAGAAAATGAAGTCCGTAAAACCATCCTCGAGGCCAAACCAACATCGTGCAGCCTAGATCCACTACCCACCAAGTTCATGTTGAAGATCCTGCCATCCTGGACGTTCTCCTACCCACCATCACAGATATAATCAATGTCAGTATATCCACGGGTGTTGTGCCGGATTATTTTAAAAAAGCCATTGTCAAACCCCTTCTGAAGAAGCCAAATTTAGATCCGCAGCTACTCAAGAACTATAGGCCAGTCTCCAACCTATCGTTCATATCCAAAATCCTAGAGAAAATAGTTAAGAGACAGTTGCTGTACCACCTGACCTCAAATGATCTACTTCACAAGTATCAGTCAGCTTATAGACAGGCCAACAGTACGGAAACAGCATTAAACTGTGTGATGAATAGTGTGCACGTCTGTTGACAGAGGGATATTGCTATGCTGGTATTGCCAGACTTGTCATCCGCCTTTGATACCATAGATCATGGCATAATATTGCATCGTCTCGAAAATACCTTCGGCATCACAGGGATACCGCTTCAGTGGTTTGGGTCGTACCCTCACAAACAGGTCACAGACAGTCCTAATTGGTGATGAGATGTCCACTCCAGCCAGATTATTCTGTGGAGTACCACAAGGATCAGTGATGGGGCCAATACTGTTTAACCTTTATACAACACCTCTAGGTCAGTGTATTGAAGAACATCATATACCTCATCACTTCTATGCAGATGACTCGCAAGTACAGAACAGCTGTAAGCCAACACCCATCAGTCAATCTGAAGCAAAACATGCAATGCAACAGTGCATTGCTGATGTCAGTACATGGATGGAAAAGAACAAGCTGAAACTCAATTCAGACAAAACGGAGGTGATTTTGTTTGGACCTCCATCCAGGTTACGAAATGTACTTTGGATCATCTGTCTATCGGGTCAGCTGACATCACCTTCAAGTCATCTGTCAAGAACCTCGGTGTGTACCTTGACTCCTCGCTATCCATGGAAGATCACGTGAGCCACTGCTGCAAGGTCAGTCATTACCACCTGAGGAACATCAGTGCCATCAGACATTTGCTGACGAGAGACGCAGCTGCCTCCCTCGTGAGATCTCTGATATTCTCTCGATTAGACTATTGCAACAGTTTGCTCTATGGAATCACCAAACAACAAATCAGACGTCTGCAGCACATCCAAAACTATGCTGCCAGATTGGTCACTCAGACGAACATAAAGGCACACGTCACACCAGTGCTAAACTCGCTTCACTGGCTTCGCATTCCTGAGCGAATCATTTTCAAAATACTCTCTCTGACTTACCAAGCTGTCCATGGTACTGGACCTGCCCATCTGAGTGATCTGATTGTCTCATACCTCCCTTCAAGAACTCTACGCTCTAGTCAACAACAGCTCCTTCGGGTGCCTGTCACCAAACTTAAAACTTTCGGCTCCAGATCCTTTTCTGTCTCAGCCGCTACTCTGTGGAACTCTCTACCCGAATCACTGAAGTTGATTCCATCTCTTGAAACTTTTAAATCCAGTCTTAAATCCTACCTTTTCAAGCACTATACCTAAAAGATACATAACTCATACCACTGTGGAGAACTCAACTGCCTCTGTTTCCATCGTTTGAGGCAATGCGCTTTGAGCATACCTTCATGGCGTGGATATAGCGCAATATAAGTGCCATTATTATTATTATTATTATTATTTTGAAGTTTGGCTGGGTTTTGGCTTATTTCATACACTGGACCATGGCCTGTAAACATCCAAGTCAGGGGCAGACAACCCAGTGGCTTATAATGTGAGCAACGATGACAGTTTCCGCTAAATCTTTGTGCATTCCTTTGTGCGTAGACCTGTGTGCGTGCGGCGTGTGTATGTGTGTGTGTGTGTGTGTGTGAGCAACAAACACCACCAGGTTCACAATATTGGGGATCTAGTTGGTACAGAGAGTAAATGATTTCAACCACGAGTTTGCCTCGCCAGGCTTCAAATATAACCAGATAAAATATGCTGATTGCCACAAAACATCCTTCACTGCTCTCAGGAAAGCCTCCAGTACAGGCTCAGGTTGTTCACAAACACAAATGTCATGTTCATCCAGTTTTATTTGTCATAAATCCATTTTCCACAAACCTTGTCACAGATTCACTTGTGTTTATATCTACAATATATTCACAGTGCAAACAATTGTGTATTGCACAGACTTCATATGTTGAGAGTTTAGGTAGTACTTCTTCTGATACATTCAACAGATGAATAACCTTTCATAACAAGAACAGTGTAAACATTGTCTGAAACCAGCGGCATAAGTACACGTGGTCCGATGGAAGATGATGAACAGTTGCTAGAATCAGTCCAAGATGTATAACAACCAGCTGCTTCAACAGTCATACAGATCATATACACCCAGCCACCAACATCTAGTTGGTCAGTGAGTGAGTGAGTTGGGTTTAACACACTTCTCAACAGTATTTCACTTATATCACGGCATGTCTGCTTATTGTGGGAAGAGAGCCCAATGTATTGCAAGTCTCAGACATTTACCACTTCAGTGAGTGAGTGAGTGAGTGAGTGAGTGAGTATGGTTTTACGCCCCTTTTAGCAATATTTCAGCAATATCAGGGGGAGGGAACACCAGAATTTGGCTTCACACAAAGTACCCCACACTCAGGCACAGCGATGACTTAACATAACATCACTGCCACAGGCTAATTTGCATATCACGTGACCGGACTTTTCTCTTGTTTGTAATCAAACGCGCATATTCATAATAAGAAGAGACTGGCCTTACGCAAGCTTTTCGGCGCTCTTTACAATGTTTTACATTGTACATATATTTCTTCCACAACTCGCGACAGTAACATTGATGACAGTACATATTTAGAAATCAATCTGGTTGCATCGTTTTGCTCCCTGTCGAAGCCGATGACAGCACGCGTGGAGCATTACAACCCTCGTAAACAAAGGACGCTCACAATTCGAAATAGTGTTACATGTTTTAGGATATTTTCTCAGTGAAACTAAGCCATTCTATCAAAGATGTTTAATTAGATGTTTAGGCTCGTCAAAATAAAAGAGTTAAGAAATATGTACATATATATTGAATGGGCCAGTTGCAAGATGTGACGAATCGTCACATTTTTGGCCTGTGGCGGAGAGGTACTATGCTGGCTTGCCGCCGCACGGAACTCTGGGTAGGAGAGTGAAAGTACCCATGTGGGGGAATCACTTCCAGTGAAACCCACAAGGACAGGTATAAAGATGGCAAACCTTGACACAAACTTAGAACTGAAATTCAAACCCACAATCAGTAGAATTTCTGACATTGCTGTGACTGACTGACTGACTGAGTTTGGTTTTCACGCCACTTTTAGCAATATTCCAGCAACATCACGGCGGGGGACACCAGAAATGGGCTTCTACAAATTGTACCCATGTGGGGATTGAACCGGGTCTTCGGGCGTGGCGAGCCAGCTTTAACCACTGGGCTACCCACTTGACCCCGACATTGCTCTGAGAAGATGCTGGGTAAAATAGTGATTGGATTCATCAACACTCATACATTGTCCACCAACTTTCTTCCTACAATTCCTTCCACCCATTCACAAGACTCACAGAGGTGATATCAATCCCATTACGTCTTATTTCATGTAAAAAAATTATTCATTATCATCTCTAATTATTTCTGTTTTTTCCCCTGGCTTTTTCTTCTTTCTGGAACTCCCAGCAGACGTGGCATCCACCTCATCTGAGGACCTCCGTTTGCGAGGACTGTCACTGTCCACCGACATGGTACTTGTCACGGAATCCGAGAGGAGGTCGCTAGAGTTATCTCCTCCTGCCCCATTGATCAAGGTGAGTTCAGCCATGTTCTCCACTACATCCCCATTTTGTTGGCCAGAGTTTTTCATCTTCTTTTTTCTCTGCTTCTGTTTTTTGCCAGTCTTTTGCCTGGAATATTTTTAGAATAAATATGTCACTGATGTCAAATATATCAATGTTTCAATAACAGTTCTAAACTGCAGTATGTGAAAGGCTTGAGAGTAAAGGTAAGATTCTATTTATTACCCTAAATTTTCCTTCCAACTTTTTCATTTGTAATCAATAAAAAGCTCTGCATTGTGTGTAACTGTACATCATCCATGGCAGAGACTGCCCGAACACTAATATTTTTCTTACCAGTAACGTCAGACGATCTTATGTTTATTTGTTTGTTTATGGCTGCACTCAGCAATATTCTAGCTATACAGCAACAGTCCGTAAATAATTGAATCTGGAGCAGACAATCCAATGATCAACATCATGAGCATTGATCTACTCAATTGAGGTACGAGGACATGTAAGTTGCACCTGATCACTCGAGCCTATTAGTCAACTCTTACAACAGGTATTGCTTGCTGAAGACCAATTCTAACCAGTATCTTCACCAGTACTACCTTACGCTTCAACGTAACTAGTTTCTATACAACAACCACACATTTTGCATCAAATACAACTCACTGCAGACATTATTTACATCCACTAATATTTATCGGACACAGGACTTTGCCAACAAAGATCTAGAACAATGAAGCATACAACATTTCTTGTATATTGAGTGAGTGAGTTTACTTTGACGCCGCTTTTAGCAATATTCCAGCAAAATCCTGGCATGGGGACACCAGAAATGGGCTTAACACATTGTGCCCATGTGTAGGAGCCGAACGCTTTAACCACTAGGCTACCACACCCACCCAGCTTGTTTATTGAATAGAGCCACTTGTCAGTGTATATTCTTACACCCTTATCAAGCAAAAGTGATCGGCATTCTAGAAGATGGCGAGTCAATGATGAAGCATACAACTCCATGTTTATTGCAGAGAGCAACGACACGTGTAGAATCTTACACTGTTATCAAGCTAAACTGAACAACTGAAGATCTAGAACTTGTGACCGACTTCCCGAAAATCAAGTGTGTTCTCACCTGGTGAAGTTCAGAAGACGGTTACACATGCTGCGAGCATCCTTGTTGAGGTGAGACTTGAGTCCCGTCAGCTTCTCTGTCACTTCATTGGTTGCAACCTGAGTCAAGAGATACGAGTGCACATTTCTGTACCACACAAACGTTCGGAAGTATGGTCATGGCGCTTCATAATCACAAGTATACATTTGTATTGTTAACAGTGAGACTGATGTTTATGAATCAAAGCATTGGTAAAGAGGTGAATCTAGACTTTGGTGTTACACCTTGGCTGTTAAAAGTTTATATCGACCTAGAGGACATTCTCTTCCCACAGTGGTTACTTGTCATATCTTCCTACGAACATCTGTTCATATACGGCCATATTTCCCGGTTCTCGCAAAATCCCTATATGGCCAAAAATCACAACACGAATTATCTCCCTTCCTTCTATCCAATCAGAATCCGTGTTACATCGACTTAGATCCAACTTGACTAATGCAAGCAAATATGGGGCCACAAGTATCACTCCTCTGCCAGGGACTTGTGTTGATGTGACACACAAGACATTTAATGGCTAGCTTGTTTGTTGTCAACAAGGGCGACGGAGACGCTATTGATCCACCATTGCATGACCGAGTTCTGTCTAGAAGAAATGTTAGCGCATCGCACATGCGAAGAGGTTCTAGTTTTCCCTAAGCCTACGGAAATTACTGAGGCCCTGCGGATGATCACTGTTGGAACAACATCGCTGATTGCACAACTAAATCTGATTGCAACCAATCACGAATCCTGAACACTCGCACCATGAAAGGGCCGTATTTGAACAGAGGTTTGTAGGAAGAGATGACAAGTAACCTCTATGGGAAGGCAGTATTTAATATACAACAAGCACATAATGACACATCAGGGCTGAATCACAAAGCGTTCGTAGCCCAAAATCATTCCTAATCGTATGATAAACTTTTTAGTTAAGATAGCTCGTAACACTACAAATGCTATGTGGACCAGGATCCAGTATGTATTAAGTATATGATATTATTGCCACGCTGAACAGAGCGTGTGATGTACCTGGCGTGCCGTGTCTGGGTGGATGATGGAGAGGCGGACGACAACATGCAGCAGCTCCAGCGTGAACTTGGGTTTGATGCTCTCCACCGACAGTCTCAGCAGCAGCTGCAGAACAAACACACAAGGTTCATCACTGGTGTGACGGCATGTGACACTATCAAACAGTGGTGAGACTGATTGTGTGCAGTGGTGAGACTGATTGTGTGCAGTGGTGAGACTGATTGTGTGTAGCGGTGAGTGTGTGCAGTGGTGAGACTGATTGTGTGTAGCGGTGAGTGTGTGCAGTGGTGGTGAGACTGATTGTGAGCAGTGGTGAGACTGATTGTGTGCAGTGGTGAGACTGATTGTGTGTAGCGTGAGAGTGTGCAGTGCAGGGTGAGACTGATTGTGAGCAGTGGTGAGACTGATTGTGTGCAGTGGTGAGTCTGATTGTGTGCAGTGGTGAGACTGATTGTGTGCAGTGGTGAGACTGATTGGGTGCAGTGGTGAGACTGATTGGGTGCAGTGGTGAGTCTGATGGAAGTGTTCAGTGGTGAGACTGATGGTGTTCAGTGGTGAGTCTGATTGTGAGACTGATCGTGTGCAGTGGTGAGACTGATTGTGTGCAGTGGTGAGACTGATTGTGTGCAGTGGTGAGACTGATTGTGTGCAGTGGTGAGACTGATTGTGTGCAGTGGTGAGACTGATTGTGTGCAGTGGTGAGACTGATCGTGTGCAGTGGTGAGACTGATTGGGTGGTGCAGTGGTGAGACTGATTGTGTGCAGTGGTGAGTCTGATTGTGTGCAGTGGTGAGACTGATTGTGTTCAGTGGTGAGACTGATTGTGTGCAGTGGTGAGACTGATTGTGTGCAGTGGTGAGACTGATTGTGTGCAGTGGTGAGACTGATTGTGTGCAGTGGTGAGACTGATTGTGTGCAGTGGTGAGACTGATTGCAGTGGCAGAGACTGGTGAGTCTGAGTCTGATCGTGTTCACTGGTGAGTCTGATCGTGTTCAGTGGTGAGACTGATAGTGTTCCAGTGGTGAGACTGATTGTGTGCAGTGGTGAGACTGATTGTGTGCAGTGGTGAGTCTGATTGTGTGCAGTGGTGAGACTGATTGTGTGCAGTGGTGAGACTGATGGTGTGCAGTGGTGAGACTGATTGGGTGCAGTGTTGAGACTGATTGTGTGCAGTGGTGAGACTGATTGTGTGCTGTGTGCAGCGTTGAGACTGATTGTGTGCAGTGGTGAGACTGATTGTGTGCAGTGGTGAGACTGATTGTGTGCAGTGGTGAGTCTGATTGTGTGTCGTGGAGAGACTGACCGTGTGCAGCGTTGTGGACAGCGTGGATGAGAACTGACCCCAATGGTCATCTCCAACATCACGGGGCTGCAATGGAGAAATAATTGTTACATGAGAAATCTTTTCAAACTAACTACTGAAACTGAATAATAACAAACATAAATATTTTGCTTCTACAGATGTCAGAATTGACTTATATCTCAGTGCAACAGTAATTTTCTGAGATGAAATAATTTGCATCACATTGCCCTGTCGAGGGCATATCATTTAAAAAATGGAAGTACTTGTGAAGATCCCGAATTGGTCTTCAGCAAACCCATGCTTGTCGTGAGGTGATTGGGTGGTCATGCTCACTGACTTAGTTGGTATATATCAATCGTATCCCAATTGTGTAGATCAATGCTCATGATGTTGATCACTGGATTGTCTAGTCCAGACTCCATTATTTACAGATCCCCACCATACTGCTTGACTATTGCTGAGTGCAGAGTTAAACGACAAACAAACAAACAATCACATATGGAACATTTAGAACAGCTGAAATGTGGTAACAAATGTGTGTGCTGGATTACATTTTGTTTGAGAAATTGCTGGGGTGTTTTTCAATTTCATTCTGCAGAAGAAACACCTGCTATGTTGGATGTCTACTTACCAGGTTCTTCCCTGCTGAGAATAGAGCTGACAAGAGAGAACAGGCCTGGGTCTGAAATACAAAACTCTCTTGCTAACCTTTTCTGGTAATCATAAACATAATCTTTGTTATTCAGCATGAAGAAATTGGTTACTGGTTTCAAGATCATTTTCTTAAAATCAACAACATTTGCGTTGAACAGATAACTTTGGCGACTTGGACAGAGTACACATTAACAAGATAACTGTCTGACCTTGGAGTGAACCTTGACCTTGGCATCGTTGAGAGATTGCAGAAGGAGGTCAGTCAGTGGCCAGAACATCATCTGCAGGTGGAGTGAGTGAGGGAGTGGTGTTACAATCTCAGGACAATATCAGTGTTGCATTATGTCATATACTGTGAATCACCAACTATTTCTGTGCCTAACACATAATCTGACATTATGCATCTTACTGCAAAACATGAACCCTGATACTGTATGCTTGTTATTGCCCTATATGAGCCATGATAATATACATCTTATTGCCTTACATGGGTCATGATACCATACATCTTATTGCCCTACATGGGCCTTGATACCATACATCTTATTGCCCTACATGGGCCATGATACTATACATCTTATTGCCCTACATGGGCCATGATACCATACATCTTATTGCCCTACATGGGCCATGATACTATACATCTTATTGCCCTACATGGACCATGATACTGTATGCTTGTTATTGCCCAGCATGGGCCATGATACCATACACCTTATTGCCCTACATGGGTCATGATACTATACATCTTATTGCCCTACATGGGCCATGATACTATACATCTTATTGCCCTACATGGGCCATGATACCATACATCTTATTGCCCTACATGGACCATGATACTATACATCTTATTGCCCTACATGGACCATGATACTATACATCTTATTCCCCTACATGGGCCATGATACTATACACCTTATTGCCCTACATGGACCATGATACCATACACCTTATTGCCCTACATGGGCCATGATACTATACATCTTATTGCCCTACATGGGCCATGATACTATACATCTTATTGACCCTACATGGACCATGATACTATACACCTTATTGCCCTACATGGACCATGATACTATACATCTTATTGCCCTACATGGGCCATGATACTATACACCTTATTGCCCTACATGGACCATGATACTATACACCTTATTGCCCTACATGGGCCATGATACTATACATCTTATTGCCCTACATGGGCCATGATACTATACATCTTATTGCCCTACATGGACCATGATACTATACACCTTATTGCCCTACATGGGCCATGATACCATACATCTTATTGCCCTACATGGGTCATGATACCATACACCTTATTGCCCTACATGGACCATGATACCATACACCTTATTGCCCTACATGGGACCATGATACCATACACCTTATTGCCCTACATGGGCCATGATACCATACATCTTATTGCCCTACATGGACCATGATACTATACACCTTATTGCCCTACATGGGCCATGATACTATACATCTTATTGCCCTACATGGGCCATGATACCATACATCTTATTGCCCTACATGGACCATGATACCATACACCTTATTGCCCTACATGGACCATGATACTATTGCCTTATGCTTGTTATTGCCCTACATGGGCCTATAGAGACCATACATCTTATTGCCCTACATGGGTCATGATACCATACACCTTATTGCCCTACATGGACCATGATACTGTATGCTTGTTATTGCCCTACATGGGCCATGATACCATACATCTTATTGCCCTACATGGGCCATGATACTATACATCTTATTGCCCTACATGGACCATGATACTGTATGCTTGTTATTGCCCTACATGGGCCATGATACTATACATCTTATTGCCCTACATGGGCCATGATACTATACACCTTATTGCCCTACATGGGCCATGATACTATACATCTTATTGCCCTACATGAGCCATGATACTACACATCTTATTACCCTGCATGAGACAAAACAGAGTGCATGTTATTGCCCAGTATAAACCTTGACACAACGCAAGCTTTTGTTCAACTTGAGCAATGACACGAATGAAACCCTGACACTATGCATGTTATCACGCTACACAAACCCTGACACTATGCATGTTATCACCGACACAAACCCTGACACTATGCATGTTATCACCTACACAAACCATGACACTATGCATGTTATCAAGCTACACAAACCATGACACTATGCATGTTATCACGCTACACAAACCCTGACACTATGCATGTTATCACCTACACAAACTATGACACTATCCATGTTACCTAACTACAATAAACCATGATACTATGCACGTTATCACGCTACACAAACCAAGACACACGCATGATATCATCCGGGCACCGAGCCTGTTATCACCCATGTTAATAGACCCTGTCTAGAAAACTCACTGGATGTTTGTTCAGCATGTTGTGGAAGAACACCATGTGTAGATGATGATCCCTGAAAATATACCAAACAAAAGGGATGATAATAAAGATATCACCAACTAGTTTAAAATGATATATATGACCTGGCCCTTCAGAAGGACCAAGTTTGATTTCAGAAATCCTAAAAGCCCATCTTAACTCATGTAAGACAACGCTAAAGTGTGGCATATAGGTGAGTGTAAGTTCATATCTACGCCGCATTTAGTATTATTTCAGCAATATCACAGAGGGGACACCAGAAATAGGCTTCATGCATTGTACCCATGTGATTAATCAAACCCAGGTCTTCTGTGTGAAGAGCGATCACTTTAACCACTTGGCTACCCCACTGCCCCATGGAGCGATCACTTTAACCACTTGGCTACCCCACTGCCCCATGGAGCGATCACTTTAACCACTTGGCTACCCCACTGCCCCATGGAAGGTGGGCCAGCCAGTGAAGCAAAAGAGTTTATTTTCAGTTTGTCTGAGTGTTGTACAACATCACACAGTAATTTTCTAGCAATATGACGTCAGCCTGCAAGTATTCTTGTCTGGACCAGACAATCAAGTGATGAGCAACAATCTACGTTGTTTTGGAAAATCCAAGAATTAAAATGGCAAGGGACACCAGAAATGGGCTTCACACATGGTATTCATAAGTGGAATCAAACCGGCTCTTCGGTGTGATGAGCAAACGCTTTAACCACTAGGCTACCCCACCACCCCCAAAACAAGTCAATGACCTGACCACCTAATCCATTTGCTCACATCTTACAATCAGCAAAGACTACCAGCACCAACCTGGAATCCCCCACGAGGCTATGTCAAATACAATATGTATATCTCCATGACTGTCAGTTGAGTTCAAGTACCAGCATCCTGGATTAGAGCTGGTCCCAAGCAACGTATGCTTGTTGTAAGAGGCAACACAAAGAATAAGGTTGTCTGGATGGTGACACTGCTTACTGCGTGACACAAATCCCAGTTGTGTTGATATCCCATCGATGCTCATGATATTAATCACTGGATTGTCTGGTTCACACTAGAAAATAAAGACACCTGGGTGTCGTTGTACAGAGCAATCTTACGCTAAGGTGACCATAGCTCCCATACCTTAACATAGACTTACTACTGGCGTAGCGCTAAGGTGATCATAACTCCATGCCTTAACATGGAATTACTACTGGCTGGTAAGCTTAAGGTGATCATAACTCCCATACCTTAACATAGACTTACTACTGGCGCAGCGCTAAGGTGATCGTAACTCCCATACCTTAACATAGACTTACTACTGGCGTAGCGCTAAGGTGATCATAACTCCCATGCCTTAACATAGACTTACTACTGGCGTAGTGCTAAGGTGATCATAACTCCCATGCCTTAACATAGACTTACTACTGATGCAGCTAAGGTGATCGTAACTCCCATACCTTCACAGACTTACTACTGGCATAGCTAAGGTGACCAAAGCTCCCATACCTTAACATAGACTTACTACTGGCATAGTGCTAAGGTGACCAAAGCTCCCATACCTTAACATAGACTTGCTACTACTGACCCATGAAGCTAAGGTGATCATAACTCCCATGCCTTAACATAGACTTACTACTGGTGTGGCTAAGGTGATCGTGCTCCCATGCCTTAACATGGACTTACTACTGGCGTGGCTAAGGTGATCGTAACTCCCATGCCTTAACATAGACTTACTACTGATGTGCAGCTAAGGTGATCGTAACTCCCATGCCTTTACATGGACTTACTACTGGCGTGAAGCTAAGGTGATCATAACTCCCATGCCTTAACATAGACTTATTACTGGCATAGCTTGCTTAGGTGGTCGTAACTCCCATGCCTTAACATGGACTTACTACTGGGTGTGAGCTAAGGTGATCATAACTCCCATGCCTTAACATAGACTTACTACTGGCGTAGTGCTAAGGTGATCGTAACTCCCATGCCTTAACATAGACTTACTACTGGCGTAGCGCTAAGGTGATCAGTAACTCCCATGCCTTAACATAGACTTACTACTGATGCAGCGCTAAGGTGATCGTAACTCCCATGCCTTAACATCGACTTACTACTGGAAGCGTGATTGAAGCTAAAGGTGACCATAGAAGCTCCCATACCTTAACATACCTCAACAGACTTACTACTGATGTAGCGCTACTAAGGTGATCGTAACTCCCATGCCTTAACATAGACTTACTACTGATGCAGTAGCTAAGGTGACCATAGCTCCCATACCTTAACATAGACTTACTACTGATGCAGCGCTAAGGTGACCGTGCTCCCAGCTCCAATACCTTAACATAGACTTACTACTGATGCAGCTAAGGATGATCGTAATTCCCATACCTTAACATAGACTTACTACTGGTGAAGCTAAGATGACCGTGAGCTCCCATACCTTAACATAGACTTACTACTGATGCAGCATGCTAACATGATCGTAATTCCCATACCTTAATATAGACTTACTACTGGCGTAGTGCTAAGGTGACCGTAGCTCCCATACCTTAACATAGACTTACTACTGGCGTAGTGCTAAGGTAGCTTTGTACAACAGCACCCTGTCTTGAAGCTCAAATACTGTGCTAGCTTTAAACAACAAACGAACAGACAACTGATCACACATAAAAAACAACATACCGCCTGTACAGGAAGTCTGACAGGGACGACCTCACTTTGTCCAGCACCTCCGGGAGGTCCGCTTCCTCCTGTAAACAGACATGACATAATGGTTAAAAGTAAACCATATTTAAACATCCCCCATTTCTCCATCTGTATTAGGAGTACCATATATTACCATAGATAAGACAATCTCATACATAAACCGAGGTCCAAACTTGACCCTAAAATCAGTATCAAAATGGTATGTTCCGTAGATAAGCCATAAAAAACCTTTGACAAAAGTGTAACCTGTAGATAGGCTGCCCCCCTTCTACAGGCTGCATTTTTGGTCCTCAAAATTTGGCTAATCAGCAGTAATATACGGTACTACATTACCATTCTATAATGACAATCACCCTCACTATCTAGTTTCTCCCATCTCTACGAATTTCTCTCAATTAGGAAAACAATTTGGCTATTTATACAGTTGTGCATTTTAAATCAAGCTCAGAATGCTTTTAGCAAATATTCCAGAATATCACAGTGAACAACAAGGATAGCTTCACACATTGTACTCAGTTTGGGCAAAAGTTTCTACCCTATTGGCTCAGAATAAATGATGGTAGCAAATGAGACCTGGGCCTAGATTTTCGAAGCTATCTTAGCGCTAAGATAGTTGTAAGTTAATGTTAATGTATGGCTCTTACGACTATCTTAACGCTAAGAGACCTTCGAAAATCTAGGCCCAGGACATTTATCCAGAGGACATGAGTGAGTGAGTTAAGTTTTACGCTGCTTTTAGCAATATTCCAGCAAATGTAACAGCAGGGGACACCAGAAATGGGCTTCACACATTGTACCCATGTGGGGAATCACAGCCAGGTCTTCAGTGTGGCGAGCAAATGCTTTACCCACTAGACTACCCCCCCACACACACACCCCCCCAGAGGGTATGAAGATACACACTAAACTAGAAAACAGGAAATGTAATTTCTAAACCCAGTAACGTGGCCAGCTGTACAAATAACAAGAATCCGTTTGTTAACACTGCACTATAGTACCATATGTTAACACTGCACTATAGTACCATATGTTAACACTGCACTATAGTACCATATGTTAACACTGCACTATAGTACCATATGTTAACACTGCACTATAGTACCATATGGTAACACTGCACTATAGTACCATATGGTAACACTGCACTATAGTACCATATGGTAACACTGCACTATAGTACCATATGGTAACACTGCACTATAGTACCATATGGTAACACTGCACTATAGTACCATATGTTAACACTGCACTATAGTATCATATGTTAACACTGCACTATAGTACCATATGTTAACACTGCACTATAGTACCATATGTTAACACTGCACTATAGTATCATATGGTAACACTGCACTATAGTATCATATGTTAACACTGCACTATAGAACCATATGTTAACACTCCACTATAGTACCATATGTTAACACTGCACTATAGTACCATATGTTAACACTGCACTATAGTACCATATGGTAACACTGCACTATAGTACCATATGGTAACACTGCACTATAGTACCATATGTTAACACTGCACTATAGTACCATATGTTAACACTGCACTATAGTACCATATGTTAACACTGCACTATAGTACCATATGGTAACACTGCACTATAGTACCATATGTTAACACTGCACTATAGTACCATATGTTAACACTGCACTATAGTACCATATGGTAACACTGCACTATAGTACCATATGGTAACACTGCACTATAGTACCATATGTTAACACTGCACTATAGTACCATATGTTAACACTGCACTATAGTACCATATGTTAACACTGCACTATAGTACCATATGGTACATTATGCTAGGTGACGTATCAAACATTTGGGAACACACAATCTCATAATTGAAAATTTGCTTACTTTGTCAACTGATGCGCTATCTGACTTTGACTTTGACCTCGTCTTCACAGATGGAGGCGCATCAAGTTTTTGGTGAATCAAGAGACGGATCTGTCAAAACAAAACAAGAGTTATACTTGGGCATGTCTGCTTGAAAACCCGAAGTCAAGTCAATGTTTACCACTTTCATGAACAGAAGCGCATGAAAAACATGATTAGCACAAAATTAGGGATTGAACCCACATTGAACTCAGGCTGAAGAGAAATGGTTTTCCATGTTTAATGAGTCAACTTACTATGACAAGACATGCATCAGAGATAGCCTTCACCAGATCCTGGCTGTGCGCTGAAACATACATGTAACTATGGTAACAGGTATGCTTAAATTGTACCAAGACACTCAAATCATTGTCAACACACAACCTAATATTTCAGTCATTCCACTCATTTACACAGGTTGCTACAGTATGCACAGCAAAGACAAAATTAGCCGAACGACCCACGTTCTTTTTACGCCTCATCAAAACTACAGCTCTATTGTTTTTGCCAGTAAGCAGTGAGTCTTGATGGGGCAAACCATAGAGTGACAGTATGAGCATATTCCACTGTCAGGATACCACGACACAGCGAGCCAGATCACACACCACCAACACTGTCAGGATACCATGACACAGCGAGCCAGATCACACAACACCAACACTGTCAGGATACCATGACACAGCGAGCCAGATCACACAACACCAACACTGTCAGGATACCATGACACAGTGAGCCAGATCACACAACACCAACACTGTCAGGATACCATGACACAGCAAGTCAGATCACACACAACCAACACTGTCAGGATACCATGACACAGCGAGCCAGATCACACACCACCAACACTGTCAGGATGCCATGACACAGCGAGCCAGATCACACACCACCAACACTGTCAGGATACCACGACACAGCCAGTCAGATCACACACCACCAACACTGTCAGGATACCCACACACAGCGAGTCAGATCACACACCACCAACACTGTCAGGATACAATGACACAGCGAGTCAGATCACACACCACCAACATTGTCAGGATGCCATCACACAGCGAGCCAGATCACACAACACCAACACTGTCAGGATACCATGACACAGCGAGCCAGATCACACAACACCAACACTGTCAGGATACCATGACACAGCGAGCCAGATCACACACCACCAACACTGTCAGGATACCATGACACAGCGAGCCAGATCACACACCACCAACACTGTCAGGATACCACCGACACAGCGAGTCAGATCACACACCACCAACACTGTCAGGATGCCCGCGACACAGCGAGCCAGATCACACACCACCAACGCTGTCAGGATGCCTACGACACAGCAAGTCAGATCACACACAACCAACACTGTCAGGATACCCATGACACAGCGAGCCAGATCACACACCACCAACACTGTCAGGATGCCATCACACAGCGAGCCAGATCACACACCACCAACACTGTCAGGATGCCATGACACAGCGAGTCAGATCATACACCACCAACACTGTCAGGATGCCATGACACAGCGAGTCAGATCACACACCACCAACACTGTCAGGATGCGTGACACAGCGAGTCAGATCACACACCACCAACATTGTCAGGATGCCCACGACACAGCCGAGCCAGATCACACACCACCAACACTGTCAGGATGCCATGACACAGCGAGCCAGATCACACACCACCAACACTGTCAGGATGCCATGACACAGCGAGCCAGATCACACACCACCAACACTGTCAGGATGCCATGACACAGCGAGCCAGATCACACACCACCAACACTGTCAGGATGCCATGACACAGCGAGTCAGATCACACACCACCAACACTGTCAGGATGCCACGACACAGCGAGTCAGATCACACACCACCAACACTGTCAGGATGCCATGACACAGCGAGCCAGATCACACACCACCAACACTGTCAGGATACCATGACACAGCGAGCCAGATCACACACCACCAACACTGTCAGGATGCCATGACACAGCGAGCCAGATCACACACCACCAACACTGTCAGGATACCATGACACAGCGAGCCAGATCACACACCACCAACACTGTCAGGATACCATGACACAGCGAGTCAGATCACACACCACCAACATTGTCAGGATACCATGACACAGCGAGTCAGATCACACACCACCAACACTGTCAGGATACCATGACACAGCGAGCCAGATCACACACCACCAACATTGTCAGGATACCGTGACACAGGGTGTCAGATCACACACCACCAACTGTCAGGATGCCATGACACAGCGAGCCAGATCACACACCACCAACACTGTCAGGATGCCGTGACACAGCGAGTCAGATCATACACCACCAACACTGTCAGGATGCCATGACACAGCGAGCCAGATCACACACCACCAACACTGTCAGGATGCCGTGACACAGCGAGCCAGATCACACACCACCAACACTGTCAGGATGCCGCGACACAGCGAGTCAGATCACACACCACTAACACTGTCAGGATGCCCGCGACACAGCGAGTCAGATCACACACCACCAACTGTCAGGATGCCATGACACAGCGAGCCAGATCACACACCACCAACATTGTCAGGATGCCACGACACAGCGAGCCAGATCACACACCACCAACACTGTCAGGATGCCATGACACAGCGAGCAAGATCACACACCACCAACACTGTCAGGATGCCCGCGACACATCGAGGCCAGATCACACACCACCAACACTGTCAGCTCTAACAACAAGCAGAGGTACTTGGGTAGTCTGTCCACGATCTGTACCGTCGCGCGTTACAACTGGGAGCCTGTCTTTCTTTCTTCTTTCTTTGTTAGCTAAAAAAATAAGACAATGTCCATGCAAAGGAGGAAGGGTACCTCCAAGAGATGTTGGACAAAGTAAGGTCCTTGTCAGACTACTTGTACAGGCGGTATGTTGTTTTGTGTTTGTTTAGTGGTCTGTTTGTTGTTGTTTATGGCTATACTCAGCAGTATTCCAACTACATGAAAGGGGCCTAATTTTTTCGACTCTAGACCAGACAATCCAGTGACTGACATTGAGAACAATATGGTACAATGACAGTAACTACAGAAGTCACCATGGTGGACCGACTCATCCATCTGGTCACCTCTAACAACCGACACAGGGACCAGTTCTAATCCAGAACAAGACTGTCTCTTGATAACGATACTGTCACACATACGAGTACTGATCAGGTTGTAATGATACCTTCACACATACAGACCTACCTTTCCGGGAGTACTGTATCAGGTTGTACGATACTGTCCACACATACAGACCTACCTTTCCGGGAGTACTGTATCAGGTTGTACGATACTGTCCACACATACAGACCTACCTTTCCGGGAGTACTGTATCAGGTTGTCAATCATCACAAAGGCACTGGTCTTCTCCAACTCAGGATCACTCTTTATCTGGAATGATGTTGCATTTCAACCATGTTGACATGTCAGTGTACGATTTGTCTGGCTTTTCAGTATTGATAGTGAGATATTTGTACTAAGTCTACCCATATCCTGCGTGAGATATTTGCACTAAGTCTACCATATCCTGTGTGAGACATTTGCCTAAGTCTACCCATATCCTGCGTGAGATATTTGCACTAAGTCTACCATATCCTGTGTGAGACATTTGCCTTAAGTCTACCCATCCCATGCCGTCATATGATTCCGTGGTACTTACGTTTCCGTGGTATTTTCTAATGACATAATTTCTCACGAGCCACTCGCCAAATCGTGCCACCTATCGATTGTTTATGTTCATCAGTTGATCGGCACGGGTCTGAACAAAAAATGTTCAGACTTTCATCAATTTGCGTACGTAGAGTCATCTACTATTAAAAACTAATGCAACTTTATGTCTAGCACGTAATGCATTTTTTGCGCGATCTTTGCAAACATATTCTATAAACTTACTCAGCTTCAAAGTTTTCCAAACATCGCTCGTCTGCTAGCTGATGTCATCAATAAAAACAATCACGTGACCTAAGGGGGGAATCCCAGCTCTATTTTTTAAACTATAGAAGCCCGATAAGGTCATCTCTTAAGTTGTTTTTTCACTTTTCATTTCGTGTATCCCGTATCAACTCTACATATTCTATGAACTGGAAATTTATGCTGAAGAAATGTGACTATTGTGTAAATTCTACAAAATCGTTTACTGTAATATAATTTATCAATTTCGATATCACTGTAAACCTACACTGACACTCCCGGATTGGCTGTTGACGTGTGAGATTGTGACATGTGCTGTGCACCCTTAATTTGATCTGAAGGAAATACCACGGAAACATATGACGTCACCAGAGTTTGTGCACAATGGCCGCCTGTCGTCCAATACGGACAACAATGAACTTCAGAATGACAAAAGTGTTTTATTGACATTAAATGATACAAAGGTATGTCGTCTAACACTATATTATGTTTATATGACTTGGCAATATGAGCGATCAGATTCATAGTCGTAAATTTCTTAATACCACAGAAACCCATGACGCGAGGGTATCATGTGAGAGATATTTTACTAAGTCTACCTATTTCCTGTGTGAGATATTTGCACTAAGTCTACCCATATCCTGCATGAGATATTTGCACTAAGTCTACCCATATCCTGTGTGAGATATTTGTACTAAGTCTACCCATATCCTGCATGAGATATTTTACTAAGTCTACCCATTTCCTGTGTGAGATATTTGAACTGTCTCACCTCTTTCTGTTTCTTGGCAAGACGTCGAAAGATTCCGAATGCCCTGTCCCCAAGCTGTTTCTCCTCCTTCCGTCGATGTCCGGCCTCCATTAGCTGCAGTAACAGCTCCACCACATCCTGAACACAGAGGGGAGGTAACATATACGAGGGTCTTAGGGAAAATAGGGAAGCAACTCTGCCAATATTATGACACTTGGTTCAATATGTATCGTATATGACCGTAGATAAACCGAATTTTGATGACCCCAAAAGCAGTCTGTAGAAGGATCGGCCTTCAGGTTACACTTTCGGTAAACTATTTTTCAGGTGGTAAGAAAACGACAATGTATCGCTTCGCGTGATCAAACAAGACGAAACGACTTTGTCAGTGAAGGGATTAAGATTACCGTGGATATTTGTCTCGTATACAGAGCTGGAATTAGCAATCAGCTGTGCACATCCTATCACTGCAATCTGCCGGTGATTTAGTTACATACCCATTAATATACAGAGATGAATTCTGATGCAGTGATCAGAAAAATACAGCATCTGAAATTATTGCTTTACCAAGAGAAATATATTCTTAATTGCAGGTTTTGCTCTATAGTGAGTGAGTATGGGCTTACGACGCTTTTAGTAATATTCCAGGAATATCGTGTCAAGGGACACCAGAAAAGGGCTTCACACATTGACCCATGTGTCGAATCAAACCCGGATGGACACATTTTGCATATCAAACTCAGGCCTTTGGCATGACAAGCAAATGCTTAGCCACTTGGCTACACCACAGCTTGCAAGCAGACATACAGTCTATTAAACCACTTCTGAAATATGTAATTTTCTGACTAAAATTGATATTTTATACTTATCCTGACTCATGCTTATTGCTTGTCTCCCTTTCCTTCCGAATGCTAGTGGAACACTGGAATCCCCTTTTGAAGCTCCCTTATAAAAAGCAGATGTAAAATCACTTACCAGGAGTCACCTCCCTTGCACGGTTTTGGCGGGAACAGCGCCACCCGTCTCCCATGCTCTTCACTCTCTCCGTATTTATAGCCCGACACACTGATTTACTGGGAAATCCAGAGTGCCTTGAGGGGAGGTTGGGAGGGCTTACCTCATGAGTCAGGATAAGTATAAAATATCAATCTTATTCAGAAAATTACATATTTTCCTTATCCTGACTCATGCTTATTGCTTGTAGAATCCGGCCGGTATAGGTGGTGGGTCGAGCCACCTCTGGATTCCTTAGTGATGAATTTACGTCCTATATACCCCCATGGGAACTTTAAATGGCATTGTTGCTGTTGATCCATATGTGGAAAAATTGGTATTGTGGGGGACCACAATATATCAAACTCTTCTGTAACCGTACATGTGGATTTGAATAACTCCAACTCTTGATGTTCAGTATCAAATTGGAGTAGTGACCCTATCCGTGTACAAGTAAATCCTTATAAGTACAGGGTCCAATATTCATGCTAGTCTGTTCTAGACGTGTACATGGACTATAAGCTCTATTCCTTGAGTATGAGCTTTGCATGACATGCGGTAAAAGGGCGAGATACATCTCAGCGACTTTGAGGGACCGTCAGCTGTTGAGCTACAACCAGAGGTCCAAACTGGTGAATACCGGAGGCGTCCTCGGTAGCAAAGTCTCTGAGGTAGTGGTTAGCAAATACTGTCTCCGATTTCCAAAAACACCCTTCCATGATCGTGGATATTGAGCAGTTTCCATGTAGAAGCGAGTGTAGATGCCAGTGCTCTAACCCGATGCGGATTGAGGCTCGAGGAGGCTCAAGTCCTGCTGCCTTGTAGGCTCGTGAGTATGATTGCTCTCATCCAAACTGATATCGTAGTCACGTGAGATCTCTGTGGGTGTCTCTGGCGATATGGGGATGAAAAGGCGTTTGAATTTTTCGTCTCCTGGTTTTAGACTTTTGTAGATATATTTTCAGCTCTGACTGGACATAAGGATAAATCTTGTATATCCTGCAGACCAAGGATTGTAGCTAATGCTGGGATGTGGAATTGTCTGTCCGTTGACCTGGCAGTTGATTCTTACCTATGAAATCCCACCTCAATCCTAGATGAACCGTGTTGTGACGTGTGTCAAACCCGTATCCGTTCAAAGTCCAGCGCATGTATTTCTGACATCAGCGCCACTGTTGCCAGGCTGACCAGAAATAGCGTTTTTCTGTGTAAGAAATAAGAAGTTCTTTCTAGTGGTTCATACACATCACTGGTGAGATGTCGTAATACCACGTTGAGATCCCAAGCCGGCGCTTTAAATTTCCTTTGTTGGTCTTTCAGTTTAAAAGAACGTAGAAAGGCCAGTAACTGGCACTTTCGTCAGTTTCACGCCTGTCTTCATAGTGATAACTGAGCTGAGAGCCGCTAGGTATGTAGATAATGTCGAACCTCTTAATTTTTTCATTTGTCTGAGATGACAAAGATATTCCGCCACTTGAGGATGTGTTGCTTTCACTGCAGTGAAACCTTTCCTCGATGAATATTTCTCAAAGCTTTGCCACTTGTCGTCTACAAGTTACGAGTAGATCTGCATAAAGCTAGTGTTACTGCTTTCGCTGCTCTGGCGGAGTATCCTCTTTTCGACAAGCAATTTGTGATACGTTCCATACGTGTAGGTGGAATAATCTGGGATACTTGTGAACTTGCTTGGTGTGAGGATGAATTAGTAGGTTCGACCAAACTGGAAGTTATATTGTTGGTTTTCGATTTCTTGTAAGAGAACGGGAAGCCACGTTCTTGCTGGCCAGTAAAGCGACCAAAATCAGTTGTAGATTGTTTGTCTGCCTGATTTTCTGTAATACCTATGGTACTAATGTTGGCGGGGAACGGGTGCAGCGTTTAGCCCTTCCCATGGGATGCTTAGAGCCGCCTGTCGCCCAAACTTGCGGATCGGGAATTGGAGAGACGAATGTTGCCAGTTGATTGTTGAATCTCGTGGCGAATAGGTCTCACGGTGGAGATCCTATTGTCTGTATGATGCATCTGAGCGCTTGTGGATGTAACATCCATTCTGTTGGGGGGCCGGTTGATGTGGTTGAAATAGGCATCTGCTATTACATTCCTGGCTCCCCGGAATGTGACATGCTTTCACATAAATGTTCACATTGTCTATTATGTTGAATAGTTGAAAGCTGAGGTCTAGAAGATTCAAGATCTTGTTGATCCTTGTTTGTTTATGTAGAACGCCACTGTTGAGTTGTCCGTATGGATCATCAATTTTGTGTTCCTTAGTATGTTGGACCAATGTAGTAGGGCATTTACTACTGCTTTCATCTCGAGAAAGTTGATATGCTTTCTTGTTTCGACCATTTCCTGGCAACCACTTCGTTGTCGAGGTGTGCTCCCCAACCATGCAGTGATGCGTCTGCGTAGAGGTGGACGTTGCACTCCGGCTCTATTAAGTAATTTCCGCCACAAACATTCGACTTCTGAGTACACCATAGTAGATATGGTTTTAGCCTGTCTGGTATTTTGAAGGGATCCAGACTGTGTAAGTGGGCGTTCACAAATCTCTGTAGTGGATGCAGTTCTAGTCTCCCTCTGTGCGTCATGTCTTGAGCTGACGTGAGGAGACCTAATAGGCTCTGCCATTCTCGTAGTGGTAGCGGAGAGAGTAGAACTTGAGAGATCATTTGTTGAATCTTGATCCAAGCGATACTCTGGAGCGAGAATGCGATTCTTCGTTGTTATAAGCCGTATTCCTAGGAATTGCAAGTCCTGAGTAGGCTGTAGTTCCGACTTGAGGAGATTTACTAGCCATCCTAGTTGAGTGAGAAGTCTGATGGTGAAGTTCAGTTGCAGTCTGAGTTGCCTGGGATCTTGCTGACCTTGAATCCGTCGTCTAGGTAGAACGCACTCGTGAACCTCCACGATGTAGATATATACTGATGGGCTTTGTCACTCGAGTAAACAACCAGGGGCCGACAATATTCCAAATGGCAGGAATCGTAGATATTTCCTTGACTCGGATGGATCGGGATGTGTAAGTATGCATCCTGTAAATCTATGCTGGCGAGATAGTCTAGCAGGGCATTATGAGCTGTCAGTAGCTGTGGAAGATGTATCATCTTGAACTTTGGGGGTGGTAGGAGGTAATCTTTGTTGAATTTCCTCATCTTGTAGATGAGCCTGAACTTTTCTTTTGAATTTTCTTTGGTACCAGAAAAATTGGGGAGTAGAAACCTGGTGTGGCGCAGTGTTTTATCACTTCTATTGCCTCTTTCTCTAGTAGAGATGTGATGCATCTAGTAGATTTCCTTCTGGTCTGCAGCATAGTTGTGAACCATTGGGTTGATTGTTACTGGTGGTACTGCTTGTAGCTGTATCCTGTAACCTGTGCGTAGAATCTGAGATCTGATGAAGTCGTCTTGAAGAATTCCCCAATTCTTCCAGTAGAGTTGCAGACGTCCACCCACTTGTGAGGGTTGTACTGGAGCGGCTGGGGTTGAAGACTCCAGTCGTTCGAACCTGTATTTCATTGTCTGGAACTCCTGGCCTCGAAAGGGGCCTACCTCTTCCGTAGTTACCTCTTGGAGCTGCGAATGGGCTTACCTAAAAGAATCCTAATTTCCTTTAAGCGTTGCCTGATTTCTTATCCCTTGCTCTCTGGATGCCTGCAAACCGATTTGCGGAATAGCATTGGGAGGTCTGGCGTATTACATTAGCCAGAGTATCAATAGACTTGATCATCATTACTTCTCGGGAATCTTTAGCAACTTCCTTGGCGACTTCATCAATTTCTCCTGCAAAATGGATGGTGCTGACCAAGGGGGCTCTGTAGAGTGTCTTGGTAAACTTCTACCGCTCCAAGTACAGGAAGATAACAGTCCTTGCCTTCTTGATAATGTTAAGCCTGCAGAAATGGATGATAGGTGTTCAGACATGAACTGATGATCCTTTTCTGTGTAAGTAGAGATGAATAAACCATTCTATCTTCCTCTGAAGTTGAATTCTTAAACTTCGAGATGAGAGTCTCGTTGATAGCTCTTGACCTGGATAGGCCGAAGAAGGTTAGTTTGGCTACTGTGTCTAACTGTGCCAGCTTTTATCTTCTATCTTGTAAGCTTTAGTCGAGTGTCGTTGATGATCTTATAATTCTCATCTATCTCTGGGGCCTTCATGAAGGGTTCCATGTGGTGTAGAGAACTTCTTAGCGTTGAGCATCCGGAATACTCAGAGTCTGGTACTTAGTTGCCTTCTTGAAGGCTGTGCTGAGAGTTGTCTGGAGCGTCTAAGACTGGGTCGATAGGTGGCATCGTGAGTGAGTCTATATCATCATTCACCATCAAGTATGATAGTGCTTCGTTGGTCTCCTAAGAGGGTGATCGCGAGTTCCAAACCGTTGGCCATCCATGACTTGATTTCCGAGTCAGAAAATATAATTCGCCCGTCATCTTCCTGCTCTGAGGATGGATGTCTTCTATTATCGTCTGAGCGATGAGATCTGTAAGGTGATCTGTAAGGCGATCTGTGTGGTGACCTGCGTGGTGATGCCGTGGCGAACCATCGTTCGTGAATGTGTTTGTGACATCCTTCGTGGGGACCTGCGTGGAGATAGAGATGACCGTGCGTGCCTTCGCGCGAACCTGCGTGTTGGTGAACGGCTTTGTCGAGGGTTGGAGTCTTGTGACGAATCTCTATGCCTTCGTATGGATGTTGATTCTCTTCTCGAACCGTTGCGTGCAGGTTAAGTGACAAACATCCGTTATCTGGCGTCGATGATGATCTGCGTGGGTTCGTGAGCGTCTGGTCCTTCAGTCGAGCGTAGTTAGTGCGGAGTCCGCGTTGGTATGGCTGCCAGGTATTACGTGCGGCCGCTGAAGTCAAGCTTGAATATTCCTGTATGCTCTGCAGGGCGTTGGTTCCCAACAGGCGTGGTGTGCTGCTCAGTTGACCTTCACTCGGGTTCGTCGCAGACTTTGTCTTCGTCGCAGCTCTCTCGGCGTCGCGAACCGTTGTTCCATCAGATCCAACATCTGTTGGGTAAATTGCTGGATAAAAGCCGGGTTGAAGGTCTGTTGATAGGTGGTACTGTTGTACTGGCGGCGCATCTGAGACGGGATGAGGCTTCTTCAGAAGGGCGTAGATCGCCGTGCGAGCGTCTGCGTTGATAGGATGTCCTGCGTGGTCACTGTAGAAGGCGTCCCTCGTCTTCTTCTTAGATGTGATCTCAGCGATGAGGATGGGCGGCTCATCGTAGACCTCTATTTCTTCCAGAAGGACGATCTCAGGAGACTTCGCCGAAGTCTTAGCTGTAGCTGCCTTCTTCCTCTGGGAAGACGATGCCCAGTCTTCTTAGACTGCGAAGAGGGTGTCTCAGATGTAGATGACCTCTTCCTCGAGCCAGCGTTGTCTAAGGCGGCAACCTCCTTGTAGACGACCCTGGTAGACCACTGGAATGGTGTATCTGTGCAGACACCAACTGCCGGTCCTCTGCAAGCTTAGCTGGTTTAGACATGTCGTGTAATTCTCGTCTGGACCTGTCCTTTGCGCGTCTATACAGATAATATGAATATTTGTAAAATGCAATATCAGACAGGTGAAAACACAACTGACAACGAGTGTCAGATAAACATATAGGCTTGCAATAAGGACATAGGTTATCGCGGATCAACAGCAGACAAACGATACCAACAATTAGAACAAGATTTCATCAGTTGTAAACAATGTAAATAATCACGTAAAAACGTGACAAAAACGGAGAAATTTGAGAATTAATTCCTTACAATATTGTAGGTAAATGTTAACTAAAGCCTTATACAGCTAATTTAGAAGAAAAGCCTAAATAATAAAAGGATATAAAGCCGTATAGGGGACCAGGTGCTCTCACAACCGCCCACTCGGGCGAATCAGGAGAGAGTGTAGAGCATGGGAGACGGGCGGCTCCGTTCCCGCCAAAACCGTGCAAGGGAGGTGACTCCTGGTAAATGATTTTACGTCCGCCTTTTTGAAGGGAGCTTCAAAAGGGGATTCAAGTGTTCCACTAGCTTTCGGAAGGAAAGGGAGACAAGCAATAAGCATGAGTCACGATAAGGAAAAATAATATTTTCTGTTTTCTGTTTCTTGTGTATACTCAGAATCATTCAAGCTTTTAATAGCTTGCATAAAATATAGACCAGAAAATCAAGTGACTGATATGGTGAGCAACAGTGCCTGCCACTGGGTCATGATGACATGAAGTCAACCAATCAGCTAGTCTGATCATCTGACTCCATTTGGCCTCTAACAACCACCAGCATTGGTCACAGGGGACCTACTTAACCCACTGAGAGCTCCTCCAATGAATCCAGTCTGCTGTATCACGATACTCACCATGGCGTGCGAGGCCAACAGCTGACCCTTCACCACTATCTCTACCAGGTCCAACAATCTACAACATAAAACATCAATGCTAAAGATTGGTTGGTTGTTACTTAACACTGAGCAATATTCCAGCTATATGACGGCAGTCAGAATATAATCGAGTCTGAACCAGACAATCCAGTGCTCAACAGCATGAGCATCAATCTACACAATTTGGATACGATGACATGTGTCAACTAAGTCAGCTAGCCTGACCACCCGATCCCGTAAGTCGCATCTTACAATTCTGACACAGAAGGAATTACCACTCTCAAACATCAAAGCAGCACAACTACAATTAATTTATTTATCTGTGTTCGCTGTTTGATGCTGCACTCCGCAGAATTCCAGTCATAGGATGGACAATCAAGTGACTGACATCATGAGCATCCATCTACTTATTTGGGACACAGTGACAGGTATCGACCCAGCGAGCCGTCCTGATTCCGGGACCATCTCTGTGGCATCTCACAAGCAAGGGCTGCTAAAGACGAATTCTTTATTGGGATATGTCAATTACATGAGTGAGTGAGTTTAATGTAATTTTCCGACTAAAATTGATATTTTATACTTATCCTGACCCATGCTAATTATGCTCGTCTCCTTCCTCTTGCGAATGATAGTGGAACACTTGAAATCCCTTGAAGTTCCCTTTAAAAAAGCGGATGTAAAATCACTCACCCAAGAGTAGCGTCCCTTTCCTCCCTTTGGTGCCCAAATGGTCACATGATCGGCTATATTTGTCACTCTCTCCGTATGTAAGCCTGACAGCCAGATTTATACGGAAATCCAGAGTGCCATAAGAGGGGAGGCTTGGAGGGCTAACCTCATGAGTCAGGATAAGTATAAAATATCAATTTTAGTCAGAAAATTACATTTTTTTTTTTTTATCCTGACTCATGCTAATTATGCTTGCAGAATCCATAGGAAACGGTGGTGGGTCAGGCCACGTTCTGGATTCACTGGTTCTAGATTTACATCCTGTATTACCACCCTTGGGAACTTATGACGGCACTGTTGAAGATTCTTTCAACTTCTCTGATGAGTCTGGGGGGACCACAACTTGTCAGATTTCTCTGAAACTTCTCCTGACATTTTCATGTGGATTTTAGATATACTAATATTCCATTAGTTATCTAATACAACTCCATCTCTTGATGCGCGCATCAAGTGGAGATGTGACCCTTCTGCATGTATGAGTATGTCCTATACAAGTACAGGGTCTATCACTCATGCTAGTCTGTCCTAGACGTGTGCATGGACCTATAGCCATTGCTCTTCAGAGCGTGATAAAAGGGGTGAGATTAACTCCACGCCTTTGTGGAACCGTTAGTTGTTGTCCTACAACAAGTGGCCCAAACTGGTGAATGCCAAAGACATCTTCAGTGGCAATGTCTCTGAGGTAGTGGTTGGCAAACACCGTGTTCGATCTCCAAAAGCAGCCCTCCATTATAGTTGTGTCGAGCAGTTTCCATGCAGAGCAAGTGTTGGACTTCCCAGGGCTCTGACTAAGGGGATGTGGATTGAGGCTCTTGTTTTGGAGGCTCAAGTCCTCCTGCTTTATAGGCCCTTAGTATAGCGTCCTCTCATCCAGATCGATATCATCATCCTAGAGACTTGGTTCTGAAGTCTTAGTGGATAAGGGGATGTACGATGAACGATGGCTTGTTTGAATTTCAAAGTCCAGAGCATGTATTTCTGACATCCTTGCAGCTGTTGCTAGGGCGATCAGGAACAGCGTTTTCTGAGTTAGTAGTTCAAAAGGATGTCCGTTCTAGAGGCTCGTAGGCATCACTGGTGAGATGTTGTAAAACTACGTTGAGATCCCAGGCAGGAGCTTTAAATTTCTTTTGTTGGTCTTCCAACTTGAAAGAGCGTAGTAGTGCCAGAATCTCTGGCACTTTGGTCAGCTTGACACCAGTTTCATGGTGATAACTGTACTAAGGGTCACTAAGTACATTGAAAGTGTTGAACCTCTTAAGTGTGAGTTTAGTTTTACGTCTGTCAGCAATAGTAGATGACATAAGTATTCCGCCACTTGAGGATGTGTGGCTTCCAAGCTGTAAAGCCTTTTCTCTTTGCATATTGTTCAAATCTCTGCCACTTGTCGCTGTACAAGTTCTGCCACTTGAGGATATTGATCTCTGGAGAGCTAGTGTAACTGCTTTCAATGCTCTGGCGGAGTACCCTCTAGTCTTCTTCAGGCAAGCTTTAATATGTTCCGCTGGCGTGTAGCTGGAACAGTGTCGGTTTCCTGTGAGCTTGCTTGGTGTGAGGATGGATGAGTAGGTTCGACAACTCTGACAGTTTCAGGGTTGGACTTCAATTCTTGTATGAGGATGGGAAACCATACCCTCGCTGTCCAGTAGAGCGACCAAAGTCAGTTGTAAGAAAGTCGCAATGTAGTTGTCTGCTTGATTTTTCTGTAGTACTTGTGGTAGTAGTGCAGGAGGCGGAAACTCGTAAGTGTTTAGTCCTTCCCATGAGATGCTTAGAGCATCTGTTGCCCATGCCTGAGGATCTGGAATCGGTGAGACGAACGTTGGTAGCTGTTTGTTGAACTTTGTTGCAAACAGGTCTATTAGTGGGGATCCTAAAGTCAGTCTGATGAACTGGAATGCTTCTGGATGCAACATCCATTCCATCAGGGATGGTTGTAGTGGACGAGATACGGCGTCTGCTATGACATTCTTTGCTCCTAGAATGTGGCATGCCTTCATGTAGATGTTCAGGTTGTCGACTATGCTGAACAGGAGAAAGCTGAGTTGTAGCAGACTTGTTGATTTTGTTGACCCTTGTTTATTGATGTAAAACGTGGAGTTGTCCGTGTGTACCATGGCTCTTGCGTTCTTTAGTACGCTGGACCAATGTTGTAAAGCGTTGATCACTGCTTTCAGCTCCAACAGATTGATGTGTGATTTCTGATCCTGACTCGACCACTTCCCTGCTGCCACTTCGTTGTTGAAGTGCGCACCCCATCCTTGTGGGAAGGCATCCACGTAGAGATGAGTGTTGCAAACCGCCTCTGACAAAAAAAGTCTGTCTAGGAGGGCGTTCACAAATATTGTAGTGAAGCAACTGTAATCTTCCTCTGTGAGTCATGTCTTGAGCTGAGGTGAGTAGACCGAGCATGCTTTGCCCAGCACATAGTGTCAACGGGGAGAGCAATGCTTGAGATATCATCTGTTGTATTTTGACCCAACGATCCTCTGGAACGACTATACGATTCAATGGCGTGATGAGTCGAATTTCTAGGAACTGCAGATCTTGTTTCGGCTCCAGTTCTGACTCGAGGAGATTCACTAGCCATCCTAGTTGAGTGAGCAGCCTGATGGTGAAGTCTAGTTGCAGCCTGAGTTGACTGGGATCTTGTGAGCTTGAATCCCGTCGTCCAGGTAGAAAGCACTGCGTAGACCTCCACAATGTAGATATGTGACGATGGGCTTGGTCACTCGAGTAAACAACCAGGGGGCCGACGATATTCCAAACGGAAGAACCTTGCACTGGACGTGATGTCCGTTGAACAGGAATCGTAGGTATTTCCTTGAGTCTGGATGTATCTTGCAGATCTATGCTGGCGAGGTAGTCTGCTGGACAAACGAGATGTCGGAGAACTGAGGAAGGTCTGCGTCTGCATAGATACTCCCGGTTGAACTTCCTCATGTTGTAGATGAGCTGAAATTTCTCCTTGGAATTCTTCTTCGGTACCAGGAAACTTGGTGAGTAGAACCCCGGCGTGATGAGATCTTGATCTATCTCTTCTACTGCCTCTTTGTCGAGTAGGGTCTTGATAGCATCGTCCAGTTTCTCTATCTGGTCGGCTGCGTAGTTGAAGGCCATCAGGTTACTTGAGAGCGGCAGAGCAGCTTCCAACTGTATCTTGAACCCTCTGCGCAGTATCTGGGATACGTAGTCGTCCTGTAGTATCCCCCAATTCTCACCCAGTTGAAGTCGTCCACCCACTGTTGAAGGTTGTACGGGAACGGCTGGGTGTGGAAGACTTCAATGCTTGCTTCCTCTTGCACCCCTGGGTGCTCAGCCTCTTCCGGGGTTACCTCTAAGAGCTCCGGTTGGGCTACAAAGGATCCTCTTCCTCCTTTCATACTGGAATACTTCTTTTCTCTGGCTCTCTGGACTCCTGCAAACTTAGATTTGTTGGAGTAGCTTTGGGACGTCTGACTTCAAAGTGTCAATGGATTTAATCATCATAACTTCCCTGGCGTTGAATGTTGGGATGTGCTGACTCTGCGACTTGGTGGCTTTATCAAAAGCTGCATTGAGGTTGTCTGGTACTTGAGAGATCGGGTCAATCAGTGGAAAGGTGAGCGTGTCGAAATCATCTTTAGACATCTTGTAGGTAAACGCCTCATCTGTGTCCTTAGAAGGTGATGATAAGTCCAAGCCATTGGCGATCCAGGAGCTAATTTCCGTATCGGAGAAGTCGCCTTCACCTTCATCCTCTGATTTGGACATCTCTCGCTCTTAGGATGCACGACGACTTGAGTCTCTATAGGATGATCTATAAGATGAGCTTCGCGCAGGCGAACGATCCTGATGTGATCTTGAATCTTTCCTGGAGATTTGAGATATTTCTCTAGATCTTTGCGAAGGTGGATTCCTGGACGTAGTTTCCCCTCTGTAGGAGTGTCTTCGTGCAGGCTCTTGATGGACGTCAGAGTCCGATGGACATGATGACTCATATCTTTGACGTCTGCAGAACGTCTTGATTCCTTCCTGCGTGGAGACTTCTTAGCAACACTCTCTGGGGCATCTACTTCAGATGGGGAAGATCGTTGTGTCCAAGAGCCTTTGCTCAGGCTTCCCTCTTCATCTAGATGTGGTGGGGAGACTGTATCGACATCATCTGGTCTGTAAACTGTTGCATGAACAGTCCCGGGATGAAGTTCTGCGTTGCATGAAGAGACTGCTGCAGGGATGATGCATCTGATACTGAGGAGTCATCATCTAAGGCTCACTGCCCTCTGCTGCTATCTCTGGTACCCGATGTCTGCGTTGATAGGTCTTCTGTCAATGTCTGCGCTGATAACAATGCCGATGTAGCTGTAGAAGCAGGCTTCGTCTTCTTACTGACGATGGTGACTGCAGGTATGAGGATGGGTGGATCATCATAAACATCTGCTTCTTCCGGAGGAACAATCTCGGCTGAGAAAACCTTTTCTTCTGAGTAGAGCTGATCTTAGACTTCGCTGAAGTCTTCATAGTAGTAGCCTTCTTCTTCTGCGAAGCTGAAGATTTGGCCTTCTTTATCTGCGTTGAGGTCAGCTCAGTAGACAATGATCTCTTATGGCCTCCGGCGTTCACCTCTGGTACATCGACCTGCTCTTGAGAAACGTTCAGTAATTCACTCAAATTATGAATATCTGCAGCAGTGGTTAAAAACACGGTTATCAGCTCAATCACTTGATTTAGACATGACTTGTGAATACCTACGTACCCAGTATTAAGCACGTCTATGGATGGAAAAAAAGGTAATTAGTAAATTCAACCAAATTTAAATTTACACAATACTCACAGAAACAGCTGAAATAACATGAAACAGTGCAATTAGGACATAATAACTGCGGATCAGCCACAGACACTCGGTACCTACAAGTTTTAATGAATTGTAAACATGAAGAAAACACATGTCAAACAACGGAAATTTTAGAACAAATTTCAAAACCGTAATGTAGAATATAATCCTAAAAACCGTATACAGCAATAATTTTGATGTGAGGTCAGAAAATATAAAAGTATATGTGCCGTATAGGGACCCAGGTGCTCTCACAACCGTCCTCAAGGGCGAAGAAGGAGAGAGTGACAATTATGGCCGATCATGTGACCATTTGGGTGTCAAAGGGAGGAAAGGGATGCTACTCTTGGGTGAGTGATTTTACGTCCGCTTTTTGATAGGGAACTTCAAGGGAGTTCAAGTGTTCCACTATCATTCGCAAGAGGAAGGAGACAAGCATAATTAGCATGAGTCAGGATAAGGAAAAATAATTGAACATGACATCTCCATATTTTCACCTCTAATACCATATCACAAATACATAGGAGTGAGTGAGTGAGTTCAGTTTGATGCCGCACTCAGCAATATTCCAGCTATATGATGGCGGTCTGTAAATAATCGAGTCTGGACCAGACAATCCGGTGATCAACAGCATGAGCATTGATCTACGCAATTGGGAACCGATGACATGTGTCAACCAAGTCAGCGAGCCTGACCACCCAATGCCGTTAGTGGCCTCTTACAAAAAGCATGGGTTGCAGAAGATCAATTCTAACCCGGACCTTCACGGGTCAAATACATAGGAATATATATGCAGAATATATACTGATATGTGGAGTACTGAAAGGTGAGGTGAGGTGAAATTGGGTTTAATGTCGTGCTTGAGAATATTTCGCTCATATGACGACGTGCATGCATGTGTATATGTATGTGCGGCTGCTTGTACTAGCCCAGACTGAACCTGGTTTTATAGTGCTAGCCCACTGAGATACCATGTCGCAGTGAAGCATGAATACCCCACTCAGACACAGTATACTGACTCCGATGCGACCAGTCCTTGTTGTACCCATTAATGCCGAGCACCAGGCAGGGACCAACAAGTACCATATTTTAACGTCTTTTGGTATGACGCGGTCGGGGATCGAACCCCCACGACCTTCCACTCTCCAGGCAGTACTGAAAGGGAAATACGAGTATTAAACGCCATATGTGCACACACCTGGATTTGAAGAGCAGGATCTGCCTTCGCTTTTCCTTCTGCTTCTGGGAACGTGCTTTCTTCAAGCTCCTGAACACCACAGCCAGCTTCGCGTCTAACTTCAGCATCTCAGTTTCACTGAGGTCAGACTCACTCTGGAATATCAAAGAAAAGGTTGACAAAAACATGATTTAATCTGCAAATTGTTTTTTTTTATTGGGCAAAATATACTGACATTTTTCATTTTCTTTCGTTCATCTGTCACAGCACGACAGATCAACTACAGTAGCATGAAAGTGTTCGTTAATTCCTTCTGAGCAGCATATATCCAGAATATTTATCAATGATGACCACGAAAGTTGAATGAGATGATCTATAGCTAATGTCTAGCCAAACAGAACACCTCTGAATTTAATATTTGTAGCATTTATGGAGACGTGCACCAGGTTTTATGTTTAAAAAGGCAACAATAAACCACTTCACAGACTCAAAAAAAATAGAACAATACAAGGATCAGTGACAAAATCAATCTTAACAAGAAGACAAAGTCATCAATATCCCCCGCAATGGCAAACTACCAAAAGGCACCAGTACACCACCAGATCTATGTATGTGCCAAGTTTGGTGAAGAAACATTGAACGGTTTTAGAGTTCTGCTCCAGAAAAGTGCACTACCACTAATTTCTGTTTTAGTCAAACTTGTTGCCATGGAAACCGCCAAAATATTTTATTCAGAATTCCAAAACTACCAAAAGGCACCATTACACCACCAGACCAATCTATGTGCCAAGTTTGGTGAAGAAATAGTGAACGGTTTTAGAGTTCTGCTCCGGAAAAGACAAATGTGCACGCACGGACGGACGGACACACGGACGACGGACGGAGGAGTCCATTTTAATACCCCCGCAAAAGCGCGTTGCAGGGGATAACAAGTGTTTGCCACTAACATGTGAATGTGCCCTGCCGCTAAAGAAGAATGAAATATAACATTTTTACTAGTGTTTATTTTGGTCCCATAGAAGATAACCTTTAGTGTGATGTAGTTTTTAGTCATGGTCACTTCTCAGAATGGTGTGAACAAGATTTGGAACAGTATAAAGTGACCCAGAAAATAAGGTCAAGGTCACCCAATGTAGGCTGTTGACATAATTGAAGACACTGGGTGCAATGTTTTATGAGATGTCGCGTTTACATATGTTTGCGAAGTGGTCAAAGTGTCGTGGTGACCTTGAAGATAAGCTCAAGGTCACACAATTCGACTGGTGTCAGCATAATCCCCAATTGCAGGCTGTCACTAAATTTGACATTGGGTACAACAGTGCATGAGATATCTCTTTGACATAGAGTTTGAAAAGTGGTCAAAGTGTTGTGGTGACCTTGATGACCTGTGTAATCCCCCAATGTAGGCTGTCACCAAATTTGAACACATTGGGTACAACAGTTCATGAGGTATTGCGTTAACAAAAATCGGGACGTACGGACACTGCTGAATACATAGCCGACTGTTCCGCTTTGCGGCGGGGGACAATAAATCCCCACAAGCCTCATCCCATTATCATCCAATCAGAAAACAGTATGCTGAGAATGGCCATGGCCAATTCTTGTACTCGATTTATTGGTTCATGGCTAGCCATAGTATAACAGGTAATTTATACACAGGTTATATCCTTTACAATACCATCAGCCAGGCATAACAACCTGAACTCTCCATAAAGTGGGTCGAGGTGAAAGCCAAACAGCAGTGCCTGGATGCTTGATGCAAGTATTCCAAAACCTCTACACAGACTGTTCATAGATGTGGCCAGATAGTTAAAGCGTTCGTTCATCACGCTGAAAACCCAGGTTTGATTCCCCACATAGCTACAATGTGTGAAGACCACTTCTGGTGTCTCCCAGGGTGATATTTGCTGGATTAATGGTGAGAGAGTAATGTTACTGTCTGTAAATTCATACTGTATTGTTTTACAATTTTACAGACACAATTTGACAATATCACAATATCTTCTCCAGACAGTGCATGGACTCCTGAACATGGAGGACAGTCCTCCATTAAATCACCTTCTTAGGTTTGGGGGGGGAATAAACCAGCATTTAGGATGACTCACCTCTTCTTCATCCTCATCCTCATCATCTACAGCGGCCTTCCCCAGGGCAACTTTCACCGTCTCCCGCAACGCCTCATCCACTGGGACTTCAGGCTCCTCATCTGCGCTGCTCTCCTCCTCGCTGTCGTCATCTCTGCTCTCCTCATTGTTGTCATCTGTTGTCGTGGTGACGTCTGTCACAGAGTCGGCGTCCATCACCTCTGGAATTGAGATAATGGTTTCAGTGAGATGGGAGTATAATCCTGGCAGCAGAATGAATGAATGAGTATAGTTTTACACTGCTTTCAGCATTATTCCTCTCTGTGTGTGTGTGTGTGCGTGCGTGCGTGCATGCGTTCATAAATCATGAAGTAAAAAATCACCCCACCGGTCTGGATCCGACCCTGATATGAATATTGATAATCGAAAGGTGAGCAAATCAAGCAATAACCAATGTGTAATGAAAAAATCCCACAAAACTCCTGTGAGCAATAACAGGGCACAATCATAACATTGTGCAAACAGGCACCAATTAATACCGCGATCAAGATGATGAAGGATACTTCCTGTTGACACACACACACATGGGTATGTTGTTTACATTGCAGGTTTACGAGTCAGGATACTTCCTGTTGACACACACACATGGGTATGTTGTTTACATTGCAGGTTTTGACACACACACATGGGGTAGTCAGGATACTTCCTGTTGACACACACACATGGGGTATGTTGTTTACATTGCAGGTTTACGAGTCAGGATACTTCCTGTTGACACACACATGGGTATGTTGTTTACATTGCAGGTTTACGAGTCAGGATACTTCCTGTTGACACACACACATGGGTATGTTGTTTACACTGCAGGTTTACGAGTCAGGATACTTCCTGTTGACACACACACATGGGGTATGTTGTTTACATTGCAGGTTTACGAGTCAGGATACTTCCTGTTGATACACACACATGGGGTATGTTGTTTACATTGCAGGTTTACGAGTCAGGATACTTCCTGTTGATACACACACATGGGTATGTTGTTTACATTGCAGGTTTACGAGTCAGGATACTTCCTGTTGACACACACATGGGTATGTTGTTTACATTGCAGGTTTACGAGTCTGTAATCACAAACTGCTTCAGTTGTTTATGTCTTGATTTAACAACAAAAAGAAACATACTTTCTAAACTTTAATTGACCTTTCATTGTTTTATGACTATTGTTGAGTCTCCTTAACTCATAGATAATCACTGATGCAAGCACGATTGATCAGTTGATCAGTTGTCCTATTATTGTATCAATCACTCCAGGAATACTAGAAGCACAGGGTTATGACCGCCTTTTCCAATTCAAATAATCCCTAGAGGGAGCTGCAATTTGACAATTAGTTCACTTGAGTGAGTGAGTGATTGAGTGAGTTTAGTTTTATGCCACACTCAGCAATATTCTAGCTATATGGCCACTTGAAAATACCAGACAACATTATTCATGTACCAGCTACATGCAGCTTCAATAGGAGATACAAGTGTTCCACTAAGTTCGCAAGAGGAAGGAGACAAGCAATAAGCATGAGTCAGGATAAGGAAAAATATTCATGTACGTCTGGACCAGCTACATGCAACAGAGGAAGATCACCTCATCCCTGTCCTGGTCCTGTTCTGTATTGGATACTCAAACCAAAATCTCAAAGCTTGTGCTCTTACAGTGGTGGAGGGTTACAAAACTCACCATCATCCTCAAAGGCTAACATTTCCTTCTCTTCATCTGCACTTTTATTTGGCTGCAGTGCCTGCAAGGTCAAGGTAAAGGTCAAGGTCATTATCAGATATGCAATCACTTGAAAATGTGTCACAGTCGTTGATCCATGAACAGTCACACTTCTGCTATTGACACTGTCTCAGTAAGTTATATATTGAGGCTGGAAGTAAAGTCTACTCACAAGCATGGTGTTGATGGTGAGAGAACTATGGTTAAAATGAGAAGGAATCTTGACTTTGAACCAACAATCATCAAGGTACAGCTGCACAAAGTGACCTCTAGGCTAAAGTGATAATATACTCTCATACAGAATCACATTGGCTGTAGCACAAAGATCAATTCGTGCAAGGGTGCCCAGATCTTTCATCAATACAATCAGTTTATCAGTAGCTCCTTACAGTAATGATGATGCCGAGAGCTTCCCTGGTCAGATTGCTCTGAAGTGCCGTGAAGACAGTGTTGGCGATGATGCGAGTCAGGTTCGACCTCTGTGACATCATACTGACCAGGACCTCAGTAACCACCTCCATCCATGCAGGCTCTGAAAACATCAACACAACCTTCGTTAACGTGAACGTGCGTTATCAACTTCATGAGCATCGATCTACGCAACTGCGATATGATGACATGTGTCAACCATGTCAATGAGCCTGATCACCCAATCCCGTTAGTCGCCCTTTCCTTACAGTGAGTGAGTTTGATTTTACGCCGCTTTTATCAATATTCCAGCAATATAATGGCTGAGGACACTAGAAATGGGCTTCACACATTGTGCCCATGTGGGGAATCTAACCCTGGTCTTCAGCGAGGCAAGACAACTCTTTAACCAATATACTACCCCACCGCCCCTCTTTTCCTTACAACAAGCAGGGGCTACTGAAGACCAATCCTAACTAGTTCATGGTCAGTGATCCCAGCTGGAACATAATGTCATGTATCAACTAATTCACCGAGCCTGACACTAGATCCATTGGGTCCTACAACCAGCACAGATGCCACTGACATGTTCTAGCCTGTCTTGAACGAGAGTAACAAGTACCATCAAACACACAAAAAACAATAAAATAGTCTCTAACAACGTAGTGCTTGAGTAAGTGCTTATGGTGCTTTGACCAGTATTTCTGTTGTATCACACAATATCAGCTTAACATGGGACAAAAGTAAAACATGCGGCAGGTTTTAGAGCATACCACCTTGTTAAATCAGGGGGTTTTAACTCACGACTTTTAGCACACCTCTTAGGTGTAGCACTGTACACTGTACAACTGGGCCACCGAAAGGACTTATCCAAAACCTGGTTCCACTGGAGATGTGATTGCGGTGAGACCATGCATTGTCTCCATGACAATGTAATTGCATCTCAATGTTTTACAAACTATTATGACATCATCAGTTTCACGACATCAGGATCAAACTGTCAGCTCTGTTCTCTTCAACCGAAATTGGTTCACTGTTCCAGTTATACTGGTTATCACTATTTACAAACCAAAAAAAAAGGAAGAAAAATTCTGGACAATACACAAACTCAGGCATCTGCATTTTAAACATTTGATGCATGTTGATATATATACGGTATCCAAAGACACAAGGATGGTTGGTTGGTTGGTTGGTTGTTTAACATAGCACTCAGCAATATTCCAGCTATATGGCGGCGGTCTGTAAATAATCAGTCTGGACTAAACAATCAGTGATCAACAGTATGAGCATCGATAGGGATAGGATGACAAGGCAGCAAGCTTGACCACCTGATTCCATGAGTCGCCTTTTACGACAAGCATGGGTTGCTGAAAGACCAACTATAACCCGGATCTCCACATGTGCCAAAGACGCATGGGTGGGATTGTCTACTTCGAAGTACTCACCATCATCATGCTTGACCTTCTTCTTCTGTGTAGCTTTCTCATAACAGACGGAGATCCTGGAACAACAACATATAACATAGCAGTAGAGCCAAGATAAGAATGGGTGATCAGTACGTTGTTCGTCTGTTTGTTGCCTAACACTACACTCAGTATCACTCAAGCTTTATGATGCTTTATGATGTGGACCAGACAATCCAGTGACTGACATTATAAGCATCGATATATGCAACTGGGATACAATGACATTCAACAAACAGGACAGCAAGACTAATCAACTGTCTTAATTAGTCACCATTTTTGACCAACATGGGTTGCTGAAGACCGATTCTAACTCAGATCTCTATGACTTCCTTAAAGAAAAAGACTCCAAATCAGCCATTTCCGACCACACCCAAGCCCACCGGAATCATACCATACTTTGGAACAACATCAGCATCCTAGAAGCCAACCAGTCAGATTACAAGATAAGAAAGTCTTAGAGGCAATCAACATCAAACGACTCACAACCTGGCAAACAACAGAGATCAAGGTTATACATCCCCACGGCTTACGATCAACTAATCAAGCCTAATCAAGAATAACCCACCCTTTGTCTACTGGCTTCAATCATTCCTATCACAACAAGTCTCATGTCAACACACTGTACATCTACCTCTTCCATTGTATAAACCAATACCCGCCATGAATATATTTCTCCTTGAGTAAATGTTGTGTATCATTTGCTTGATAACGGTGTCAGGATCGACACCAAAACGTCGCAACTACTACTGCAACAAAGAAGTTGTCTATCCATAAAAGTGTTCCACTTCAGATCTCTATGGAAAAAAAAAATGTTAAAAGTCGGGACATTTTTAGGTTAATATAATAGGATATAATAGGATCTGCGAGCAAGGTGTTTGGTATTATGCTGTTTTGTCAAGTCCATGAACCTACCTCCATGACTGTAACGACACTCTCGGGCTCGGAGAAGAGTGACAGGCCAACATATGTGAAGAGCATAAGGAAGGCGTCATGATGGGAGATAACCTTCTCTTTCTTCCTCTGTTGCAGGAGAGTCAACAATTAACAACGCTACACACAAGGTACAGCAATATTCAACACATATTTAAGAAATACAGTTCGCTCTACCTCCATGTATAAGATAATAAAGTACAGATTTTTCCTTATCCTGACTCATGCTTAATTGCTTGTCTCCTCCTCCTTGCGAATGATAGTGGAACACTTGAATCCCCTTTTGAAGCTCTCTTCAAAAGCGGATGTAAAATCACTCACCCAGTGTTACTTCCCTTAGGTATTTTGGCGGGGAAATCCGTCACATGACCCAACACGCTCTTCACTCTCTCCTTCTTCACCCTTGAGGACGGTTATGAGTGCCCCTGGGTCCCCCATACAGCGTTATATCCTTTTAAATTTAGGCCTTTACCACTAAATTAGCTGTATACCGCATTTAGGAAGATATACCAGAAGGAGACAAGCAATTAAGCATGAGTCAGGATAAGTATAAAATATTAATTTTAATAAAGAAATTACATTTTTGCCCTGAACCATTATAGTTAAAGCAAGAGGACACATGCATCATAAGCATGTCCTAAACATGTTTTGGCCTAAGCACATATTGGCATAAGCACTTATTGACCTAATTACACATTGGCATAAGCACGTTTTGGCCTTAGCGAGTATTTGCATAAGCACTCACTGGATTCTCTCTTGCTGGAATAAGGATTCTTTATTAAGAAATAGAGAATAACAAAGCGTATTAATGACAGATGGACAAATAGAGAAATACAAAAACATGATGTACTGACAACAGAATTATTCAACCTACTTTCTTCTCAATCTGTGCTGTTATTTTCACCACTTGATCCCAAACCTCCAGAATCTGCAACCACAACAACAGCATGCAACACTCATCCAGCCCAGGGACATTTTCTTGACAGATAACCAGTCTAGCTCATCAAAGAATCTGAACAACTAACTGTTGATTTCTTAACAAATTCAGTGTTCAGTATTTCATCACTGATACACATTTGTACCAATGAACAGTTTATGCAGGTGGAAACAAGAGTTACCTCCTCCTGAAGACCAGTCTCCAGCTGGAGAGTGACAGAGTCCGGGGACTTGATCAGCGTCTGGAAGGAAAGAGTACCAAAGTCAATACACACAGGAACTGGTAAGTAGGCAGATTTATTACCCAAGTGGTCAACATATGGGTATAACATATGTTATATTTGGGATTACACTTTCTTAGTAAAGTACAAATTCTAGTACTTTTTGAGTTGAGCCCCATCCGGGATTCGAACTCACACCCTCAGAGTCAGGCACCTAATCGCCAGCACACAAAGTCAGCCGCCTAACCCGCTCAGCTACCGTGACTTCCACAAAATGGAAGTCGGACAACTGGTAGTCTAGACTGCAGACTTTGTGTACCCCTCTGATAAGTGTTAATAGGCACGGCTCCCACGGCCGAAAGCTATGATTACACAATGCCATTTAGAAAGTGGTCAAATGTAACATATGTTATATTTGGGATTACACTTTCTTAGTAAAGTACAAATTCTAGTACTTTGGCATTGTGTAATCATAGCTTTGGAACTGAGACATTATATCCGTCGAGAAAAACAAGCGCAATGTTTCCGCCAGTGATGTTAGCGAGTGTGAAGCAGATGCAAACCAAGAAAAGGGTGCTCTGGAGTAGTTTACTGTAGGAGGCTGTCACGAGAGGCGATGACAACTGACATGCGTCGTGACGTCGGTTACCAAGGGACAGGCGAGAATGAATGCGTAGTGTAGCGTCAATACAGTGTGATGTCATGCAAAAGTGTACTTCAGAACAAAATTCTTCCATAACCTCTGTATGAAACCGGTTTAGGTTTGAAACCATAACATTAACAAAATATATGCTATTTTGTCAGTTTAATGCATGTAAGAAATGGGTAATAAATAAAATACCACCACGAGGTCTCATTACATACAAATTATCTGAGAACTTCGTGACCTTCCTATGGTTTCTGACCTCCCTTTGGCTTGGTCAGATACCATAGGAGGGCTACTGTTTCATATAATTTGTATGTAATGAGACCTAAATATGTATCTGTGTATGACTATTTATGTGTTTGTTGTGTATAATGAAGCACTTTTACAAGTGTGTGTGTGTGGGTGGGGGTGTGTGGGTGGCTGGGTGAGTGAGTGAATGTAAGGGTGGGTGGATGGGTGAGTGAGTGAATGTAAGGGTGGGTGGATGGGTGAGTGAAAGAGTGGGTGATTGAGTGTAAGTGTGAGGGTGGGTGGGTGAGTGAATGAGTGAGTGAGGTGATTGTGAGGGTGGGTGAGTGAGTGAGAGTGAGGTGAGGAGGGTAGGTGGGGGTGGGTGGGGTGGGTGGGTGTGTGTGGGTGTGTGTGTGTGTGGGTGGCTGGGTGAGTGAGTGAATGTAAAGATCAACCTCACTATGGCCAACACTGATCTACCTCATTACACGGCCTACAGATCTACTCCCTCACGGCCTAGTGATCTACTCACTATGGCCATGCATTGAGAGGAGTCCCCAGATCTACCTACTATGGCCAACAGATCTACTCACTATGGCCTGCCAGATCTACTCACCACGCCTACTGATCTACTCCCCACGGCCTACTGATCTACTCACTATGGCCAACAGATCTACTCACTATGGCCAACAGATCTACTCACTATGGCCAACAGATCTACTCACCATGGTTTACAGATCTAATCACTATGGCCTGCTGATCTACTCACTGGCAAGGCCTGCTGATCTACTAACTATGGCCAACAGATCTACCTCACTATGGCCAACAGATCTACTCACTATGGCCAACAGATCTCTACTCACTATGGCCAACAGATCTAATCACCATGGTTTACAGATCTAATCACTAAGGCCTGCTGATCTACTCAACAAGGCCTGCATATCTACTCACTATGGCCAACAGCAGATCACCTACTCGCTGATCTACTCCCTCATTTTGCACGCCCACTAAAGCCAAGATCACGATAATCGCCATGGTTTACAGATCTAATCACTAAGGCCTGCTGATCTGCTCAACAAGGCCTGCATGCTGCTATCTCTCACTATGGCCAGCCAGATCTAATCACCATGGTTTCACAGATCTGATCTACTCACTAAGGCCTGCTGATCTACTCACTATGGCCACTGAAAGGTCTGCCTACAGACCTGATGACACTACTCACTATGGCCACTGAAAGGTCTGCCTACAGACCTGATGACACTACTCACTACTGGCCACTAAAGGTCTGCCTACAGACCTGACACTACTCACTATGGCCACTGAAAGGTCTGCCTACAGACCTGATGACACTACTCACTATGGCCACTGGAAGGTCTGCCTACAGACCTGACACTACTCACTATGGCCACTGAAAGGTCTGCCTACAGACCTGATGACACCTACTCACTATGGCCACTGAAAGGTCTGCCTACAGACCTGATGACACTACTCACCACGGCCACTCAAAGGTCTGCCTACAGACCTGACACTACTCACTATGGCCACTGAAAGGTCTGCCTACAGACCTGATGACACTACTCACTATGGCCACTGAAAGGTCTGCCTACAGACCTGATGACACTACTCACTCTGGCCACTAAAGGTCTGCCTACAGACCTGATGACACTACTCACTATGGCCACTGAAAGGTCTGCCTACAGACCTGATGACACTACTCACTATGGCCACTGAAAGGTCTGCCTAGAGACCTGATGACACTACTCACTATGGCCACTGAAAGGTCTGCCTACAGACCTGATGACACTACTCACTATGGCCACTGAAGGTCTGCCTACAGACCTGATGAGCACTACTCACTATGGCCACTGAAAGGTCTGCCTACAGACCTGATGACACTACTCACTATGGCCACTGAAAGGTCTGCCTAGAGACCTGATGACACTACTCACTATGGCCACTGAAAGGTCTGCCTACAGACCTGATGACACTACTCACTATGGCCACTGAAAGGTCTGCCTAGAGACCTGATGACACTACTCACTATGGCCACTCGAAAGGTCTGCCTACAGACCTGATGACACTACTCACTATGGCCACTGAAAGGTCTGCCTACAGACCTGATGACACTAGTCACTATGGCCACTGAAAGGTCTGCCTAGAGACCAGATGACACTACTCACTATGGCCACTGAAAGGTCTGCCTAGAGACCTGATGACACTACTCACTATGGCCACTGAAAGGTCTGCCTACAGACCTGATGACACTACTCACTATGGCCACTGAAAGGTCTGCCTAGAGACCTGATGACACTACTCACTATGGCCACTGAAAGGTCTGCCTACAGACCTGATGACTACTCTTCACGACACTACTCACTATGCTGTGACAGGTGGTGTGGGCAATGCTGTCTTTCCGGGCCAAGTTGAACACCAACAGGTTCATAATAGCTGGGTTTAAGGTTTTCCGTAGCTGAAACAGACATGTCTTTGTTACATACACGGCAACACTGTACAATGTAATGGGTATATCCACATATCTTACCATGACTTCATCATTCTACCCAATGTGTCTAAGGCAAGCATTCCAACGGAGATATGTATCTCAGCTGGTGAGACTAATAGTTGCCTCTTTAAACTAGAAGCGTAACTTCAAGCTGTCCTACCGTCTGTCTGTGTGTCTGTCTGTCCTGTGATTGTAATTTTGACGACAGCCTAACTTTCAAGGACAAAAGTTTATGGATGAACAACTTCTGTATTCGGATGATGCGACGTTCGATACAGATTCTTGTATCATTATCCAGCAAGTATGAGTAGACGGAAACAGGCTGAAATATATATGTTTCCGTCTACTCATACTTGCTTGACAATGATACAAGAATCTGTATCGAAACGTCGCATCATCCGAATAAAGAGGTTCATCCATAAACTTTCGTCATTATCTGATTCCCTAACTTCTAGAAATGCCACTCAAAGAAGCCTAACTTTCAACTGTCATCCAAAATAGGCTGTTGATTCTACTATCTTAACTGCACTCAAAGGCTTGATTACACCTTCCTACACTATCCTGTCGCAAAGTCTATGTGTCTGTCTGACCTATATGTATAGCCTGGGATACAGTGTCATTTTGGGCTACCTGTGTCTGCTCACCTGTTCTGGGTCAGTTATGGTGGGCACCATCTTGAGGTACAGGTGGAGGCCCAGGTACTTGTGGCTGTGGCTGCCCTCCAGGAGCTTCACTACAACCAAACACCACCATCAGTACAAGGAGAGTTGGATCACCATTGCTGGTATCTGACATGTACACAAGGGGAGTGCATGCATGAGGTCAAGTGAGCCTATAAGAGCTTGAGCATTTGAAAGAGTGCATGAGAGTGCATGAGAAGGAGTGCATGAGAGGGGGAGCATGAGAAGGGGAGGCGTATGAGAAGGGGAGTGCATGAGAGTCCATGAGAGGGGGAGTGCATGAGAGTCCATGAGATCACGAGTGCATGAGAGTCCATGAGAGGGAGAGTCCATGAGAGGGGGAGTGCATGAGAGTCCATGACATGACAAGAGCATGAGAGTCCATGACATGACAAGAGCATGAGAGTCCATGACATGACAAGAGCATGAGAGTCCATGACATGACATGACAAGTGCATGAGAGTGCATGAGATGGTGAGTGCATGAGAGTCCATGAGATCACGAGTGCATGAGAGTCCATGAGATCACGAGTGCATGAGAGTCCATGAGATCACGAGTGCATGAGAGTCCATGAGATCACGAGTGCATGAGTCCATGAGATCACGAGTGCATGAGAGTGCATGAGAGGTTGAGTGCATGAGGGTCCATGAGAGGTTGAGTGCATGAGAGTCCATGACATGACAAGTGCATGAGAGGGTGAGTGCATGAGAGTCCATGACATGACAAGTGCATGAGAGGGTGAGTGCATGAGAGTCCATGAGAGGGTGAGTGCATGAGAGTCCATGACATGACAAGAGCATGAGAGTCCATGATATGACAAGTGCATGAGAGTCCATGACATGGTGAGTGCATGAGAGTCCATGAGGTTGAGTGCATGAGAGTCCATGACATGACGAGTGCATGAGAGTCCATGATATGACAAGTGCATGAGAGTCCATGACATGACGAGTGCATGAGAGTCCATGAGAGGTTGAGTGCATGAGAGTCCATGAGAGGTTGAGTGCATGAGAGTCCATGAGAGGTTGAGTGCATGAGAGTCCATGAGAGGGTGAGTGCAAGAGAGTCCATGAGAGGTTGAGTGCATGAGAGTCCATGAGATCACGAGTGCATGAAAGTCCATGAGATCACGATCACAAGTGCATGAAAGTCCATGAGATCACGAAAGTGCATGAGAGTCCATGAGATCATAAGAGTGCATGAGAGTCCATGACATAAGAGCATGAGAGTCCATGATATGACAAGTGCATGAGAGTCCATGAAATGACAAGTGCATGAGAGCATGAGAGGGTGAGTGCATGAGAGTCCATGAGAGGTTGAGTGCATGAGAGTCCATGACATGGCATGAGTGCATGAGAGAGGTTGAGTGCATGAGAGGTTGAGTGCATGAGAGTCCATGAGAGGGTGAGTGCAAGAGAGTCCATGAGAGTCCATGAGATGCACAAGTGCATGAGAGTCCATGAGAGGTTGAGTGCATGAGAGTCCATGAGAGGATGAGTGCATGAGAGTCCATGAGATCATGAGTGCATGAGAGTCCATGAGATCACAAGTGCATGAGACTCAATGAGAGGTTGAGTGCATGAGACTCCATGAGAGGTTGAGTGCATGAGAGTCCATGAGAGGTTGAGTGCATGAGAGTCCATGAGAGGTTGAGTGCATGAGAGTCCATGAGAGGTTGAGTGCATGAGAGTCCATGAGAGGTTGAGTGCATGAGAGTCCATGAGAGGTTGAGTGCATGAGAGTCCATGAGAGGTTGAGTGCATGAGAGTCCATGAGAGGTTGAGTGCATGAGAGTCCATGAGAGGTTGAGTGCATGAGAGTCCATGAGAGGTTGAGTGCATGAGAGTCCATGAGAGGTTGAGTGCATGAGAGTCCATGAGAGGTTGAGTGCATGAGAGTCCATGAGAGGTTGAGTGCATGAGGAGTCCATGAGAGGTTGAGTGCATGAGAGTTCATAAGATCAAAAGTGCATGAGAGTCCATGAGATTGAGTGCATGAGAGTCCATGAGAGATTGAGTGCATGAGAGTCCATGAGAGGTTGAGTGCATGAGAGTTCATAAGATCACAAGTGCATGAGAGTCCATGAGAGATTGAGTGCATGAGAGTCCATGAGAGATTGAGTGCATGAGAGTCCATGAGAAGTGCATGAGTCCATGAGAGTGCATGAGAGTCCATGAGAGGTTGAGTGCATGAGACTCCATGAGAGGTTGAGTGCATGAGACTCCATGAGAGGTTGAGTGCATGAGACTCCATGAGAGGTTGAGTGCATGAGAGTCCATGAGAGAGTTGAGTGCATGAGAGTCCATGAGAGGTTGAGTGCATGAGAGTCCATGAGATCACAGAGTGCATGAGTGCATGAGAGTCCATGAGATCACAAGTGCATGAGAGTCCATGAGAGTTGAGTGCATGAGAGTCCATGAGAGGTTCACAAGTGCATGAGAGAGTCCATGAGAGATTGAGTGCATGAGAGTCCATGAGAGGTTGAGTGCATGAGAGTTCATAAGATCAACAGTGCATGAGAGTCCATGAGAGATTGAGTGCATGAGAGTCCATGAGAGGTTGAGTGCATGAGAGTTCATGAAGATCACATGAGTGCATGAGAGTCCATGAGAGATTGAGTGCATGAGAGTCCATGAGATCACAAGTGCATGAGAGTCCATGAGAGGTTGAGTGCATGAGAGTCCATGAGAGGTTGAGTGCATGAGAGTCCATGAGATCACGAGTGCATGAGAGTCCATGAGAGGTTGAGTGCATGAGAGTCCATGAGAGGTTGAGTGCATGAGAGTCCATGAGATCACAGAGTGCATGAGAGTCCATGAGAGGTTGAGTGCATGAGAGTCCATGAGAGGTTGAGTGCATGAGAGTCCATGAGAGGTTGAGTGCATGAGAGTCCATGAGAGGTTGAGTGCATGAGAGTCCATGAGATCACAAGTGCATGAGAGTCCATGAGAGGTTGAGTGCATGAGAGTCCATGAGAGGTTGAGTGCATGAGAGTCCATGAGAGGTTGAGTGCATGAGAGTCCATGAGAGGTTGTTGAGTGCATGAGAGTCCATGAGATCAAAAGTGCATGAGAGTCCATGAGAGATTGAGTGCATGAGAGTCCATTGAGTGCATGAGAGTCCATGAGAGGTTGAGTGCATGAGAGTCCATGAGAGGGTGAGTGCAAGAGAGTCCATGAGAGTCCATGAGATCACAAGTGCATGAGAGTCCATGAGAGGTTGAGTGCATGAGTCCATGAGAGGATGAGTGCATGAGAGTCCATGAGATCACAAGTGCATGAGACTCCATGAGAGGTTGAGTGCATGAGAGTCCATGAGAGAGGTTGAGTGCATGAGAGTCCATGAGAGGTTGAGTGCATGAGAGTCCATGAGAGGAGTTGAGTGCATGAGAGTCCATGAGATCAAAAAGTGCATGAGAGTCCATGAGATCATGAGTGCATGAGAGTCCATGAGAGGGTGAGTGCAAGAGAGTCCATGAGAGGGTGAGTGCAAGAGTGTCCATGAGAGGGTGAGTGCATGAGAGTCCATGACATAAGTGCAAGAGAGTCCATGACATGATAAGTGCAAGAGAGTCCATGAGAGGGTGAGTGCAAGAGCGTCCATGAGAGGGTGAGTGCAAGAGTGTCCATGACATGACGAGTGCATGAGAGTCCATGACATGACGAGTGCAAGAGAGTCCATGAGAGGGTGAGTGCAAGAGTGTCCATGAGTAAGTGTAAGAGAGCATTCCAGTGTTTGAGGATGATTAACGCATCATTATCAATTTTACCATAGTTACAGTAAAGAGTGAGTGACAGAGGGAATGTTGCATGATGCTGAACCAATAGTTACCTGGCACAATCATGCGGTCAAGCTTCTCCGTAACAGTCAGTCAGGACAGACATTGTTACCATCTAATCCTCATTTTAAACGGGATTGGCACAGGTATGGAGCCTGGACTTATTATGACTTGGAATCTCTAAAATTGTTCTACCATGGAGTTTTTGAACGATCATAGAAATGAGATTATACGCCACAAGACAGAGTAGGCGTCTTGCAACTTTTCTCCTCATCCCTTCCACTTACAACCCGTGCAAATCTTTGTTAGAATTGGTCTTCAGCAATCCATGTTTGTCGTAAGAGGCTGACTAACATGATTGGGCCCTGATTTTCGAAACAAACTTAAGTCTGAGTTTTGACTTAAGTTCGAATTTGTACTCAAATTTGAGAAAACTCATTTCCCAGAATGAACTGATATCGATATTAAACTCAAATATAGTAGACAATTGAGTTTGGTGAATAGAATACTTAAGTTGTTTGGGCTATTTTATAAAAAAAAATGCAGCTGAGTTCAAAATTCAGCTGTTTCAAATTGTCAAACTCAGTTTGAAGTTTGAGTAAAAACTTAAGTTTGTTTCGAGAAATCGGGGCCTGGTGGCCAGGCTTGCTGACTTGGTTGACACATGTCATTGTATCCCAACTACATAGATCAATGCTCAAACTGTTGATCACTGGATTGTCTGGTCCAGACTGGATTATTAAAACCGCCGCCATATAGCTGGAATATTGCTGAGCGCGGCGTTAACAGCCTCACCAGCCAGCCAGCCAGCCAGCCAGCCAGCCAGCCAGCCAACCAACCAACCTTCCACTTACAGACAATTTGGTTGAAGAAGCCGACGTCACGGCCGCTGGCTGCAAGGTCGTCTACCATGACATCAACAATACTGTGTATAACGGGATGACTTTCAGCAGATTTCTGACAGAGAATGGCAAAAAAATACTGTTAACATTGGCAGTAATGTTAAAATAGGTTAACAGTGAGTCCCTGTCATCCAAACACAACTACAAAACTACAATGACCCCCTGTTATCCAGACACTACTGCTACAAGATCACAATGACCCTCTGTTATCCAGACACTACTGCTACATGATAACAATGACCCCTTGTTATCCAGACACTACTGCTACAAGATAAGAATGACCCTCTGTTATCCAGACACTACTGCTTCAAGATAACAGTGACCCCCTGTTATCCAGACACTACTGCTTCAAGATAACAGTGACCCCCTGTTATCCAGACACTACTGCTACAAGATAACAATGACCCTCTGTTATCCAGACACTACTGCTACATGATAACAATGACCCCTTGTTATCCAGACACTACTGCTACAAGATAACAATGACCCTGTTATCCAGACACTACTGCTACAAGATAACAATGACCCCTGTTATCCAGACACTACTGCTTCAAGATAACAGTGACCCCCTGTTATCCAGACACTACTGCTACATAATAACAATGACCCCTTGTTATCCAGACACTACTGCTACAAGATAACAATGACCCCTGTTATCCAGACACTACTGCTACATAACAATGACCCCCTGTTATCCAGACACTACTGCTACAAGATCACAATGACCCTCTGTTATCCAGACACTACTGCTACATGATAACAATGACCCCTTGTTATCCAGACACTACTGCTACAAGATAACAATGACCCTCTGTTATCCAGACACTACTGCTACAAGATAACAATGACCCCTGTTATCCAGACACTACCGCTACAAGATAACAATGACCCCTTGTTGTCCAGACACTACTGCTTCAAGATAACAATGACCCTGTTATCCAGACACTACTGCTACAACAGTGGCCCCTTGTTATCCAGACACTATTGCTATAAGATAACAATGACCCCCTGTTATCCAGACACTACTGCTTCAAGACTACAGTGAACCAGTGTACGATTTAGTTTCCAAATTTTGGTAGTCAGTAGAGCTAGCTATACGTGAAAGTTACTAGAGCTGAAAATAATTCACTAGCCCCAAATTAGAATCTAGACACTGAGCAAAAGATTATAGAAATAAATGAGAATAAGACATTGTCAGCATAACATGGGTTTCATCATTAAGCTGCTGTTATGATGAACATTTTTATCAGGCCATAATCTTGCATGATTTAAAAGTGTATTATAACTTAACAAGTCGAAGAGAGTGATATATTTACAAAATGACCCCATCAAAATTCACAAGCCAGTCGGGCCAGTGACTGTAGAGATTTACTGGCTTGACTGGATTTTTACTAGCCACAGGCTAGCGGGCCAGTGGCCATTTCGCACACTACAGTGAGCCCCTGTTATCCAGCCACTACTGCTACAAGAGTACAGTGATCCCTGTTATCCAGACACTACTGCTACAAGACTACAGTGAGCCCCTGTTATCCAGACACTACTGCTACAACAAGACTACAGTGAGCCCCTGTTATCCAGACACTACTGCTACAAGACTACAGTGAGCCCCTGTTATCCAGACACTACTGCTACAAGACTACAGTGAGCCCCTGTTATCCAGACACTACTGCTACAAGACTACAGTGAGCCCCTGTTATCCAGACACTACTGCTACAAGACTACAGTGACCCTGTTATCCAGACACTACTGCTACAACAAGACTACAGTGAGCCCCTGTTATCCAGACACTACTGCTACAACAAGACTACAGTGAGCCCCTGTTATCCAGACACTACTGCTACAACAAGACTACAGTGAGCCCCTGTTATCCAGACACTACTGCTACAACAATACAACAGTGAGCCCTGTTATCCAGACACTACTGCTACAAGACTACAGTGAGCCCCTGTTATCCAGACACTACTGCTACAAGACTACAGTGAGCCCCTGTTATCCAGACACTACTGCTACAACAAGACTACAGTGAGCCCCTGTTATCCAGACACTACTGCTACAACAAGACTACAGTGAGCCCCTGTTATCCAGACACTACTGCTACAAGACATCAGCAAACCCCTATTTTCTAGACAGTATTACTGAAACAAAACTATATGATCTCTGTTATCAATAAAAGCACAGTGAACCCCTGTCAATAAGAGCACAGTGAATGAGCTTCATACATTGTACCCATGTGGGGAATCGAACCCGGGTCTTCAGCATGAAGAGCGAATGCTTTAACCACAAGGCTACCACACCCCTATCAATAAGAGCACAGTGAACCCCTGTTATCCAGATTCTCACCTGCAACACCTGTAGCATGTTGGCGTAGTTCTTCTCCCCAAATATCTTCATGCCCCCCCAGTGTTCAGTCATCAGAGCCTTGGTCAATCTCTTCTACAACAGCAAAAAGAATGTATCACAAGACAGGAACAGACAGGAACAGACAGACAGACAGACAGACAGACCTATATGGGTATTATGCTGACAAAGGAATGATCATAACTATTATCATAGGATCCTTTCACACTTAAGGGAGGCAACTCTGAACAGCACCTTCATTGACTGGTACTTTCCTGATTCTACAGCAACAGTCAATAGATTGTGTCACAGCCTCTTTAATTACTTTTACAACAAACAAACCTGTATTGTGAATTCTCTGTAATAACCTCATCACCATGTGCTTACCTTGTGGAACTTGACAGCGCAGTAGACAAGGAGGAGTGTGTTGGGGGAGCACTTGTCCCAGCCCTGGGTCAGATCCGCTGCCAGGTGCGGAAACACCTGCTCTGTGAACACTTCACCTGACACCTGCAAATTGTAGGTTGTGTTTAACTCAGCATGGACAAATCGTAAGAGTGTTATTAAAAGCCACAATGAACAATATTCCAAGTTTTACATCACAGTCTGCAAATAACAGTGATTTGCATTTTTGGAAAGTATTATCACAGTGTTCACTAAAGGATTGCAACCTAAATCAAAAGTTAGACACTGAATCAGCTAGTCTGGCCAGAAATGTTAAAAATCGAAAGTCATATCTATGGTTACCTTGGCAATGAGACACACAAGTCCCTGATAGCAGATGGGCTGGAGGTAGCTCTTCTGTGTGGAGATGTGTCGCAGCTTTTCAACCACCTCCGACACCTGGCCGGACTCACCCTGAAACATGTAATTTTCTGAATAAAATTGATATTTTATACTTATCCTGACTCATGCTTATTGCTCACCTCATGAGTCAGGATAAGGAAAAATATATTCATTCAAAGCACACTGTTTTCAGCTCTCCCATCTGATGTTTGACGGATACTACCAGGCCATCATGCTAAGACAAGAGAAATGTGTAAATCTCACAACAAAGCACTTATCACAGAAGTTTACTTTAAACTGATAATATGCATGTTTGGCTACCTTTCCCTACTACCTTACATTCAGCCAGAGCTACCCCATGTTCTGCTGGCACTACCCCATGTTCTGCTGGCACTACCCCACGTTCTGCTAGTGCTACCCCATGTTCTGCTAGTGCCACTACCCCATGTTCTGCTGGCACTACCCCACGTTCTGCTAGTGCTACCCCATGTTCTGCTGGCGCTACCCCACATTCTGCTAGTGCTACCCCATGTTCTGCTGGCGCTACCCCACGTTCTGCTAGTGCTACCCCATGTTCTGCTGGCACTACCCCACGTTCTGCTAGTGCTACCCCATGTTCTGCTAGTGCCAACCCACATTCTGCTAGTGCTACCCCGCGAAGTTCTCTGGTGCCACCCCCACATTCTGCTAGTGCTACCCCATGTTCTGTTTGTGCCACCCCAGGTTCTGCTAGTGCTAGCATATGTTCTGTTTGTGCCACCCCATGTTCTGCTAGTGCGAACCCACGTTCTGCTAGTGCTACCCCACGTTCTGCTAGTGCTACCCCACGTTCTGCTAGTGCTAGCATATGTTCTGTTTGTACTACCCCACGTTCTGCTAGTGCTACCCCACGTTCTGCTAGTGCCACCCCACGTTCTGTTAGTGCCACCCCAAGTTCTGCTCATGCTACCAATGTTCTGAGTGAGTGAGTGAGTGAGTGAGTTTAGTTTTACGCCACACTCAGCAATATTCCAGCTATATGGAGGCGGTCTGTAAATAATCGAGTCTGGACCAGACAATCCAGTGGTCAACAGCATGAGCATCGATCTATGCAATTGGGAATCGTACAAATGTTCTGCTAAGTGCCATCCCACATTCTGCTTGTGCCACCCCACGTTCTGCTCATGCTACCAATGTTCTGCTCGTGCTACCAATGTTCTGCTAGTGCCATCCCACATTCTGCTTGTGCCACCCCACGTTCTGCTCATGCTACCCAAAGTTCTGCTCGTGCTACCAATGTTCTGCTAGTGCCATCCCACATTCTGCTTATGCCACCCAATGTTCTGCTAGAGCTACCCCACATTCTACCAGCGCTAACCCAACTTTCTACTGCTCCATGTTCTGCTTGTGCTGCCCCCTACTCTGCTAACACTCCAGCCACGCTAAGGTGCACTGACCTGCAACAGTTTCCCGGACTGGATGAGAGCCAGGTAGCCGAAGGCCTTGCCCATGTACACTGCACCAGCTTCCTGTCAGGGCAAAGGTCAAATTTAAACAAACAATACAGAAACAAATGTTTAGTCATGTTCCCCGATGAACCTTCTCACCTTCCAACTCACACTGTTAATCCTATCATTACAACATTTCTACTTTCAAGCTCATTAATTCAAACACTGATGTTTCCAGAATGTGTTTACATGTTGACTCCCAAACTGAAACTAAACAGTTAACCTGGAAATCAGTCAGAGAACTGGGTCTGAAACCTTCACATAACAAAGAAATGTGCTGAAATTAACACTTGTATTCTAAAATTGACTAAGTTCACAAATCAATACAAAGGTATCACTATGGCAGAACAAAAGTAAGTAAGTAAGGTTTTACGCGCTTTTAGCAATATTCCAGCAACATCACGGTGGGGACACCAGAAATGGGCTTCACACATTGTACCCATGTGGGGAATCGAACCCGGGTCTTCAGCATGAAGAGCGAATGCTTTAACCACAAGGCTACCCCACCGCCTCGGCAGTACAATTTCAGAGGCAGTATAAAACAAGAGCATTACTTACATTTTTACTGTCATGCTGAGTGACCACCAGGTGCTTGTCAATCCCTTCCAACACCAACTGAACGGTGACCACTTCAAACACTCGCAGGACCTAAACAGACATGACACAAACACCTCACCATGATGATAGAAAAGTGTGACAAATATGTACCCAGTGATTTACCTTGAGTCCTGTATTTGAGGGTCCCTGGGACTCATACTCTTGATTTTCAGGGGTCCTGAACAACAACATGGGGGTCCCAGACACTTAAATATTATTATTAATACTGTTAATGGTGTTATTGTATTGTGTATCATGATCATCACATAGTTACAGTAATTAAATTGCCAATGATACCATAACCCGGCTAGTAGCAAACTCAGTGATAACTTATTGTTACTTAATTGAATTTTTACAAAAAGTATTTGGACTTTTTCCGAGTCCCTGTGGACGTGCTAATAAAATTTTGCTGCGTCCATTTTCAATTTTTATGCGTATAGGACGCAGGAATTCGCATCCTGTAAATCCCTGTGTACCTCACTGAACATGTTAAATACTTTTACTTAAATAACACAAAATTTAAGACACATGGAAGAATATCATGTATGGATGAACAAATTCTTTATTACAGTGAGAGCGACATTTCAGTAGGTTCTATCACCGTTATCACCATTATCAAGCAAGTTGTTCATCCATACATTGTTATCCTTACAACTCCAACTTTTAAAAGCCTCTCAAAGAAATTTAAGACATCTTTCTTAATTGTCATTTTTCAGATGATAATTTCAATATTCTGAATCACAGAATGAGTGAGTTCGAATGCTTTCCCAAAGTGACACAATTCTCAGTCAGATATTTACCACTTTGCTGAAACCCACAAGCATGGGTATACAGCTACCACACCTAAAAGCATAATCGGGGCGAAATGGGACTGAAGCTCACAATCACAGGTTCATGGTGTGCTCAAGAGATGCTTCTCTGCAGAGCCAATTTGGCACTGTGGCCACCTGTGCTATCTATCATCAAATCAATACCCTCAAGAAAATGCATTTCTACCCCAGATTTCTTAAAACAATTATCAACCTTACAACAAACTACCCCTTGTATATGTTGTATGCACATAAGGCATCAGACCTTTACGCGTCATTGAAGGATGAACATCAATTCTACCATGGAACATTTACCTGAGTCAGAGCAACTGAGAAGCCGAGCCGAGCCCATTTCCGATTTGATGACAGACCTTTGATTAACCTTTGCAAGGAGTAGCTCAAATCACTGCATATTTCGGGCTGAAATGAAAATGGAACACATTGATTAAAACAGAAACAGACTTCTTATTTCAGAAATGAACATAGTCAGCTGTGCCGAGACGCTGAAGAGATAACATGTCCTGAAGCTCCTGCAAATATGTGCCTCTCACAAATGTCGCTAGCCCAGCACAAAACAGATTGTGCAATCCAACTCAACATCTATGTTTGTTCCTTCTGTGTAGAAGCCATGGTTAAGTGGCACACCTTGCCAGAATATGTTTGCTCTGTTTCATCAACAATACTGTCAGTACAATTAGGAAACAGCATGGGCCCCAAGATACTGTTTCCGGAAAATAGAGTGGGTGGAGTTTGTTCTGCATAATTTTGCTGCACAATGCCACAGTTTTATATCGACGCAACATCTTTTGTCAATGAATTATGAAACTATGGTTGATATTTTATGAGAACTGACTTCCATGGATAAACACAGCCACTTGTCTGTTGGTATGAAACTAGCAAACATTTAGAGACTAGTTGTTGTCTTCCTCAAATAAAGTTACAATACTTAAGCAACAACTGACCTGCTCACTGATTAGCTATGACAACCAAACTCTAGCTATGACTTCCTATATAATTTAGCATCTACCTTATGTCTTCGACTTACACAAAATGTGCATACTGGTTTTATGGTTTTGTTCTATATAAATTCAAACAAATATTCAATTTTAAAATAAACTTTGGTATTCCTGGTGTGATGATACACTTTGCTGCCTGCTGAGTGAGCCCAACAACCCATAATTGACTAACGATACACCCAGGCTTTTTACTTCTTACTTTGTTAAAGGAGACTAACAGGGTGGTCAGACTCGCACACTTGGTTGATGCTTGGTATTGTATTCCATTTGCATAGATCAATGATGGTGCTGTTGGTCACTGGATTGTTTGGCCCAGAATTGATTATTTACAGACCGCCATCATATACAAATGTAGTTGAGTTGAGTTGAGTAGAGTTGCGTTTTACATCGCATCGGTATTATTTCAGCCATATAGCGATAAGATCAAGTATTCATTCATAAGCATTCCAAGTACAAAGTCCATGTTAAAAGACAAATAATTTGATTACATTCTTATTTAAAAACAGAAAATGTCATACCAAATTTAGAAGCGAGCAATTTGCCATTCACGTTACATTATTACAATTTATGATACAGGTCAAATTCCCTCAGGAAGTTAACAATTCGATGTCCGCTCACGCGGGAGTGAGTGAGTGAGTGAGTTTAGTTTTACGCCGCACTCAGCAATTTTCCAGCTATATGGCGGCGGTCTGTAAATAATCGAGTCTGGACCAGACAATCCAGTGATCAACAGCATGAGCATCGATCTGCGCAATTGGGAACCGATGACATGTGTCAACCAAGTCAGCGAAACTGACCACCCGATCCCGTTAGTCGCCTCTTACGACAAGATAGTCGCCTTTTTATGGCAAGCACATGGGTTGCTGAAGACCTATTCTACCCCGGATCTTCACGGGTCTCGATCACGCGGGAAAATAGATCTTTCAGATTTCATAATGTGAATCCCTTGAAGTCGACAAGTCCACACATTCAAACAGAATATGCTTGATGGTGAACACTTCATCGCAAGAGACACACATGGGAGGTCCATCCACATCCGTTTTCAGGATAGTCATGAGTAAACCGACTGTGGCCAATACGACATCGTCGTAAAATCACCTCATCATTTCGTGACTGACAACCCACGTAGGTATAACCAATGTAAGGTTTTATTTCATGAAGTTCATTTCTTCCTACTTGGGTGTCCCACCTTTTTTGCATGAGGTCCCAAGTATAACTTTTTATAGTGGGTTTGAAATCACTGTACGGGATCAGCAGTGGAGATAAGGGTTTGTCAAGAGCTGCTTTAGCTTCAGCATTGGCCTTTGTGTTACCTGCTATGCCTAAATGACCAGGCAACCGGCAGAGGACAATGTCGCATTGGCCAGTGGAAAGATCATTGTAAAGTTCCAAGATGTCCAGGATGATAGGGTGACTTGAAGTAACATTTTGAAGTGCTTGAAGGCAAGACAATGAATCTGTAAAAATGATGAAGTTTTTGGAATGGTTCTGTTGTTTAATATAGGTCAAAGCTGAGAAGATAGCTTTGGCCTCAGCAGTGAAAATGGAACTGTTGTCCGGAATTCTAGAGGAGACAGTCTTGGATCCAATAACTGTAGCACTGGCAGCTTGGCCATCATCCTCGGATCCGTCTGTGAAAATGGATCTATGGGTGTTATACTTTGAGCTGGCTGGTTGTATTCCTGTTGAAACACCAAAGGATTTGTTTCTGACTTTTTGAGTTTAGTGAGGGTAGGATCCACCTGTGGTTTCACCATCTGCCACGGTGGCAAAGACAGAAGCCGGAAAGGTGCTATTATATTGAGGTCAATTTTAGCTGCAGATATGTGTGGTTGAATTCTGATTCCAAGTGGTGGGACCAGGTTTGTCATTTTAGGAAATAGGTTTTCATAGAGAGGGTTAAAAACACAATTGTATGCTTGATTGGACTAATTTGAATGCAATTTTGTGATATTCTGCAGTGAAACAGTTTAATGCGGCGTTGTTCAAGGGAGGGTTCGTTAGCCTCAGCATTTAGACTGTCTACCGGAGAGGTCCTAAAGGCTCACAGGCAGAGCCTCAGGCCTTGGTGGTTGATAGAGTCTAATTTTTCCAAATTGCTTTTGCAGGCTCCACAATAGACAATGGAGCCGTAATCTAGTTTACAGCGCACCAAAGATCTGTACAAGTGAAGTAGGGTAGTCTGATCCCCTCCCCACTCTGTATTTGAAACGACTTTTAGCAAGTCAAGAGCCTTCAAACACTTTGTCTTCAAATATTTTATGTGTGGTAAGGATGTCAAGTGGCGGTCAAATATAAGTCCCAGGAATTTGGCATCTTCTACTACCTTGATAGGGGTACCGCCTAAGGATAGGTCTGGATCCTTGTGTGGTTTGTATTTACGACAAAAGTGAATACAATTTGTTTTGGATTTTGAAAACTTAAAGCCATTTTCGTTAGCCCATTTTGTATTTTGTTAAGGCAGAGTTGTAGCTGCCTTTCTATTGCGTGCATGTTCTTACCACGACATGAAATATTGAAATCATCCACGAAAAGGGACCCATCAACACAGCTGTTCAAAACTTTCGTGAAGGCTGTGGCCTACCTTTAGAATACAGCACCACAAACTTTAAAAAGACGTCATAATACCCTTTTACGTAATGTAATGTGATTTTGTTCGAAAGCACGATCTCGAAACAATGCCCTCTGACGCCTGCATGGCAACACGGTTGTCTGGCTCAGCGAGTGCGTATAAGCTCCGCTCACTGCTGTTTCATCTCTACGAGCTATGTCATTGCATAAGCCCAACGATGTTGAGAGTTTCCAGTAGTTGTATACCGGCGGATGCGCAATATTTTGCAAGCACCAGTTTGAAATATCTTTCTTTTTTCACTAATACGCTCATATTTATTTGTATTACGGGCTGCTGAGGTGTTATGTTTGGTGTATTTTGTATTTTGTAATTTTTTTAATTTACATATATATTTTTGTCATTCAGTAATTTGCACCATTACATAGAAAAGTGTTTTATTAGTATTTTATTTTTCGAAGCGGTAATAATGCATTACACTAGACACGCCAGTCGTGTTTGTGCCGGTTCGGTCAATGCATTCTATTTATTAGGATTAATTCAAGGGATTGGGGCTAGGGCTAGGGCTAGGGGCTAGGCTAGGGTTAGGGTTAGGGACCTAATGCAATATAGTAGGTACATGTCCGGTGGTTCGGTCAATGCATTCTATTTATTAGGATTATTTCAAGGGGTTAGGGGTTAGGGTTAGGGTTAAGGGTTTAGGGTTAGGGTTAGGTACATGTCCGGTGTGAGTACCATTTGTTGATTTTCCTTTTTGCATTTTAATACTTTTTTTTCACACAAAAACGGGAAACCAAAAACGTCGCAAGTACATTATGAAATGGGTTAATGTAGAAATTTTGGGCTAATGGAAATTGGTCTGAAATTTGCACTCAAGCCTCTTTCACACGTAACATAAATTTTGTAAAGTAATGATTCGAAGGCTAACTCACCTGAGTGCCATCACTACACATGCTCATGACTCCCTCGTTCCTTAGTGCGATCCACATTATCCTTACAGTGTTCCCTACATCACTTTTCTGTCACAAAATCACCGATTTATATAAAAGCGCGTCATTCATGCATGCACCGTGAAATCTACGTCTGAGGCCTGACGTCAACAACCCTTTTCAGTTTGAGGCATATCGGCTCATTCCACGCCACACGTTAATTTGTAGATTACGGAATGGGACGTGTGCCAAATGGCATCATATCCATTCGGCATTTGTCCGGAGAATAAAATCACGAGACACCCAGTCTACCCGTAGCATTCGTAATTGTCCGTGACCTATTCGACTCTTTCCTTTCATTTCCGTGACGTCACAGGAATGACTCGATAAATTTGCACATTGTGCAACAGTGTGGACGTAGCTCAGTCGGTTACCTGTCGAGCTAACAATCCGAAGGTCGCAGGTTCGCGTCCGACGGGTTCTCACAAACTGGTTGCTTGTCTTAATGACATGTGACCTACGGCAGAGATCGTCCTCACGAGAAGTTGTGGTGCTGTATTCTAAAGGTGCTCCGAGGCTGTTAATTTTGATGCTAAAGAGTGTGACAGACAGGATGCTGCCTTGAGGGACACCCTGGTCTTGGTGGAAATAATCAGAAAATGTGGAACCCACCCGTACTTGAAATTGTCTGTTGTTTAAAAACTGAGATATGAACTGAGGTAATCTGTCCCTCAATCCAAATTCATGTAAATCTTTTAAGATACCATGTTTCCATGTTGTATCATATGCTTTTTCCAAGTCGAAAAAGATACATACAGTATGTTGTTTGTTGCACAGGGGCTTGTAACGCTAAAAACTGCCATCAAGGCATATACTATCACTGACGGGGTCTTAGTACTATATATATATACTTTTATATAGTACTAAGACCCCGTCAGTGATAGTATATGCCTTGATGGCAGTTTTTAGCGTTACAAGCCCCTGTGGTTTGTTGACAATGGAATTTTTTATAAATGATTCCAGACGCACCAGATGGTCAATGGTACTTCGGTTCTTTCGGAAACCACATTGGAGGTCACTAAGGAGGTTATTGGTCTCCAAGTACCAGATTAATCGATTGTTGACCATGCGCTCCATCATCCATGGTTTTACAAACACAGCTAGTTAGTGATATAGGACGGTAATATTGCTGAATGTAGTGTTAAACCACAAACAACAAACTTACTGACTGAATATTGCTGGCATTATTTGGCAACAATGAAATTTTAATGGCAGAAAAATTGGAAGGTCAAGAGAAAATGTATGCATATATGGTCTCGAATATCATGCATTTTGTTATCGATTCATTTTTTAGTTTATCTTCACCTCTTTAAAAATCTACTTTCTATAATTAACAGGTGCGTACCCTTAGCACAAACATTCACAACTGATTGCCTAACACCCCCACCACTGGCACAAGATTTTCCTATTGTTATTTACAAACATACTTTAACATATTTTAAAATTTACTCAGTCAGGCTTACAATATTTGTAGCTCTCGACATCTACTATAATAGTAAAGTAACTCAACAAAGTCCTCAGCTGATCGACTGCTGTACGTGTGCCCTTACCTTCTTCTGTTGTGTTTGTAAATGTGAAATTAGAAAATTAGTCGCAGATGATCTTGCTTGGTCATTTCCCTCAGCCAGAGTTTTGAAAACTTCCAAAACACTGCTGTCAACACGACCACTTGGGGCAGTCGTGTGGTCCATGTGCTTCGCCACCATGTTTGACATAAACACCTTTGCGCATGACTAACGGAACATGACAAAGATTGTATTTGTAATACAACTATCATTGTAACTGCTTTACGACACCATTTTGAATCGACGCAAATACGTTAAATCCTAGTCGTACAAAATTTTACAAAGAAAAAATGACATACTAGTATTTACGCACACATAAACGATAAATAGGATGCATAATATATCAGAGAACACAAGATGGGAAATTTCACTATGGAAATTCACAAATGAACATAAAATAATACTTTTTTTAAAAATGTGACAAACGAGTTCTCGGATCGTTGATTTAGACTGTTAGTAAACTAGTTGCTAAACTATCAGAAAAGTTGTTCCTGAAAGGGCCTTCCTTCAAAGCGATCGCCAGACTTAACTTACGACTATCTTAGCGCTACGATCGCTTTGAAAATCTAGGCCCAGGTGAGCCGGGGTTCTTCTGAAGGCTATCAGCTTGCTGTGCAAACCATCAGTTTCTTTCCTCTTCACTCATCCCAGTTTGATAAAAAGTAATGCATGCCATTGCTGAACACATCTGGTGAGTGAGTGAGTATGGTGTTATGCAGCTTTAGCAGTATTCCAGCAATATCACGGCGGGGGACACCAGAAATGGGCTTCACACTTTGTACCCATGTTGGGAATCGAACCCGGGTCTTCAGTGTGACAAGCGCATAGAAGAAAATCCATTTTTGATATTTATTGCGAGTCATTTTTAATGTTGAGCGTATAACGTTATGCACAAGCACATAAACCCAATTCATATACAGTTATGTCGTTCAGATATCAGGCTGTATTTTCTTCGCTCACACTTTCCGTAAAGATGCCAAAGTAAAAAATTCGTAGCACAGTGCTTTTATCGGTGCGCAATAAAAAGCGGAGAAATTTACTGTTTTTTAACGCATAACAAAAATTTGGACACATTTAGCGAGGTCTATTTCTCAAACCGCCGAGGTAGTTGCACTTATATTTATACCAACGGATGGGAAATTAATATTCTACATTTCTGTATCATTTTATAGCCGTACGTAGATCCAGGACCACGCGAGCGCAATTCTCGCACAACGATCACTTTTCAAACTGTATGAAAATGTGCGCCTGAAAAAAAACTCGGCATCCAGGGTCCCGTTTCACAAACCTCTCGTAAGCCTAAGATCTCGTAACTTTTCTCGTAGGATTTGTATTTCCTATACTGTAACATTGACTTACGATAGTCGTGGCGCTACGAGAGCTTTGTGAAACGGGACCCAGGGGGTTAAACACAAGGCTACCACACCGTCCTGAATACATATACTTCCCATCAAAACGTTTAGACTCACTTAAAGCACTCACTATATGTTATGTATATGGTTACATCGAAGATTGATTTCTCCAGTAACTTGGGCGAACCAACTGCAAACCTTATGCAGATGAATTGCACGAGGATCATGCATCAAATTGCTGAAAAGCATGTGCAAATATCGTGCATGTGAACAGCTGCGTTTTGGTGTAACATTTTGTTTAGAATTCGCCAATTTTCACTGGTTTTATCATTTATTTAACTCATGACAATACTCTTTTCAACGTTACGAATTTGTTTTACAATACATCAGTTCATGTGTAAACAGTACCTTTAAACAGTGTGGAATATTTTGCAAAATTAAGTTTAGAACAGTTGGCTGAAGTAAGTGGCTATATTTACACTAGTGAGTCTAAACTTTTGATGGGAAGTATACGAGTATATATGGTGCACGCTCTCAATGGATGAAGATCATAATGCTGGGCATTACACTCCCTTGAACGATTTAGAAATAGATGTTTAAGTTGTATTTACTACAGTAACGTCATTTTACAGAAAAGGATTTGCAGACACAGAAAGACGAAGTATTTGATTTAGCCGACCTCCCCGAAAACGACCACGATCCAGACTACATCTAATTCTGTCTGATCGAAAAATAAAATAACTCGAAAATGCTCAATAAGTTTGGGTTTTTCCCAAATTTGTGGTGTGTTTTGTGTGTGTGTCTGTGTGTGTGTGTGTGTGTGTGTGTGTGTGTGTGTGTTCCCCAAAGAGTACAGTCCCCAAAGTTCAATCATTCTACTAAAGATATAATATTGCAAAATGTTAAAACAGATAACAAAAAGTAATGGGATGGGTTATCGTTTGATGATTTTACGTTGACTCTTTTATTGTTTTCTTCGTTTCAGCACTTAGTTGTATCAGCAATATTCCAGGATTATTCCAGCTATATAAGCATCACGCAAGCACAATACCAGCTATATATAGCAGCAATAAAAACAGATTTTACGTTGACATCAATTTCAGCTATATATCAGGTTTGATTGTTTGTTGCAATATTTAACGCAATATTCCAGCTATACTCAGCAATATTCCAGCTATATGGCAGCAGACTGTAAATAATCGAGTCTGGGCCAGAAAAACTAGTGGTTAACAGTGTGAGCATCGATCTACGCAATTTGGATACACGTGTCAACCAAGTCAACGAGTCTGACCACCCGATCCCGTTAGTCGCCTTATGCGACGAGTTTGGGTTGTTGAAGACCAGTTCTAACCCGCATGTTCATGGGAGTCTTTAAGCAGGAGCCGTCATACAGAGACCTAATTTTAATTAGGCTGCATTTGTTAAAACCCATTTGATGTTTTCGTGAAACGTTTTCTAAAATACAACTTCTTCGACAAAAGTGGCTTAACAAGCGATTGGTGTTATTTATTTATTGACACGATTCACACTAGGATTCAACATTTTCCCGATTATTGCAAACAGAAGGAAACCCATCGCATTCTTTGTAGAAAACCCCAAACACACGCCATTGCGTACTTATTAAGACTCCATGACTTAAGAATACCAAGTAAAGCTAGTTGTCCAACAACTATCACATTTTAACGCACGCATGTCTCGCCGGAAATAGATCTTGGATTCATTTCAACATGGCCGAGTATGATACTTTTCGCGGGTACGGTGCAATTTATTTGGGTTGATCGATTGTTTCCTTCATCAAATTATTGATATCACATGCAGCTGCAAAGACTTCAATGTCATCTTTAAATGTTTGATCACTGTTGTTACATGCCTTAGCTATTTTGCCATGAACAATTATGACATGTGGAGGGCCATGGTGTCCTGCATACATGTGCGGTTGTAACATAACGTAGCTTCACAAACGATACAAGTAGACCAAAAAGAAACACTTTTACGGCATATTGTTTTGTGTTGATACCGCTTTTCTACAAGCACGACTTTTATCGGTTGATATGAAACTTTTCAGCGGAACTGTCCTTTTCTTGTGTCTTTCAGCTATCAATTTATATGGCATGCAGGTTTTTTCATTGTAGACTCTTGATCTCTTTCAGTTTTGAGATTAGGTTATTGTTATCTACTAAGATGTGTGCCAAATCTTCTGTAGTACACTCATTATACAGGTCTTGTGGGACTGAAATGATTATTCGGCCCTGATTAATCAAAATCAAGATCCAGTGTACTGTGTTCACTGTACATTTGTTTTAATACTGGAGCTGAAAGGGCTTGTATGTCAACCATTCTGAAACATTGTTTGCAAAAACCCCAAACTTGCTCGGCTCACATTTTGTTCAGAACATTCTGCTCAACATATCACACCTTGGTTTAGGCTTATCATGAGGCCTGACTTTTCCCTTGTTTGTTAACAAACACATTTATTCTGAAATAAGGACAGACAGGCTAATGCATAACCTTAGCTGTGCTTTACAGATTGGTTTTCATGGTTATTTAGATATGCTACTATAATTACATTACTGAGTTCCATGACAACATAGCCTTATACAAGAGCGACTGTACCTTTAGCTCTCCATAGGGCTTTGGATGAACAGACAAAAACACATATAATGTGTCATTAATGGTCTGTACCCTTTAATGAAAGATGTACCAGGCTGGCCACAAAGAACTCTTTGTAGGAGAGCTACTAGTTTATATGACAGAGACACTTGTATTGTGATTTAGTCTTTGAAAAGCCCAACTTCCTGTTATACAGTTATTATTTTTTAACTTATGTTTAAAAATTTTTTACATGAATTTTATCTTCAATTGTTCTTGAAGCCAGTTATTCTACACAGTGCTGGGTTGTCAATTTAACTGTTCAGAGGTCTATTGGTTTGGAACCATACACCATCGGAAATTAATTCATGCATGATGTAAAAACATCCAGAATTGTCAGTGTATGTCCCTTTCAGATTGATATGGAGGTAGTGGCATAAAAGAGATAGGACAGTCTGTGGAAATTTCAGTGTTCATTTCACATATTGATAGAATGAAATATGTATGAAATCACTAAGTAGTTTATAACAGTGCAGCAAGACAGTGATTTTATTTGAAAAATGTTTAACTATTCAAATAATAATACTATGCAGTGCTTTGATATTGCTTAAGAAAGAACCTGCTCACTGTCTTCATCGATGCATTTTGCTGGCATTGTTTAATCCCCAAATGACACCTTCTAGTATATAAAGGTTATCTATCAGCTATCTATTGATTCTTACATGAGGTGTGTAGGAAAAACTGAAGTGATGTTGCCAGTCTAAATCTAATGTATGTCATGATACAACTGAGAGCAATTTGGACGTATTCTGAACACAGTAGTAAAAGTCGAGAAAGTATCTGGCCTAAACCTTTAGAGTCCACTAGCCCTGTTTAGCTTCATTTTCAGTATATTTTAACCAAATGGCATTAATTAGCTGATCTTTGTAGGCAGAACTGAATTACAGCCTCAGGTTTCAGACTTTCGTCTAATTTTACCATCTTTAAATAAAACAAAGTCTGTAAGGAAGCCAGCTGTCCAATAGAGAGATTTGTTCATTTTGTATGCAGGCTGGAGGTTGTTTCTGAGCCTTGACAAGGGACCAAACAATATTTATTGAGGAATAGATAATCCTAAGTTTCGAGTAGGTTATACCGTAGTTTAATCTGCCACTGGGTTGTGTTGTGCAGAGTTGTGTCCCATAGGCATGGCAGGAACCAATGAATTTCACTTTTCACACCTTTGTAATAACATGTTGTGTTTATTTGCAGAGGACGTAGTGGGGGGTACAACAGCTATGACAACAGCTATGGTGGGCGCCGTGGTGGGAACAGGGGATCAAAGCCCCTCCCTACGGAACCTCCCTACACTGTATATGTAGGTAGCCTGCCTCTACAGGTTGTACAGGGCGACCTTGAACTCATCTTCAAAGACCTGAAAGTAAGGTTGCAATGATATTGCATTGATGTTTTGCATCACTTCCAACTGAAAAGGGCACATGTAGTTGCATATATGAGTTACTTATGAAAGCTTGAGAGAATAGCTCCTCACACAAGCAGGATAAAAACATCATACCAACTCTTAGATGCTTGTGGGGTGTCCTAAAACTAATAAAAGTTGTTTAACAATCTCAATACTGACACAGGTCACTGAGGAGGAGTGCAGGAAAAGGACAGCCAGGTGTTGAGAAGCGGATGGAAAGCTGGCGCAGCACAGGTTAATGAATAAATAACTTTGTGAATGGTCTCGAAGACCTGGCTGTCCCTTTCTGCACTCCTCCACCGTAACAGACAGTGAACTGGTCAATACTTTGATTATGATCAGCGTTTCATTGAGTATGTTATGTTTATTGTTTTAGTTAGATTGCCCATTTCGGTGGCTTTTGAGCTTATGATATTGCTGGAATGATTAGTTATGAAAGCTTGATCTGAAAAGCTCCTCACACTAACATGATGAAATCGCTTACTCTTAGATGCTTGTGGGGTTAGCACTGGGTGCCGTTGTACAATACAACCTTAACATCGAGACTGTCGCAAGTCTATGTTGGTGTATGGGACTTACAATCACCTTAGCCCTAAGGTTGTTTTGTCCAACAGCACCCTGGTCCTTAACAATCTATGCTGGCTTAAAAGGCGACTTTGTGGGTCAGGTGGTCAGACATAGTTACTTGGTTGTGGGTGCAGGGGTGGAAATAACCCATTACCCGACGTCTGAGTCCAGTGTTTTTTTCTGTCGGGCAAGCAAATTTGTATATCACGCTGTACCGGTGTCCAGTTGATTTCCAATGTTAATTATGTTGTTTATTTAAAAAATCAACAAGAAAACGGACGGTATAGTGGAAAAATTATCAGGGCAAGTGATTTTACGTGTGCCACTCCACCGGAGTACACTAGCAATTTTAAAGTTATTTCCACCCCTGTGGTGTTTACATTCCCTGATGGTTTCTTTGTTTCTAGTGTAACACCACACTCCACAATATTCCAGCAATATGGTGTCAGCCTGTAAATAATTTAGGCTGACCAGACAATCCAGTGATCAACATCATGAGCATCATGATGGTGTTGATGGTTGCTCACATTGTCAATGACTGGATTGTCTGTATAGGTTTGATGACCCTCTGCCAAGCTATTTGTAGAATATTGGTGTGTCAGGTGTTCAACTAGGACACACAGTTAAGTAAATCCTTATCCATGTTGGATAATGTATCTTAATGATTATAATTGAAGGAGCAGAGTGAGTGAGATTGGTTTTCCGCAGCTTTTAGCAATATCACAGCAGAGGACACCCAAAATGGGCTTCACACATTGTACCCGTGTGGGGAATCATACCCAGGTCTTCGGTGTGGCGAGCGAACGCTTAAAGCACTGGACTACCCCACCACCCTGGAAGGAGTACCCCTTGTGTTTAATGATGTCACTGGTTAGCTGATTGGTTGGATTTTTTCCACTTGTTCATAAGATTGGACGCCAAATGTTTTTCATCCACATAATCTCCAGGGTATACGTTCCAATAAATCTCCACTATACCCTGAATGCATCTACGAGAACATACTGACAAATTGACAGGTCTGAAACCTTAAAAAATATATGCAAGAACTCCTACCTCTTTCAGAGTACCCTGCCAATATAGTATTGTGTTGCCAAGTTTAATCGGTTAGATGGTTTAAAAAGCGAAAGTGAGTTGTGATTGGTACGCTCAACTTCCCAACATAGACACCTGATTGAATAAAAAACCAACCAAGGGAGGTAATAAAATCATCGGGCCGAGCCGTAGATGCATCCAGGGTATAGTGGAGATTTATCGGAATGTATCGAGGATGCATGTTTTTGTGTTTATGCAGTTACACATGTATTTACACAGTTTGCACACCATTTTTATGTTTGCGTATCCATAAATGTACAAACATCTGAAGTCAGTTTCTTTACTATTTCTATGCTTGTCTTTCATAATTGGTGATTTATTGTCTCTGCAGGTTCGCAGCGTGAGATTAGTTCGAGATCGAGAAACGGATGTCTTCAAAGGTTGGTAGCAGTCATCATTTTTGTGGAATGTTCGAAATAAACATATTTCCAAATTGTTTTTTAAGTTGCTTGCATGCAGATATGAATGACAAAATATTGTTGTGGCTGGATTGACAATTTGTGAAAATGACTATAGAAATGAACTTCCTGATATTTTTTGTTTGTCTCCAAGATAACTGAGTTCTTGAACTGTTGTGTATGTTAATCACATTTTGTCAGTACTTTACCAGTCAAAAACCTATTCAAATTGACAGGGTACATTACACAAAGAATACTGTCAGTAAGCTGATCTGATAGACTATTTGACCGACATGTGAAGATCGGAGTTAGAATTGGTCTTCGGTAACCCATGCTTGTTGTAAGAGGCGAGAAACGGAATTGGGTGGTCAAGCTCACTGACACATGTCATAGTATCCCAGTTGTGTAGATCGATGCTCATACTGTTGATCACTAGATTGCCTGGTCTTGGCCTGATTATTTACAGGCCGCCGTTATATAGCTGGAATATTGCTGAGTGCGGCTTTAAATTTCGCGCACTCGCTCACTCACTCACTCTCACTCACTAGTTGACTATGTTCTCAATGGAATGACCATGGAACCCTGATGTTCTGTATTGGTATTGCTCAGTGTAAGGAAGTGATATTACCTAGGGAGTCTGCAGATGTGGTGGGGGTAGCCTAGTAGTTAAAGTGTTTGCTTGTTATGTCAACAAATGGTCAAAGACCTGGGTTTGATTCCCAATATGGGTGCAATGTGTGAAGCTCATTTCTGGTGTCCCTCACCGTGATATTGCTGGAATATTGCTGATACTTACGTAAGACCATGCTCACTCACTCACTTTGTTTCAGGTTTTGCTTATGTGGAGTTCGAGGATCTAAATTCTCTACAGGAAGCGCTGACCTTTGATGGAGCTGTGAGTATCTCAATGTAGATGTGTTTTAACATGTGCTTTTAATATAAAGCGTTAAGATTTGGTCTTCAGCAACCCATGCATATTGTAAGATGTGATTGAAATACTGTCGGAAAAAGGAAAAAACTTCCTTTTTTTTCACAATTACATCTACAATTTATGTAGTTAATATGTGCAAGTGTGAAATATCTGTTTCTAAGTTTTACCTGTCTACACTCTCAGTGGTAGGGAGATAGGAAACATAAAAAAGGACTTTACAGAGGAGAGATTAGTGCAGAAATGCGACTTTCTTGGAACAGACCATGGCTTTATACAAATTAGTGTGGGATATTGTATTACAAAGGACACTTTTTAAATGCCTACTTTGAAATTAGATTTAGCTTCATTATAAACGATAGCAGATGTAAAAAATAACTTTAAAACTGAAACTATTAAGGATGTGGCTACCATGGAGTCTCACTATCACTATATTTCACACAGTGTGGTCTGCAATCACAAGCATGGCACTTTATATGGATGAGTTGATTGCTAATGTCCATATTTCACCCTCTTACTGAATTAGATCGTGGTTAGAATTGATCTTCAACAACCCATCTGATTGGTTTATGTTGTTTTCCTTTCACTAGTATAAGTCGTTTCAATGGTTGGTTCACAAAATGTCTGATATGAGTTGTATAGGATATCCTTGTACTGTTGTTCAGAGGTAACATGCACTAAGGGACCGTTCATAATTATCCCCCACAACGCGTTTTGCGTGTGTGTGTGTGTGTGTGTGTGTGTTAAATATTAAAATGGACCCCGTCTGTGCGTCCGTCCGTCCGTCCTTCCGTGCACATTTGTCTTTTCCGGAGCAGAACTCTAAAACCGTTCAATATTTCTTCACCAAACTTGGCACATAGATAGATCTGGTGGTGTACTGGTGCCTTTTGGTAGTTTTGGAATTCTGAATAAAATATTTTTGGCGTTTCCATGGCAACAAGTTTGACTTAGCCTGAAATTGGTGTTAGTGCTCTTTTCCGGAGCAGAACTCTAAAACCGTTCACTATTTCTTCACCAAACTTGGCACATAGATAGATCTGGTGGTGTACTGGTGCCTTTGGTAGTTTTGGAATTCTGGAATAAAATATTTTTGGCCTTCCATGGCAACAAGTTTGACTTAGCCTGAAATTGGTGTTAGTGCTCTTTTCCGGAGCAGAACTCTAAAACCGTTCACTATTTCTTCACCAAACCTGGCACATAGATAGATCTGGTGGTGTACTGGTGCCTTTTGGTAGTTTTGGAATTCTGAATAAAATATGTTTGGCTTTTCCGTGGCAACAAGTTTGACTTAGCCTGAAATTGGTGGTAGTGCTCTTTTCCGGAGCAGAACTCTACAACCATTCACTATTTCTTCACCAAACTTGGTACATAGATTGGTCTGGTGGTGTACTGGTTCCTTTTTGGTAGTTTTGGAATTCTGAATAAAATATTTTTGGCGTTTCCATGGCAACAAGTTTGACTAAAACAGAAATTAGTGGTAGTGCACTTTTCTGGAGCAGAACTCTAAAACCGTTCAATGTTTCTTCACCAAACTTGGCACATACATAGATCTGGTGGTGTACTGGTGCCTTTTGGTAGTTTTGGATTTCTGAATAAAATATTTTTGCCATTTCCATGGCAACAAGTTTGACATAGACTGAAATTGGTGATAGTGCTCCTTTCTGGAGCAGAACTTTAAAAACCTTGCAATACTCTCCTTCCACTTTTCTATATACACACCTAAATATTTGACATAATCATAACTCGTAGACATAATCATGAAGAGTATTTTGCCATTGAGGGGGATATTGATGACTTTGTCTTCTTGTTTATGGCTAGGGTGGGTGATGATGATTTTAAGGGGGTGTCACCCAGTTTGTTCTTGGGAGGTGGGGAGTTCCAACCATTTTGTACACGTTTCTTGGGCAGGATCAGCAATTTTGTACATAAAAATATTTTAAAATTTTGCTTATAAAATTGGGGGGTGTCATTGATTTGTACATGACATTCGTGGGGGTGGGAGGGGTCACTTACTTTGTACATTAATTTTAATTCCATAAAAATCATCACACACACACACACGGCCGTAAATTATGAACAGTCCCTAAGATCTGATTTTGATGAAATGTTGCTGTAAGCTGGAGTCTTCCATGTCTCAGATTCCAGTATTTGTGGCAGCTATGGTACAGAGTATAGTGCTGCTATCTGTGTCTCCCTCGCTCACTAGCTGTTTCAATAAGACATGTCTGGAAGTAATATATCACACACTTTGTCCACAGCTCTTTGAAGATAAAAACATACGTGTCGATATAGCAGAAGGTCGTAAGGATGGCAGAGGTCGTGGGGGAGGCCGAGGAGGCCCTCAAGGTAAGCATTCCCAGGTGTAATAGTTAACAAAGACTGAAATTTGTCTTTATATTGTTGTTAAACATTTGTAAAATAATGGAAATTCTAAGTGGAACCTGAAACCAATACAGCTAGAAAAAGCTGATATCTTCTTACCCATGCATAAGGCAGACCCCAGCTTTAAACCCATATAATTGTAGGCACGGAAAACTCTCCATGTACACAACAATATGCAGTATCAGAATGTTTTTGTAAGATTAGTCTACACTTTGCCTTAAAAATTATGAATTGTGTTCTTCTACTTAGGCCAAAAAAATAAATGTTGTGGTTCCGATTTCCTACATTTCAGAACTAGGGTAGGTAGGTAGGGTTGGGTTTTTTTGCAAAATATTTTTACATTACTCATGTGTCAGAAAATAAATTTAATTTATTATGTGGTGAGTAAAATTGTTAGGCTTAGCGGGAATATTTAGGGTCGGTCGGGAAATCGGAACCACAAGCTTCTTTTTTTTTAGGCCTTATGTTTAACCTTGATCTGATCTCTGAAGCTTTATCAGGAGTCCTGTCTTCCAATAGCTAGGAAAAATCTTTCATGTTTTCTGAGGCTTCAGCTGGTAAACATTTGTTGTGTTTAACTTTGAAGGGCTTGTTTCCATCTGTTGTTTTGTTCTGTTTCAGGGGGCTTTGGTCGAGGGGGTCGGGGTGACTTCAGGGGATTTGGTGGGGACAGAGGGGGCTATGACCGGGTTTCGACAGAGGCTCAAGAGGAGGGCCAAGGGGTGGTGGTGGAATGGGGGGCGGTGGAATGGGGGGCAGCAGGGACGGTGGCTACAGAAGTGCTGGTCGTGGAGGTTATGATCGTGAACGTGACAGTGGTTTTGGAGGCCGTCCCCGGCAGCGGAGAGACAGCGACAACAGAGAGGAGTTGAGGGAAGCTTCACCAGGTGAGAAAAGTGTAGACAGAATGAGTTGTGGGTCACAGTCTTTGGAAGGAAGGGTGGTGGGTAGCCTAGTGGTTATAGCGTTTGCTCGTCACGCCAAAGCCCCCCACATGGGTACAATGTGTGAAGCTCATTGCTGGTGTCCCCTGCCGTGATATTGCTGGAATATTGCTAAACTCCCTCTTAGGAAGGAGGCAATGTACTGGGTCCATCTTTGTAGCTGTGGTATTTGAGTCTGGGAACCCCTTGATCAACCTTACGGACAGTATTATGGCTAGTTTGGCCAGCAGTCTGCGTGTAAACATCTCCTTTGAACTCACTAGACAATTGAAGCTAAAACTTCTCATACTTGTTTCAGTACCAATCATGAGACCCCAGTGTCTTCAAATCCAATTTCAATTTGGCCTTTGTGGTAGCAGTGTTAAAAAATTCCCTTAGGATAATTTCTTAGGCATTTTTAAAAAAAATGTAATGAAATTAGGTACATGTGTAGTTAGTTGATAGATCAATATATATGTTCCGGGAGATGGGGGTTTATTTGCGGTATTATAAGTTTTGATCTTCGTGTGACCTATGTTTTTGCCTCCTTTGTTGTCTCGAAATGCATTATATGCTTTGTACACAAGGCTGCAGACACCCAGGGCTCCAGATAATTTTTCAACATCAGGAGTACGTACTCCTTATTTGTTTAATATAGGAGTACTGGAAAACCTTAAATGTACATGTAGAGTACTGAATGGAAATTATTGGAGTATCAGTAATCTTGTGTTTCGTTTCATGTATGCACCACAACATTGATTCTTGTGTAAACAGGTCAATGAACAATAAAACAAGACTTTTTCAGATAAATATGTTTGTAAATGATTCTAAGACCGTACACCATTGCTGTGATGCGTATTTGCTACGTTTTCTAAATTATTTCCTACCGTATCGTGCATATTTTTTATCCGTACATACACCGATACGGCCCTTATCTGGTGCCCTGAGACACCATTGACCTGTGATACTGTAACAGCACATGCTCATTTCCATCAATGATTACCATAATGTTTGTTGTTACTATATTCCTCAGTAGTTACACAGAAAATGTTAAGTGTCAGTGCCGAGAGCAGCGTATTTATAGTGTCTGACCATTGACTTTTAAGCTGTTATCCAGATACATATATCCCACGTAAGCTACAGCGGGTGATGGGATAGTGTAGTGGTTTAAGCGTTGCTCATCAGGTTCAATTGCCTCACTTGGGTACGGTGTGTGAAGCCATTTATGTTGCCCCCACCATGATATTGCTGGAATATTTTGAAAAAAGACAGTATAAAATCATACTCACTCACTCACCATTTAGGGGCTGTGGGTAGCCTGGTCGTTAAAGTGTTCGCTCATCACATCAAAGACCCGGGTTGGATTCCCCACATTGGTACAATGTGTGAAGCCTATTTATGGTATCCCCTGCCGTGATATTGCTGGAATATTGATGAAAGCAGCACTCACTCACTCACTCACTCACTCACTCACTCCTCACTCACTCACTCACTCACTCACTCACTCACTCACTCACTCACTCACTCACTCACTCACTCACTCACTCACTCACTCACTCACTCACTCACTCACTCACTCACTCACTCACTCACTGGTAAGCGACAGTGTTGTGGTACTTTTTTTCTACGAGGATCCAATGACATCATGCTGTATTTCGAACACTGTTCAACTAAAGAATAAGTAACCAGCATCAGTAAAAGTTGAGCATGTTGCTAATTCACAAGGATGACTTTTGAATGGCATTTAGGAGGGGTAGAAATTCAGGGGAACTTTTATGGATGTCAATCTTCTGTAATTTGAGGATTACAGTTACAGAAGTTGCCATCCATGTGTGCCCCATCACCTGTAGTAAGTGACTCAGTATGGTTTTATCCAGGGTTCAGCAATATTCCTGCAATATCTTGGCAAGGGTCACCAGAAATGGGCTTTCACACATTGGATCCATGTTGGGAATTGAACCATTGTCTTTGGCGTGACGAGCTGATGCTTTAACCACAAGGCTACCCCACGCCCCTCAAGTGTATTGATGTTGTGTATAATAGACTCAACTGTATTGGTATGGATTGTGTTACAGAGTCAGCGGCCCAACGCCCCAGGTTGAAGTTGTTGCCTCGAACTGTGAAGGCACCTGTCAACGCCCTAGTGGAAACCTCAAGGAATGCAAGTATCTTTGGTACAGGCCGCCCAAGGGAGGGAGCTGACGACGACGGCACACCTGAGCAGCGCAGCAGGAACACCAGTGAAAGTAGCCAGCATTGAATGGCAGGGTAGCAGTTTTCGTCTTATGTCAAGGTGAGGAGAACAGGTGTCCAGGGAGAGTTGACATCACAGGTGGTCCAGGGGAGAGTTGACATCACAGGTGTCCAGGGGAGAGTTGACATCACAGGTGTACAGGGGAGAGTTGACATCACAGGTGTCAAGGGGGAGTTGACATCACAGGTGTCCAGGGGAGAGTTGACATCACAGGTGTCAAGGGGGAGTTGACATCACAGGTGACCAGGGGAGAGTTGACATCACAGGTGTACAGGGGAGAGTTGACATCACAGGTGTACAGGGGAGGGTTGACACCACAGGTGTCCAGGGGAGAGTTGACATCACAGGTGTCCAGGGGAGAGTTGACATCACAGGTGTCCAGGGGAGTTGACATCACAGGTGTCCAGGGGAGTTGACATCACAGGTGTCCAGGGGAGAGTTGACATCACAGGTGTCCAGGGGAGAGTTCACATCACAGGTGTCCAGGGGGAGTTGACACCGTAGGTGTCCAGGGAAGAGTAGGCTACCAATACCCAGTGTTGGTAGCACTGGTGTCGGACCAGTAATGATCTGGGTAAGAATTGGTCTTCAGGACCTATGGGAACCGACAAACGGGATGGATGGTTAGGCTCTCTGACATCATCAATCATTAGATTGTCTGGTCCAGGCTTGATTATTGACAGACTGCCATTATATAGCTGGAATATTGAAGATATGACAGCCTCTCCATGGGAGGTTGTCACAGGTGAACTTTTCTGTTGTTACAAGAAAGCAAGGCGTTCAGAAAAGCTTAATTTTTCCTTATCCTGACTCATGCTCTTTTTGCTTGTCTTCTTCTTCTTGCGAACATAGTGGAACACTTGTATCTCCCTAATTGAAGCTCCCTTCAATTTAAAATCACTAATTAGTATTCACCACGAGTTACCTCCTTTCCACAAGCGCGGGAACGAGGGCGCCACCTCTACCCATGTGCCTCACTCTCTCCTTCTTCGCCCAGTGAGCTGGACGTGAGAGCGCCTGTGTCTCCCGACACACTATATCCTTTGAATTATATTTAGTTAGTTACCTCGTATAGACATCTATAGAGGTTTAGCTAGTATCCTTCAGCGATTATATATTGATATTTAGTCGTTTTTCTACAGTTTAGTCACGGGACGCCGTGTTTGTTTCAGTGGATTACGTTGATGAAAATTCTGTACTATTGCAGATTACGTTTTTTATGCTGCTGCTGATCCGCCTTTAATATGATGTACGGCGCCATGTTTATTATATTCACATTGCAGTTGCGCGGTACTAATTTATCCAATTCTACCTTTTATTAATATTTACTTTGCGTTTGGTACGCACAGCAGATAGGTCGCGTATGCAGAGTCTAGTATGACTGATACACGGAACCCTCGCCAGTCTACTGCTGTTGGCCGACTCCCCTCCCGTGTGGTGTTCCGCTAGAGTGGTGGAGAGGTGTGGGGCGTGATCCGCCATCTCCAAGAAGCATCCTGCTTCCCCAGACATCCCATCGTCGCAGCAGAAGACTAGAGGTTTTCTACTACATCTCAACAACCGAGACCGTTCCCCGCCGAAGTTTTGGGCCTGTATGATGATCAGCGGTCATCATGCCGGATGTACATCAAGATTGACCGATGTCGGCACAGATCAGCATGCAGCCTGATGTACCAACGCAGATATCGATGATCGTCCTGAGGGTCCCATCATTACCAACACTCAGCGCAGGCGTCGCGCACCCAGGGCAGCGTCGACCTCTGAGGAAAATCAGCGAAGTCTACTAGGACTTTCTCAACCCGAGATTGTTCCAGCCGATGACCTGGACCTCTCACGATGATCAGCTGATCATCATCCCGGCGTCACGCCACAAGAAGCGACCGGTGACAGCTTCTAGCGACATCAGCAGAGATCACCATGCAGCCTGATGCCTCTACACTGATGTCGGACGATTTTCCGGTGGACCCCTTCATTAACACGCGCAGATAAAGCACCGGCGACCTGCGTGCAGACCATCCCAGAAGACATGATGCGACAAATTATGAACATCATGGAGGACCAATATCTGCGGTAGCAGGGTCCGAGCCAGCGAAGGCTCCAACGTAGACAGCACCCAGAGGCACCCCCGTCAGCGTAGCAGCCAGGACGATGTCACCTTCGCGAAGGAAGTCACGGACCACCTTGACGAAGGACCTAGATGTACAGCCTTCGCGAAGGCGGAAAGGACCTAGATGTACAGCCTTCGCGAAGGCGGAAAGAACCTAGATGTACAGCCTTCGCGAAGGACCGCGAAGGCAGGATAGATCATCACCTTTTCGCGGTTTCATCCTAGATGTGGACTCGGACCATCAGACATCACGGAAGCCTTCGCGAAGGTCATATCGTCGTTCCCCCGGACCGGACGCAGAGGAAGCTTCGCGAAGGCATGCGCGAAGGACACCTGAATCCAGATCATCATCATCTAGAAGGACATCGAGGGACTATACAAGAGCTTCGCGAAACTATCAACGTTCCCCTCACAAGTCTCCGAGAAGATCAACCCATAGACAAGTTGATCATCGATATCAACTATAAGAACTACAATCGTATATTGGTTCTGTTGAATCCATGACGAGACGTATGTTCGCTGGCCTAAATAGATCTAGAACGATCAATTAGACACTTATCACCAGACTTCGTAACACGACTTCTGAATATGATAAGATGATCCATGCGGCCCTACTTAGGCAAGCGCTTCGCCGATCCCACATCCTGTTAAACACAGAGGCTGTTCACGAAGCAAGCGCTCATATATATATTTATATATATATATATATATACTAATCGGGCTTTGACTCGACACCTTCGCGATGGTCGCGAAGGCTAAGTGGCTCCAAGTCTACTTCACCCAGAAGATCTAGAAGGGATACTTCGAGAACTTCGCGAAGTCTCCGGCGTTCACCGAGGAAGTCTCCTCCAAGGTTTCCATATACTAGCCACTCGTCATATATAGCTACTCGTCAGTCCGTTCAAGACGTCGCATAAGTTGAGTATCAACTGTATGCCAGATGCCGTCTATAAGCCTACGCGAAGATAATTGCTCAGGCTATTTACAACACAGAACGTCGCTGTATTATTAGTCAACGACATTTCATAGATCTTCACAGAAATCAACTATTCCGTATAAATTGCTAATATACAATCCCGGACGACGATACGATTATCTACATGCGTGACCATTACGCATATCTGCAGACAATTCAATATCGAAATTGAACAGCAGCCTTGTTACAGCGAGTATAACTCTTAATCGTCAAAGTTTCTGAGAAGAAATATGTACAAGTTCAACGTTAATTCTACAATTATGACGATACATTCATGTATACAGTCTACAAGCTCACAACTTGCAAGTTGTTTATACCCTTATATATAAGGAAGTCGGAATTATATTCAAAACTGAAATTACTTTCACGACAACCAGGAAAATAACCTACCCAGCATAAAATTACAGAGCGAGATTTTTCGCGCCGGAGGTTTCGCGCGGTTACCATTAACCCTCGAAACACGTGGTCACTCGGATAACTTCGGGAAGCTACGGTGAAGACCGACGTTTATGCTAATATCAACGACGACAAGAATTTATTCAAGGTGGGTTTTTTTCCCGCTACACCGGTGACATCACAGCGCGGGTATTATACAGAATCAAAATGCCTTGTTCTGATTGGACCGCGAGGGACAACGACCTACACAGAGGTCGATCTCTATTCACAGTTCAAGACTTACGTCACAAGTGACAACTATATATCAGTGAACGAGCAAGCCTCATTACAGTCCAGTTAACCTGAACATTCATGATTAGACTGCCTTTCTTCAAGTTAGAGACCTCCCCTGTCAAGTTAAGACGAGGGATCGGCAGTCAGGCGATTTTACATAAAGTTCAACGAGGACAGACACACCTGGTTGTGCACCTACATCATCAAGGACTTCGCAGCGAATTACCTAGACGAAAGATACAAGTGGATCTAAATCCACAGCGTTTCAGACTACAGCTGAATTTCATCAAGCGACTAACACAACTAGATGGTTAGTAAACCTACTAAACTTCTGTTTGGAGAATAAAACGGAAATTTCACGCCCAACCTGGGGATATGAATATAGTGCTCCAACACCTCACAAGTGAGGTTTATGAACACGCCTGGATGACATACTTGGACCCCATGATACGATGATTCTATCAAGATGGCCAGCAAGAGCACTGTAAATTTATCTCCACCAAACCAAACAGGAGGAAAAAATGCAACAGATTATTTTCTCTATCATCAACTTACGCAGAGTGAAGTCTCATGTATTATATCTCCATTTGGATCAGAACTGTCATACTACGTGCATATGCGGATGGACCTATTCCGACCCTCCATGAGCTTAATACTCATGATATTATAGCGCTAACTTCTACAATTGTTGTACACAAATATGATTGAAATAATGGAGGGTTTATTTCTGGAAATCCGATATGGTGGTTGCAAACCATTATCTGAGAGATATCACCACCGAGGACGTCTCAGGTATACACCAATTCGATCCCATGGTCCTCGCACAACAGCTGACAGTTCCTCGGAGAAGATAAGTCAATCTAACAGATTTTTACTTATCTTATAACAATACTAAATAGCTTCATGCTATATATAATTTACTTAAGTTCCTTTTATCATCACAGTACTATGATTATTACATCATACAATATATAAGTTAACAACTCTACAGAGTTTGTTATATATATATTTACCTTAAGTTATTCATATCTTAAGAGTAGTAATACTATGGTTACATGATAAATGCATTAGCTAACAAACTCTACAGAGTTTTGGCTATTTTATACATAGCCAAGTTAATTAAGCTAACAAACTCTCTGAGTTTTACTATTATATAGGTAACTTAAGCTAATTATACCTTAAGCATAGTACTATACTCATATTATTAAAATATATTGGCTAACAAACTCTAAGGAGTTTTGCTATTATATAGGTAGCTTAAGCTTATTCATATCTTAAGCTTAGTACTATGTTTATATCATATAAGTAGATTAGCTAACAAACTCTAAAGAGTTTTTGCTATTTGGCTTAAAGTATCATCATATTTCTAAGCAATATGGTTATATTATAACATGTATTAGCTAACAAACTCTACAGAGTTTTAGCTATTATATATGTAACTTAAAGCTTATTCATATCTTAAAAGCAGTACTATGTTTATATCATATAAGTATATTAGCTATCAAAACTCTAAAAGAGGGTTTTGCTATTATATATTTAAAGCTTAAGTTTTATCATATTTTAAGCTTTATGGTTACATTATAACATGTATTAGCTAACAAACTCTACGGAGTTCTTGCTATTATATATGTAGCTTTAAGTTTTCCTTCATAAGCTCAATACTAGGTTTATATCATAGCTAACAAACTCTAAAGGGTTGTTTTAAGCTATTATACAATTAGCTTAAGTTTTTTATCATATCTTAAGCAGTATGTTTACATTATAAAGGTATTAGCTAACAAAACCCGACGGAGTTTTGTTATTATATATATATAGCTTAAGTTTCATCATAACTTAAGCTCAGTACTATGTTTTTAACATAAAAAGTATATTAGTTAATAAACTCTAAGGAGTTTATTTTGCTATATACATTTAGCTTAAGTCTAATCTTATCTTAAGCTTAGTACTATGGTTACACTATAAATATATTAGCTAATAAACTCTACAGAGTTTTTTGGCTATTATATATGTAGCTTAAGTTAATAATATCTTAAGCACAATACTATACTCATATTGTAAAATATATTAGCTAACAAACTCTCACGAGGTTTTGCTATTATATATGTAGCTTAAGTTCTTTATATCTTAAGCACACTACTATACTCATATTGTAAAATATATTAGCTAACAAACTCTACGGAGTTTTGCTATTATATATGTAGCTTAAGTTAATTATATCTTAAGCACACTACTATACTCATATTGTAAAAATATATTAGCTAACAAAACCCTACAGAGTTTTGCTATATATATGTAGCTTAAGTTAATTATATCTTAAGCACAGTACTATACTCATATTATAAAAATATATTAACTAACAAACTCTACAGAGTTTTGCTATTATATATGTAGCTAAAAGCTTATTCATATCTTAAGCTCAGCATTATATCTATATCATATAAGTATATTAACTAACAAACTCTAAAGAGTTTGCTATTATATAATTAGCTTAAGTTTAATCATATCTTAAGCTTAGTACTATGTTATATCTTAAAGTATTTTAGCTAACAAACTCTAAGGAGTTTATACTAGCATATTAACAAGCTTAAGTCTATTAGTCTTAAGCATTGTATTAATGTTATATATACTTTATCATAATAAGTACATGGTAATAACCTTTTATATGGCAGCTGATAAGTTAGCAGCAGGAATTCATCAGTTCAGTGCCTTTATGAAGTTCCCATAGGGTTATTACAATCATCACAGTTCAAATCACTAATTATTAAAAATCCAAAGTATTAGATATTCCCACCTCCGTTCCGTAGGATGCTACAAGCAAAAGAGCATGAGTCAGGATAAGGGAAAATATGTAATTTTGGAGTAAAATTGATATTTTATACTTATCCTGACTCATGAGGTCAGCCCTCCCATCCTCCCAAATAACACTTTGGATTTCCCTGTAAATTCAAATGTTGGGCTCAGTATATGAGGAGAGAGTGAGGCACATGGGTAGAGGTGGCGCCCTCGTTCCCGAGCTTGTGGAAAGGAGGTAACTCGTGGTGAATACTAATTAGTGATTTTAAATTGAAGGGAGCTTCAATTAGGGAGATACAAGTGTTCCACTATGTTCGCAAGAAGAAGAAGACAAGCAAAAAGAGCATGAGTCAGGATAAGTATAAAATATCAATTTTACTCCAAAAATTACATTTTGATGTCTATATGTCGAGAAAAGAAAATTGAAATGGTCAGTTCTTCATGTGAAAAATAAAAGATCCTTATGATATTGACATATCATTTTTTTATGGTTGTCTGACTGAAACAACATTGTAAGATTTATCTCCCTTTGGTTTCAGGTTGAGGTTGTGTGGCCAGACTAATGCTGAGTGGGCTGCCTGCGTTGTTACCATGACAACACAACCCTGGCAATTCCATGGCAACAGCCCCATTGTTTCATTCATATCAGAGCTGCTTACACAGCTGTTGGCTAGGTAACCTGGCCACGACAACTTGGACAGGATGACGTATTTATTGTGTCTCATGTTCTCATCACACGTGATAGCTGCAGCCACTGGGCTGTTTTGTTACAGATACTACTTCCCTACAGCAGCAGAAGCAGTGGTCAGGTTGTTGAGCGTGCTGATCGTCTGCCTGCCTAGCCAGGATCTCTGACACTGCATGCTACTTTCTTAAAACTCTTTCACATGACAGTATGAAATTCAGGGGGATATGAATTGCTTGTAAGGACAGATATACAAGATTTCTCGGTTTTGTTTTTTTCCTAATGGATAGTTAGGTACAAATTACTCTCAGTATGGGTTGGTATTGGTTTTGACTCCAGCTATTCTGTATTATTTACGTCTGTTAAGATGTTGATTTTTATGGAAGACTGTACTCTGTTTTCAGAAGAATGTGTTGTGTGGGAAATACTATCGACAGTCGTCCATGAGTGTAATCTGTGGGACTTATGTTGTCGGTGTGTTTAATACACATCTACCATGTGGTCATTGTTTCATAGATTTTGCAGCCATTAGGAAAGATCTTGGCAATGTAGTCAAGTGAACTTATTTGTGTATGGCAACCAAAGACTGTCAAAAAATGTTTTCCAGTTTTCTTTTTGAAACCGATGTGAAGTATTTTGTCTTTGAAAAAGAAATAAATTAATTGTGTACAGTTTAGTGATTAGTTGAAGCATTCTTATTGGAATACGTCACCTTTGCATGGAATCTTACAATGTAAGGTTCACCTGTTGCCATTGTCATTAGATGAACAATATGATTTGTTTGTGTGTCCGTTGGATTTTAGCTTGAAATATTTTAAATCTCCCGGAGCAATTTCCTGATAGGTTTCAGTGTAGGAAGTCTGGAGGAGCCTGTATCTTTTCATTATTAAATTGCAAAGTGTTTTATTGTTTTAAATGAATACTAGCGTGCAGTTGGACTGCACATCAAGCCCATGTTCATACTTCTAATCACCGTAGTTCGCTGTACAAGTCATAATATTGGAGATAGTGCTATTCAGTAAACCATTTGTTACGCCATCATTTCCTGGAAATATCGAACACATTTTATCCACGTTGCGACATAAAAACCCATTTGTTTATATCCCTCATCAATCATTACTTGCCAGGCTACATATACTGGGAATGGGGGATGGGTGGGTAGTCACATGGGGGTGGGGTTGCTGTGTCGTTCAGGGTGGTGCCGAGTAGGTTGACGCAGGGGTGGGTGGGTGGTGTCTCATAGAACGGCTCAGGTTGTGTAATGACAGGTTTGGAGCTCCATGAAATAAGGAGCACCTGCAGGTGTTGCCATGTGTTTCACTGTCCAGATGTCCTCTCTTCATCTGTTGGTCTGTCCATTCATCCATCTGTCTGTCCATCTGTTCACTGGGTCAAGGTGAACACATGGTGACACTAGTATCCTTGGCATTCTCATGCCAGCTCCAGATCTGTGAGTGCAACAAGCTTTCAGATCAGTGGGTGGGTGGGCTGCTTCTAGGGGAGGTAACTGGTGTGTCCTACCATACAGTACCTTGAGCTTTGTGCTGGTCAGCCACCAGCAGTGTAAAAAGTGTTGGCACAATTTTGTAATATGCCAAATTATTGTACATTAAAGTTTGTCGAATCAATTATTGTGATGTTCTTTGTATGATTTGAGGTTATGCAAGGCAGTTTGTCCATAAACATTTGCCTTTTTGTTTAAAGCCACACAATATTACAGCTCTATGGCGGCAGTATGTAAATAATCGAGTCTGGGCCAGACTGTCAAGTAATCAACAGCATGATCATCGATCTACGCAATTGGGAAACGATGAGTGTGCCCACCACGTCTGACAACCCAATGATGAAGACCAATTCTATCTTGGACCTTCACGCGTTGTCAGCTTTAGACCACTCAGTACAGCTGTCATTTGTAGCAAAGATATACTTCACAAAGTTTGCTAAGGATCACATTTATAATAAACATCCCACTGACAAATAGAAATAACCATGGACAAATACATGCCAACAAATGTTTACTTGAAGGACATTGTTGTGTTGATGAAGAGTCCACGCTAACACATAATGGACAGGTCAGACTGCCATAAAAAAGGTGATCATGCCAGCAACTAACAAATCTCCAAATCATGGAACAAGTCATTGACCATACACAACTGTCAATAGCGTTTATAGGATCCATGAGATGCGATTACAGCCGGGATGGCCTAAGAGTCTGGCCGGGCCGGGCCAAGACGGGCCACATATATTATTGGCTAATAAACCCATTAACGAAAACCATGCCTATAATTGATTAGTGCAACATACACTCATGATAATAATGATCAATCGGAAGCCACAAACGCGTACCATAATAAGTTTATTACGAGTAAATCGGCTAAAACTCTGGATGACGAAAAAACCTGTGAACAGGCTGGCCGAGGTTACGTCTAAAAATGGAATCGGTAAACGAAACAGGATTTAAAACGGATAAATACTTCAGTCAATTCCGATATACATTTCCGTCGGCCCGATATGTTTTAACATCTATAACCAATCACATACCACCCCATAAATCCACTATTCATCGTGTTTAAAGCATGCCCACCTTTAAATGATACGATCTCTTCCCAAAATTCGCAACATTATCTCGGCCACAATTGTTCGGTCCGGCTTGGCTCGAGCCGTCAAAAGCAACTTAAACCTAACACACGTATGTTGAATTGTATTTAAATCCATAGATTGGTATTATATCTACCTAAATATCGCTTTGTAATGTTATAAAATGCAACATGTAATTGTAAAGAAAACTGCTCCGTTAAAGTGAATCCCTTGTCTCTCATTTTTCAACATAGCCTCAATAAAAAGTTACGGCCCGACTTGGCCCGGGCTGTAATAAACAACTTACACCTCACACATGTATCCTGAATTGTATTTAAATCCATGGATTAGCATTCTATCTACCTAAATACCTCTTTATTGAGTCTCAAAACGTAGTATTTGAAGTAAACACCTTGCTCAAAGTGATGACGTCTTTCTATGTTCCCAACATGGTTGCTATACCACAAGCGTTCGGTCCGGCTTGGCCCGGGCTCTCAGTCATAAACAGCTTAAACCTCACACATGTATCCTGATTTGAATTTAGATCCATAGATAAGTATTATATCTACCTCAATACCACTTTTAGAGTCCCAAGGCGCTGTATTTGAGGAAAACACCTTGCTCAAAGTGAAGCCCTATTTTCTATACATTCTCAACAAAGACACAGTATCACAAGCTTTCGGTCCGGCTTGGCCCGGGCTCTCAAACGCACATTTAAATCAATAGATCGGTATTACATCTACCTAAATATCACTTTGTAATGTTATAAAATGCAACATGTAAAGAGAACTAGTCCGTTAAAGTGAAGCCCTTTTCTCTCTCCATTCTCAACATTGCCTCAATCAAAAGTGTTAAGTCGCTGTTCGGCCCGACTTGGCCCGGGCTCTCAAAAACAACTTAAACCTCACACGTGTATCCTGATTTGTGTTTAAATCCATAGATTAGTATTATATCTACCTAAATATCACTGTATGATGTTACAAAATGCCACATGTAAAGATAACTGGTTCGTTAAAGTGAAGCCCTTTTCTCTCTCCATTCACAACATAGCCTCAATCAAAAGTGTTTAGTCTCTGTTCAGCCCGACTTTGCCCGTGCTGTCAAAAACGGTGACCGGACAAAATCCACCCGGACAAAATCCACCCGGACAAAATCCAACCCAATATTGCCTCCCCGGACAAAATCCACCTCTTCTTAACAAAAAAATGGACAAAATCCACCCTTCTCAAATTGCTATTGTTAAAAGTTTTAGTGTGTCCTGATCTTGACACGCAGCGAAGGAAAAAGACACTCGAGGACTTTTCTCAACGGTGGCGTCGGCCGTTGCATTCTCGCGTTTGTTGTTGAAATGTTTCGAAAAGGTGATATCTGCAAAGTTGTGTTTTTGGCAGCGAAGATGTTTAGTCAACATGATTGTAATCATAGATATCTGAATGTGTGAAAATATATGCTGTTGTCATATTTATATATGTATTGATGCATGAATGATTAATAAATGTGAAATGTGAAAATGTGCAATTGTCATATTTATATATGCAAAAATGAGCTTACATATGTATTTTGGGTTTTTTAAAACAACCTAAATCTCACACATGTATCTTGAAATGTGTTTATGTCCATAGATTAGTATTATATCTACCTATATATCACTTAACAGAGTCTCAAAGCGTAGTATTTGAAGCAAGAACGTTGCTCAAAGTGAAGCCCTCTTTTCCATATACATGTATTCTCAACAAAGACACTGTATCACAAGCGTTCGGTCCGACTTGGCCCGGGCTCTCAAAAACAACTTAAACTCCACACATGTAACCTGATTTGTGTTTAAATACATAGATTAGTATTATATGTACCTCAATACCTCTTTATAGAGTCTCAAAGCGCTGTATTTGAATGGCAAACACCTTGCTCAAAGTGAAGCCCTATTTTCTATACATTCTCAACAAAGACACAGTATCACAAGCTGTAGGTCTGGTTTGGCCCGGGCTCTCAAACGCACCTTAAACCTCACAAATGTATCGTTAAAGCAGGGAGACTATATAACGGGGAGTGGTCACTCCTCGAAAAGACCCTTAGCGTATTCCTCGGCTCGTCACGTGACCAGTGTAGCCAATATGGCGACAGCGTAGATTTTAAGATTGAGCCCGGTTTATTTTCAACAACTGATTACATACGCTGAGTGTTGTGACAACTAAAAACCTACATGTAGAAGATAAGTTACCTATTCTGTCACTTCATTTTAAGTCAAATAATTGTTATTAGTGTCAGTATTAGTACAGCAGATTTGTAGTAAAGTTTCAAGTCGGCATGTTGTAGCTCACTGGCTTCAATTCTCGGTACACAGCGAAGAAAGACTAAATTGTATCGCTAAAAACTTCTTTCACATATTCGTTTAATTTTTAGAAGGGAATTATACCTTTGGTTGAAAGGTGTTTGCAAGTAATAGTGATAGTTTTATAACTAAAACAATTGTAAGGGTGTATTTGCGGTGTGTGAAGAATATGCCATATCGCCGATCTGCCATTGAAATACTACAGGGCGTTGTTTGATTGTTTCTAGTTATTGTTCTACAACTTCTTTCACATACACCTTTAATTTTTATGAGGGGAATATACCATCAGGTGAAAGGTGTATGCAAGTAATAGTGATGGTTTTATAATTTTAAATTTTTTGTTAGGGTGTATTTGAGGTGTGTGAAAAAAATGACATATCGCCGATCTGTTCTGATCCGCCATTGATGCGTGTGATGCTTGAGTGTTATAGTTCTAAAACTTCTTTCTTTCTTGTTGATCTTAGTATTTGACAAAACTGGAAAGGTGTTTACAACGCTTTGTGATAGTTCTAAACTTTCGGTTTTTGAGGGGTGTGTGACAGTGTCAGTTAACATTCTGTCAATGTCCATGCCATTCCACACATGCAATAAGATATCTGAATTAATTACTAATGTAAAAAATGTCTCAAAGTAATCTTTTTTTAAAAAGGACAGCTGATGTTAACACTTGTATTCTAGCCATAGGATGGATGGCCGTGGTGTATCATTTATTCTTTCAGTCATTCACATATGTATTTCTTTCTTTTGTTCTTTTTCTTTATTTCTTTCATTCATTCACATATAATTCTTGCTCCTCATTCATTCATTCATTGTAAAATTCCGAATGATACAATAAACTGGCTGAAGTACTGTTAAACGCAGCCGAAGTTGCGCTGGGAACGAACCAAGTCACTGTGTGCGTTGGAGCATGACGAGGCACACGCTAATTAGTACAAATGGTAAAGAAAGCAAGCGAGTGACCTATCCCTGTTGTAGATTATCCCTGCAGTCATGGGATAACAAAGTTCTACAATTATTAATTTTTTTGGATTTACCTCTTGTTAATATGTTGCATATTTCACCAATGGATTTCATTTTCATTAAAGAGAAGTTGTTTGATATTGATTATTCTAACTGGTATTCACAACTATGGGATGATACTGGCCGTTGTAACGGCAACAAACTACGAACGTTCAGGCTGTTTAAGACCTCTTTATCAGTATCAACATATGTCCGCACTATTTTCAATAGGTCGCAACGAAGTACCATTGCCAAACTACGATGTGGAACTTTACCGCTGGTGATTGAGCTTGGACCCGTTTTTTTGTAAATATCTCTTCATTCAATGACCCAATCGATCTCAAACTGTGCAAGTGGATGTTTTGTCAGACAACCTAATCACATTGTAAATCACCGATTTTATGCATTTGTATTAAAGAATCTGTCTATGTAACTGTCAACAAAAATAAACAGCAGAACGCAGAATGATTGCAGAGGGAGGGAGCCAATGACCTGTAACAGCGGCAGTGTTACGGGTCATAAAGGTCAACGTTCGTTAATGTAGGTCAGCTATGCACGTGACAGGTATGAAGAGGTGTCACAGGTCGTCAATAGGGTAAGGTGGGTGCCAACTGTTAACCATCATACGGAGTTTGTTTCTCTGAGTTGTTCAACATTAACCACAAAACCCATTAGTGAGAATTATTCTGTAGGTTAAAATCTTTAAATTTGTAATGTTAATGT